GATGTGTTGTAAATGAAGACGATGTTATCTCTCTACACGAGTCATTAATACTTTACTCAAAGATGCATAGCAAGCTTAAAAAGGCAAAAGATTAAACTATTTTTTTTTCTTAATCTTATCACCAGACTTGCCAAGTGAGAAAACATACTCTGTCAATTACATTAATGAAGTTTGGAAATGGAGCTTCATATTTTTTCATCATGTTACAGTATACTGCAAGAACATATTCGATGCCATTTCTTTAGCAGTTCTGCAAGTAGACATAGAAAGATACACATAATTAAGAAAAAGAATCCTAAGAAGTGAACAGTAAGAAAAGGAATGATATGTCTTACAGAATGCATTTTGATCAAGGAGGTGAAGAAAGCAGAGTACTCACAAGATTGTTGGCAGTGGATATGGAAAAAAAGAATGATGGAGAAATAAGAAGACCTGTGGAATGTAGTCAAGCACTACACACTGAAAAATTCCAAGATGCTGCGCTTATTGCTTATATAAATTTATTTATTGAAGGAAAGTGCCACATAAATAATGCACAGTGTCCTGTTGGCATCTTTGGCACTAAAGCAAAGGATCAGAATACACACAATATAGTTAGTGTACTTGCTCAAGTTTCAACTATGGGACCACTACACATTCCATCCAACATGAGGAACATTTGTATATTTTTAATCCCTTTAACTAACCAAATCTTAGCAGTCATCCAGACCTATATTTTTTTTAGCCTTTTGCTGCCTCTCATCTCTACAGCAGCTTTCAATTTCTTAGTCTTCATTGTCTCATTACTCACACAGAGTTCTTTGCCCTTCTACATATCATGTTTGCATTTACATAACCAAGACTACTGGGATAAAATACCATTACCATGTTTGCTTTCTAGTTATAGCATTGGGCTGCCCATCACATTCCTCATTACTATAGCCTGGGTAAAGTTGTTAATATCTCTCATAATTTTTAGAATTTATGCTAGTGCTGTGGTAGAAAATATGTGCACTTTTGTAAGTACTAATTCTTATGATGTGAAAATAAAGTTTTCCATTTCTTGGCATTTCTGTCGTATGTATACAATAGTTGGGTATTTCTACCTTGATCAGAATAGGCCTGCTTGCCTGGAGAAGGTAGTTACCAAACCTGTGTGTGTGATATTTAATCACAGTATGATTTTCCTTATACACAGTACTGGTATTCATAATTTGTTCAAAACTCCCACCTTGTCTGATAGACATGTCATTGTATTTACAGTTACATCATTCGGCCCCTCTTATGGTACCTTCATCACTCGAGTCATTGACATACTTGGCAGTCAGACTTTTGTCTCTTGTACTTGTCCATTTCTTGATATAACTATCTTACCATCATCTCCCATGTCTATCTTCCCACTCATTATATGCTTCATGCGCAGCCCTGTTATGTCTATCTCACTCTGTTTTGCATTCTCCATTCCATTTCTAGACTCAAACAACATTCCATTCTCACTTGCACCAACCATTTTATCCCCTGCTGCAACCGTCATCCAGTTGAATTTATTACTTAAATACCCATGCATTTATGAACAATTGGGTGATAGAGACAACACAAGCAGACATGTCAGTAAAACAAGCTACATGTCATACTACTTGAGCAAACTTTCTAATTTTTTTTGTGTTGATGAAACTGCAAGAGTCAGTATACCACACAGAAAGTGCCTTTCAATGTGGTGGTGGGTGTTTTTTATTGTTTTGATAAATTTGGGTATTACAATGTGCTCTGCGAATGCCAGTTTGTCAACGTTTCAAGACTCAATGGGCCAGCTCTCACAACTGGAGTCAAAAGAACAAGTATTTGCAACACCAGTAAGCAGCATAACTAGAAGTACTTTACAAGAAGGTAAGTGTAATCTTTCAATTTGTACTAATTTGCTGTTTAAATGAGATCCCTGTTCTTTCGATACATGTGCACTTTAGTTCAGTCACGTTCATTCTCAACTCTCCTGGGGCTTGAATCCAAGGTGAAACCTTGTGAGCAGGTTTTGAAGGCAGAATCTATTTTTAACAAAACCATGTATTAATGAACCCCTCAGATGTATTCCTGTTGAATACATCTGTGGGGTTGATGCTAGCTGTAGAATCAGCTGAAACTATGGAGCAACTTTGGGTGTCAACATCAGCCAGAACAAGTCCTAATGTTACGAATTCATATTTAACTTAAATACTGTAGGTTTATTTTTACTCATTACTCAGTTTTGCAGATCCTTTGTATTTTCTTCATCACCTGCACCCTCCACCCTCTCTGACGTTTCACATACATCCCACATTGTATTGTCAAGACTTGTTCATTCTTTCCTGCATCACCACTATGACAAACGTAATAAAAAATATTTTTTTTTACATGAGCATGTACATAAAGATATTGTTTTCACATCGGAAATAAAGATACTGTATTGTTTTCACACTTTAGACGTTTTTCTCTGCCAGTATGTGAGAGCAAGCGGATTATAAACTCTGTGAATGAGTTGGAAACTCTACGCAACTGCAGGGTGATTGAAGGCAACCTGCAGATAATTCTTATTGAAGATGTGAGTAGGTATAATGTTTGTTTAATCTTAATAAAACATTTTTATCAAGCATTTCACTAAATTGGGCAATAACAATAATATAATATTTATACAAAATGATGGAAACAGAGTACAGTGGTTACTGGATAGGTATTTATATTGTTTTAAAGCAAATAATTTTGCACAGTACTTCAGGCAAACTTTAGGATTATTGTGTTTTAGTTATTAAATTTTATGGTAATATTTAATACAGAAAATGTCAATGTGGCCAAACACACTCTACCCAAGGCACACAGTTCTTTTGATATGTGTGATACGGATTATTTGCTATGCATAATAATAATTTAAACAATACATTTTGTTGAGGGACAGGCAGTCTGTCTTTGTATATATGCTAGGCTTGTATAGAGGTCCCCCAAGATTGAACTACTGATAAATAATTTTCTGGTGGGTCCTTGGTGGCTACTTGGGACCCCTCCCTTCACCATTTAGGGGCTTTGGTTCTTCCATCTTCCTGGCCAAATGAGACTTAAGGCTAAGGTATTGAGAAAGATGGTATGTATTATCTCTGGTGTGCAGATAGAACTAACAGGAGCCGCTTCAAAACTCGATGGTTCATACATCTCGGAGCTTGGGCCATTTCATTTCCTATGCTTTGTTTACCTTGCTGTTGGTATGTTTTTGTTCACCCAACTTTCTGGTGGTCTTTTCTTGGTTAGGGTGGGCTATGATCCTCTGCTTCTTCCACCTCTTTAGAGGGGGAGGGGGCCAGGTTTTGGCTTCAGGTCCTCTTGCGTGACTCGCAAGGGCCTGGCATAGATTGCCTGGTAAAGCTTGTTAGGTAGTAAGCATCAAGGAGCCACGAAGGACCCACCAGAAAGAGGCATTTCATTACATCCCACTTATTTTTTTTCAGTTATCATTAAAGGGGTACATGAATGGTACTAATAATGTCCAAAAGGTACATAAAAGGTAAAAGGTTGAAAAGTCCTGGGCTAAAGGTTACAAAAGTATACCAACTATAAACGGCTTTGACATTCCTGCCATATTTTTATGGCATTTTATGTTGTAGTAAACATTTTATAATTGCCCTGTTTAAATGTGAGGGCAAGTTGTATGAAAAGTATTTACAGCAGTAAACCTTTCACATTAGTTTTACATTAATCAATATCTTGTAATTTCCTTGGTTTCCCATCATTGTTTTTTATTTCTACTTTTTGCTATTTTTCAGGCCAAGCAAATTAATGAATGGAAGAAGTGGAGTTTCCCTGAGTTGGTACAGATCACTGGTTTTCTATTAATTTATCGTGTAAGTGGACTACGCTCTTTGGGCCAGCTCTTTCCCAATCTGGCTGTTATTCGTGGAATGACTCTTCATCAAAATTATGCTCTTGTCATCTATGATGCCATGGATCTTGAAGTAAGTTTGTTTAGAAACGTATAATGTGCTCTAGTAATTATTATTGTACTGTATATTAGTTACCTTGCTATATACTGTACATTAGTAGTGGCATTTTAAAACATTTCAATTCTTGAGAATTTCTTGGGGTTTTACATTTTCAATATACTGTACCCACTATATAAACAATAGTTAAAGACACATTTTCTGTGAAGATCTCCATGGTGGCTCCCTGAAGCTAGCTCAGTGAGATTGCTCTTCACTACTAGGTCATATCAGTTACAGGAGTCTTGTTTGGCCTACTGTGAACAAGAGGCAAAACCTGGACCCCTCTCAGAGGTGCAGAGAGTAGGGGACTACTGTACTGTATTTTCATTACCCTCACCTGGAAAAAATCCACAGTCAGTGAAGTGTTACAGACATATGCAAGGTTCATAGAAAATGGTGTCGAAATAAGCCAATCGACTCTGCAAAGAATTTATGGGAAACAAATGTATCACTTGAAACTAGTACTTATAGGTACTATACGATGACCCAGAGTTCTTTCCCCACACTCGCCCCACCACAATCTTCCTGCCGAGATGGACTCGTCCACTCGTAGAGTGCTCCCGAGGCCATTCATTCACAATAGGTCCCACTACTAATAGGTCCATAGGTCCTAAACTACAATAGGTTTGTATTTGTTGCATGTGCATGAGTTACTTCCTGGCATAGTTTGTGTGCACCTGGCATTTTGTATGCTTCGAGCTACACGACTTCAAGTTTGCCTTCCCTTGGTGCTTGTCTATCATTGGCCTGCACTTAGTTCGTTCTCTGTTATGTTTGGGAGTTTGCCCCTTAGAAGCCATATCACTGTGGGTGGGGAGTCTCACCTTGGATGGTGCAAGAGTCATTGACTCTGCATAAACCCTGGGAGGCTGAGAGAGGCCTATTTTAACTGTGTGGATTTGTTTCACTTGTGTGGGGTGTGTTAGAGTACGTGCAATTACTGTATAAAAATATTAAAAATAAAAATATAAATAATATTTTATTTAGGAAAAGTACATACAGTACATAGATGCAGTTACAAACATCCTGTTGAAGTTATAGATAGAGCTAGTACATACAATTCTATATGAGGGGGGTGTCTCATCTTGGACCACCAGCTGACCTTAGGGAACCGAGTACAACTACCTAAGAGTAGTTACAGGATGGGAGCTACGTTCGTGATGTCCTGTCTTCCCAGTACTGTCATATGATACTTTGAAATCACTAACGGTTTTGGCTTCCACCACCACCTCACTTAACTTGTTCCAGCCGTCTACCACTCTGTTTGCAAGAGTGAACTCCTTGAGATATGGGCACAAGACAACCACTGCACATTCCAATTTTGGTCTTGCAAAGGTTGTGAACAATTTCACCAATATTTTGCATCCATGTATTTGAAAGCAATGGTGAAGTTTGAAAGTGTAGAATATGCTCCTGCTAAGTTAATGTTAATAATGTTAATAATATGTTAGTGTTAATAAGCTCTATATGGATGTAATGGAGTTTACCTTGTCCCATGAAAAAATCCTGCTATAGTTTAATGATAATGCAGTTATCGTCACAAATGTTGTAAGGGCATGAGCTTGTAAGGTCCATGAGCTTGTAAGGGCATGAGCATCACTTGTGTTGTCCCATCTTGAGTACTGCTCAGTACTCGCTTCTCCCTTCAGAGCAGGAGAGATTGCTGAAATTGAGGGAATACAGAGAACATATACGGTACGCATAGACGTTATAAAGCATCTAAGTTATTGGGATCGTCTCAAAGCTCTCCAAATGTACTCACTAGAAAGGAGACGAGAGAGATACCAAATAATATATACATGGAAAATACTGGAGGGACAGGTCCCAAATCTGCACAGTAAAATAACAACATACTAGAGTGAACGACATGGAAGAAAATGCAGAATAGAACCAGTGAAGAGCAGAGGTGCCATGGGCACAATCGGAGAACACTGTATGAACATCAGAGGTCCACTGTTGTTCAACGTCCTACCAGCGAGCATCAGAAATATTATAGGAACAACCGTGGACATCTTCTAGAGGAAACTAGATTGTTTCCTTCAAGGAGTGCTGGACCAACCGGGTTGTGGTGGGTATGTGAGCCTGTGGGCCGCTCCAAGCAACAGCCTGGTGGACCAAACTCTCACAAGTCAAGTCTGGCCTCGAGCCGGGCTTGGGGAGTAGAAGAACTCCCAGAACCCCATCAACCAGGTATCAAGCTGGTAAGCAATACCCAAGAGTACAAACCAACAAAAGTAATACTGTATAGCTGAAAACTAAGTAACCTTTCCCTAAATTGCACAATAAGTACATTTTGGGTTACAACTTCACATACAGGTTTTATTGGGGGTATTGAAAGTTAGGTTACAAGGAAAACAATGGCTTACACCGTTATTGTATAGCATCACTTGGATGGAGGTGGGGATATGTTCAGTCATTTAACCCTTCCACTGCTCAGGGGCCCTGAGGACATTTACACCCCTGTGCGCAAGAAAAAAAAAAATTCAAATTTTTTTTTTCGTCTTCTAAACGTGTTAATTTGTGTCCCCTGAGCACGGGAAAAATAAAAAAAAATCGTAGGTGACATATTTTGAGCGTAATTGACCGGAAGTCTGGCAAAAAGTGGGCGTTGACAGAGCGGTCGTCAGAGCCGGTCAGTGTCACCCGCGCTGACAGGTGGGAGTTGCCACAAAGATATTATTACCTAATTGTTTCAATGTTTCCGATTGATTTTTTCTTCTTATTTTTTTTTTTTTGCAGTAATATTATTCAATAGTGTGTATTGTAATATATTTATATAATAAAAGTGGTGAATAATTGCTATTCTTAAAAGTATGGTGTGCATATTAGTGATTCAATTATTATGTTCATTAAACAATAAACAAATAGTTTTGCTGCTATTACACTCTATACACAGGTTATATATAAGTATCTGCATGTTTTGTTCACCATAACGAATCACTAAGTTTGTATTGAGAGTCGATAAGCAATGAGGAGTTACCCGCCACACACAACCAGCCACTCCCTTCCACTCCCTCAACACACGCACTAAACTTTCTCCCCCAACAATACCATTTGTGGTGTTATTACACTGTATAGAGACGTTATATATATTCGATTCTTCGTGGCACGGGATCGTATTCCAGGGACCTGCCTGAAACGCTACGCATACTAGTGGCTGTACAAGAATGTAACAACTCTTGTATATATCTCTCGGAAAAAAAAAAAGTATGTATATATTTTGTTCACCACAACTGTACAGCTAAGCTGATATAGTTAGTTCAGGCACTAAGAGTCGTCGCTATACACAGCTGGCGGCTGGGGGCTCCCTCACTTGTTGAAGGTCACACGCACTAAACTTTCTCCCCCAACAATACTGTTTGCAGTGTTATTACCCTATATACACTTATATATAATGAGTATCTACATGTTGTATGCACTGTAATTACCTAAGTGTAATTACCTAAGTGTAGTTATAGGATGAGAGCTACGCTCATGGTGTCCCGTCTTCCCAGCACTCTTTGTAATATAACGCTTTGAAACTACTGACGGTCTTGGCCTCCACCACCTTCTCCCCTAACTTGATCCAACTGTCAACCACTCTGTTTGCGAAAGTGAATTTTCTTATATTTCTTCGGCATCTGTGTTTAGCTAGTTTATATCTATGACCTCTTGTTCTTAAAGTTCCAGGTCTCAGGAAATCTTCCATATCGATTTTATCAATTCCTGTTACTCTTTTGTATGTCGTGATCATATCGCCTCTTTTTCTTCTGTCTTCTAGTTTTGGCATATTTAATGCCTCTAACCTATCCTCGTAGCTCTTGCCCTTCAGTTCTGGGAGCCACTTAGTAGCATGTCTTTGCACCTTTTCCAGTTTGTTGATGTGCTTCTTAAGATATGGGCACCACACAACTGCTGCATATTCTAGCTTTGGCCTAACAAAAGTCGTGAACAATTTTTTTAGTATATCGCCATCCATGTATTTAAAAGCAATTCTGAAGTTAGAAAGCGTGGCATAGGCTCCTCGCACAATATTCTTTATGTGGTCCTCAGGTGATAGTTTTCTATCTAGAACCACCTCTAGATCTTTCTTTATCAGAATTCTTTAAAGATTTCTCACATAATATATAGGTTGTGTGGGGTCTATGTTCTCCTATTCCACATTCCATAACATGGCATTTATTAACATTAAATTCCATTTGCCAAGTGGCGCTCCATGTACTTATTTTGTCCAGGTCTTCTTGAAGGGCATGAAAATCATCTAAGTTTCTTATCCTTCCTATTATCTTAGCATCATCATCAAACATGTTCATATAATTCTGTATACCAACTGGTAGATCATTTATGTAGACAATAAACATCACTGGTGCAAGAACTGAACCCTGTGGTACTCCACTTGTGACATTTCTCTAGTCCGATACATTGCCTCTGATCACAGCCCTCATTTTTCTATGTCAGAAAATTTTTCATCCATGTTAGAAGCGTACCTGTCACTCCTCCAATATTTTCCAGTTTCCAGAACAACCTCTTATGTGGAACTCTGTCGAAAGCCTTTTTTAGGTCCTGATAGATGCAGTTAACCCAACCATCTCTTTCCTGTAATATCTCTGTTGCTCGATCATAGAAACTGAGTAAATTCGATACACAGGATCTTCCAGATCGAAAACCATACTGTCTGTCTGATATTATATCATTTCTCTCCAGGTGTTCTACCCATTTAGATTTAATTATTTTTTCCAATATTTTGACTATTACACTTGTCAATGATACCGGTCTATAATTAACGGGGTCTTCCCTGCTTCCACTTTTGTAGATTGGAACTATGTTAGCCTTTTTCCACACATCAGCTACAACTCCTGTAAACAGGGATGCCTGAAAAATCAGTTGAAGAGGAATGCTGAGCTCAGGTGCACATTCTCTCAGAACCCATGGTGAAACTCCATCTGGACCAACTTCTTTGTTCTTATTTAGCTCCTTGAGCATTTTTTCCACTTTGTCTCTAGACACCTCTATGTGCTCTATGTTGTTCTCTGGAATTCTTATTGTATCTGGTTCCCTGAAGATTTCATTTTGTACAAACACACTTTGGAACTTTTCGTTTAATGTTTCACACATTTCCTTTTCATTTTCCGTGAATCTATTTCCCATTTTCAACCTCTGAATATTATCCTTTACCTGCAATTTGTTGTTTATGAATTTATAGAATAGACCTGTATTCTATAATATTCTTTATTCTATATTCTATAAATTCTATGTATAGAATTTATAGAATAGACCGTAACTGTACACCTAAGCTTGTAGTGTGCCCAAAGTGTGTGTAATGTGCTTGTAATGTGTATTCTATTCTATACTTGTACAAGTAAACTGGTATGGTGCCCAAAGAGCATAGTGGCCACCCTCTAAACAGCTAGACAAATCATGCAGACGACGTCACCTCCGTCACCCAAATGGCTCCTCCCAGCATAATCCTTTTGCTGTTATTACACTAATACGCACATTATATATAAGTATCTACATTTGTGTTCACCATAGAGAACCACTGAGCTGGTATGGTGAATGCAGACAGTAACAGGTGACCACACAGTCAGTAAACGATGCTATCTCCCTCCGTCTCTCAGCATCACTCGTCCCACAGCACTAATTATTACAATAATCCTGCTATTATCACAACCCTGGTTATTTATATCACAGTCATGGGTCATCTGTAATATTGGCATCGCTAAACAATAACAATTATATATTTATTTTGACATTTTTCGGCGATGCTGTGGTCACAAGCTGAACAGCAATGCAGTTTGCTCATGCTGCGTGCGCCAGCCTTGGTTGCTCCAACAGTACTGTGCCTCTCACACCTGAGAATATTGCCCACGATTTTTTTTTTAAATGGCGTCTGTTTACAAGAGCCCTGAGGAAGCTACTGTGAACCCCATGTAGCCGCGGGCCATTTGAATCGGGCCTGGCACCCTATGGCGTATATATATGCCATGAGCACAGTGGGACATGTTACTCAGGGCGTATATATACGCCATGCGCAGTTTAAGGGTTAAGTAAGGTCAACCAATTATCAGTTGAACATAATAAATGAACTACAGAAGGCCTATTGGCAGCTCATACTTGTATCTTGTATCCTCAGTTCCTTGCACCTCTGTAGAGAGGCAATGTTTTGGATAAAATTGGGTGGAGTTATCTGGGTTGCTTAAAACATGCCCACCAGAAAAAAGCACTTCACTACATGTAATTTTTTTTTTTTTACTTCATTGGAATCTATTGTTTTTTTTTTTTCCAGAGTGTTGATTTGTACAGCCTAACAGACATTTTACGTGGTGGTGTGAGAATTCAGAATAACTTCAACTTGTGTTACGTGAACGAAGTCAATTGGTCCATCATTATTAAGGATGCTAGTGATAATGTCTTCAAGGTAAGATAACCATGAAACGTATGTGTTATATGAATTAAATAAATTAAAAGGGGTTGAAAAAGTAAGAAATGATGAAATTTATTTGTAGATTAATAGAGAAAACATGTTAGATTTTGAGTGAATAATATAATAAAGGGCAGAGTATTGATTAAAAGGGAAGGGCAAATGAAAGTATGGGTTTTTGGGAATGGTAAATGAATTTGGAGGGAAACAGTTTTGAGAAGGTTGATGACATTTGTGGAAAGAGAAAAGAGGGTTGGGAGTGATAGAAGATGACTGCATTAAAAAGGCTAGAAAGAAAACATAAACTTAGATAGTAAAAGAGGTGTGTGATTTGAATGCACAACACAAGTTTTCCTTTGGATCTGTTCATCTATTTTTCTGATTAGTATTTTCCAGAAATATTTTAGAATACTCTTAATGTAAAACATATTACATTATGATTGCTTGTAATGTAAAACATATTACATTATGATTGCTTTAGGCCCCATTTAGATTGTGCAGTTCAGTTTTGGTCACCATACTATAGGGTGGATATAAATTCACTTGAACATGTCCAGCATAAGATGACAAAGTTAATCACCCAAATTAGAAAGCCGTTATATGTAAAACATATTTTATTGTTTTCTCTTCAGAATAACAATGAAAGGCTCTGCGGTCCCTGCCATCCTAATTGTCCTCGTCAAGGGAAACTTGAACACTGCTGGTCCGCCAAACACTGCCAGCAAGGTGAGTATTTATTTTGTGTATTTCACTTTTATTCATGGATTGCAAAACTCCTAATATCGCAGTTGATGTGCTTACACAAAGAAATCAATCCACGTAATGTATCGGTGAGAAAATTAGTATCTTTATCTATTCTTACCATAATGTCTCATGATTATTATGGGCCCTCTATTTTTGTCATATGGCTCTTCCTTTGTCCACGTATTGCTTGCAGGTGGACTGTGGACATTTATGATTATCAGTTGCAGATGATGAGCTACAATAATGTGGCTGAAGATATGAAGACTAAACCACACTCCAGAAGATATGATGATTCGGTCCGTCGTGGACCATTATCAAGTTGATTGTAATAATCTACTTCATAATGGTCCAGGATGGAACGAAACGGCGTCGTCTCTTCATCTTAGGTGTGTGTGGATTAGTCTTCATGATTATCAGTTCATCATCCTAGTTATAAATCTCCAGTGCCATTGTGTCAACTTCTCATGGGTTGTCGAGTATTAATTCTTTGACCTTTAGTTTTTTCATCAGCACACCAACATCTCCGCCACCTCTTCAATTTTTTGTCACGTCTTCAAATTGAGTAGTCCCTCAGGGAATACCAACTCAATTAAAATTTTATATTCAAGTTTTGTCTCTGCTAGTGTAATTACTAAAGTGTAGTTACAGGATGAGAGCTATGCTCGTGGTGTCCCGTCTTCCCTGCACTCTTTTGTCATATAACACTTTGAAACTACTGTGACAGTATCTAGGATCTTACACTGTGTTATATCATTTGGTTTCCGGTATTTGTTTCTTGCCCCATCTGTATTATTCCAGAAAATTGTGTATACAGTGCTATGTTCCCTCCAACTTTGTCCTTCACTCCTCTTCCCTCTAATGACTTCCCTCTAGTTTGCTTTGCTTTTGCTATGTACAATTTCATTGGCTTCCTGATACTTATCAACTTGCTTCTTCATTTCTACCTTCATTTAAATATTTTGCTTCATCTAGGTTCAGTTTTAGCTTCTGTCTTCCTTTAAAAGATCTAGTCTTCAAGACTAAATTTAAAGAATTTAGAAATTTAGTAGATGATGTACAGTACAGTTTTCTAGAGCAATACTTTATTTTAGATTCTGGAGCTTTAGTTTTAACTTATAATAGTACATTTGCTGTATTTAAAATCAACATTAATAGTAAACACTTAGCTTAAAATGAAGAAATATGAGAGATTTATGCTACTTGGTTTAGTAGATATATAAATGCTAACACTGTGTTAGTTACAGTACAGTATTTATATTATTTAAATTGGTTAAGAGAAGTACATTATTTTATTGCATTTGGGAGATCATTACACAATACATGTCAGTGCACAACATACGAAATAATGTTATACAGTAATTTGAATGCCATTTTGTGCTGTACTTCTCTCAACATACATAAATTAAGTGACTAACACTATTCAGTGGAACCTCGATTCAATGAACTTAAATTTGGCAAATCTCTGGATGGAACACGCTTTCCATGTCAGATTTACACGCCTAATTTGACGAACAATAGTTCATTGCAGTGGGATATGTGTGGATTTGTTTAGGATGTTGGGACTGAGTTCATCAATGAACATTACAAGAGATAGTTGGCTCTTGGGAAAGCCACCGAGCACATTTAAAATCAAATTCTCTACTTCACTTTTATTTCCAATTGCAGAGGTTTTTGTTCAATAAAATATGGGGCCGTTTTGAAAATGAGATTTCGAGGCTTGGACTTGGGAAATTTATTATGTGGTTAAATCTCTCTACAAACAGGTTCTTGTAGTTGTTGTCCTTCATATGACGGGTTGAAATTATAATTTAGCTTGGTGAAATCAGCCCCTAGAACATGGGGAAATATTAGGTATGAATGGTAACACACTTAATATGGCTCTAATCACATTTTTAATGATATTTTTTGTTGGTTTGGAATTTTTTTGTTGGGTGTTTTGGATTTTTTGTTGTTGTTGGGCAAAAGGTAACAATTAATATTGATCTAATCATGTTTTTAATGATTGACGTTGATGGGCTCAACATTATACGAAACAGTAAGAGGCCCTTGGGATAGCCATTGAGAATAATTAAAACCAAATTCTAAGGTTCACTTTAATTTAGAGATTCCCAATTTTTGTTCATAAATGTGGGTTCTTTTCCTCTGAAAATGAGTCTTCAAGGCTAGGGGTTGTGAAATATGCTAGATGTAGTTACATCTCTTTACAGACAGGCTCTCTTGGTGGTAGTTCTTCATATGACTGGTTGAAATTAAATTTTGCTCATTAAACTCAGGCTATAGAGCATGGAAAATATTAGGGTATGAATGGTAGCTCCTAATATGGCTTCAATCATGTTTCTTACAATTTTTGTAGATGGACTCAAAATTATAAGAAACAGTTGGAGCCTGGGAAAACTATTGAGAATATATAAAATCAAATTGTGTAGTTTTTCATTTTGAGTTGGCAAGGTTTTTGTTCACTCAGTTATGGCTCTACTTCCTTTTCAAAATGAGTTTTAAGGCTGGAGATGCGAGAAATGAGATAGATGTGGTTAAGTTTGTGTGCAGACATGTTCATTTGGTAGTTATCTATTCTAGGTTGAAATTCAAATTTTCGCCAAGTTAAATTAGCCCATAGGGTGTGGGAAATGCATACTGGAGGCATTTTTGGTTTCAATAAATTTCTCGATGCATTCAATTGGGTTTGGTCCCATTAAATCGACGTTTTACTGTATTAATATTTATACAGAACTTTCAATTCTCTCGTCTTCCCAGTGTGTGAACAAAAATGTGAAGGTAGGTGTACACCCAATGGAGAGTGTTGCCATTATGAGTGTGTTGGGGGTTGTAAAATGGCTAATAACCCTTCCAGTTGCTCTGCCTGCCGTCACTTTAACTCCAGTGGCACATGCAGCAAGACATGCTTTTACAGCTTCTATGAGGTGAGTAACAAGTGTTTTTCAGTATTGTGCCAGGGAATCATAATTACAACCAAGACAACAATAGCTTATAGTTTAGTATTTTTAATGCATGGCACTGTAGTAGATTATAGTCATAGTGCCAAAATAATAATCTAGAAGACATGGGAGATGCTTGCTTGCTTTAACCTGTTGGCTATTATACTTGGTGGCAATGATAGGGATAGGAAGCCTGTGACTTTTGATGGGTAGTGCATCACTCGGTTCTAGCATTCACACCTTTGTCAGGATAGAAGACTGTATTTTTCTATTGTCTGTTCTGTATTGATGCTTGGTGAGCTAAAAAAATTTGACTTGTTTTTTGATGGACATACTTAAGCTGGTCTTTGATTAAACACTCATGGATCTTATGTACAATGAAATCATATTAACATGATGTATCAATGAGAAAATCAGTTGGAGCCGTGAGGGTGATTCGAACCCGCTCACTTGGTACTCCCAAGCTAGTGCCCTGGACCCTCATTTTTTCCTCAAAGATTTTCTTATTGATACATCACATTAATGTGATTTCATTGTGCATTTGACAAGAAGCATTGGAGAACTGCAGTCGAGTCACAATGTTGCTTGAAGATATGAGAACTAAACCACACACCACAAGATGAGGAGACAACGTTTTGGTCCATCCTGGATCATTATCAAGTCGATTGTGATGGGAGCGAGGGAGGCATGGGCATAATTGGAGGAGAACTATTAGAGCCTTAGCCTGAGTGCATGGGGGGGCAATGCTTAAAGCCCTAATTGGGCTTCAGTTGTAAGCCTCAGGAACCCTAGAGGGTTCAATATAATCCCAGGTTGCATTGTTTTTCCTTGCTGTGGTGTGTTGGTCCAGGGCACTAGCTTGGGAGTACCAAGTGAGCAGGTTTAAATCCTCTGCGTGGCTTCTACTGATTTACTTTTGGGTATGTTGTTTCTAGTTATTCAAGGCTTCATGCATGCATTCAATAAATTTGAGTGTGTAAACCTATACTAAATGTGTTGATTGTCAGACTCTATTTTGGCTGTGTAAGGTCATTGTGGAAGTTGGAGAGCTATCTTTGTTTATGCATGAACAATTACTGGTACAGTATCTGGTATCAAGAACTTTTTGTTCTTGAACTTCCAGGTCTCAGGAATCCCAGATCCCTATCAATTTTGTCGATTCCCGTTACTATTTATACATAGTGATCATATCGGCTCTTTTTCTTCTATCTTCTAGCTTAGGCATATTTAACCCTTTAACTGCACAACGCGCCTGCAGGCCCAGGCTTCAGGTGCGCAACGCGCCTCCGGGTGTTTTTATTTTTCACGTTCCATTCAAAACTCCCGCGGCTACATGAGGTTCACCTCAGCTTCCTCAGGGCTCTTGTAAACAGACGCCATCTATAAAAAAAATCATGGTCCGCATTGCCGGGTGCCAGAGCCTCAGTAGTGAGTGAGCAACCAAGGCTGGCGCTCGCAGCATGAGCGCACAGCACTGCTGTTCAGCGTGTGACCACAGCATCGCCTAATATTGTCAAAATATATATATAATCTGTTTTATTTAGCCATGATAGTATTATAGAAGAGCCCGAGTGTGATAATGACTGGGGTACAATGTTCAATTATCAGTGATTCAATGCTGTTCACGATGTTCACAGCGCTAGCCACAGCACCACAGCATTATTTCGTCCATGTAGGAACCTTCAAATGATTTTTTAGGTTCCTTTTACAAAATAAACTTGTGGTCAATTATTCATTTACAGGTATTAGTGACCAGGATTGTAGTTATAATGAGCGTTGTGCGTAGGAAGGAGGAATTTTGGTGAGGGAGGGAGGAAGGGAGAGAATTGAGGTAGCCTCACTGTGTGGCAGTAACTCTTGTTTTGCTCACCATACTAGCTTCGTGGTTCGCTATGGGGAACACACATGTACATGAGTATATACAGTGTCTGTGGAATAGTGTAATAACAGCACCAGGAGTATGTTGTGAGGAGCTATTTTGGTGAGGGAGGTGACGTCGTAATCGTGGCGTCGTCTGCTGTCTGCTGTGTGATTTGTCATGCAGTGTATGGTGGCCACTGTACAGTTTGGACACAATACCAGCTTACTTGCATAGTTCTGGTAAATAAAACATGTAGATAGGTATATATAACATATGTGTAAATTGTGTAATAAATACAATAACAGTATGGTGGGAGGAGCAATGTTGGTGAGTAAGATGTTGGAGTGAGGGAGGGCTGGCTGGGTGAGGCTGCTCACACTCGCAGTGTTCTGAATGTGTTGATGGTGAATGTATATAGTGTGTGACAGTGTATAGTCTGTAAATAGATTGTATATATACATAAATTAGCATGATACATGGTAGATATGTGCAACATATGTGTACACAAGTGTCATGCACATAATACAGTGTCTTCAGACAGTACGGATGTTTTACTGCCAAAATATAGTGTACGTGTTCATTATACATAGGATTAGCATGTAAAAACAAATAAAATGTATTTGGAACTGTGCGCAAAAAATGTGCAAAAAAATATATTCGCGGCAACTCGCGCGCCCCACCGGCCCAGGGAGCATACTGCTCTGGCGCACGGGGAATTATGACGTCACGGCCCACCTTTCGGACCCCATAGCAGCCAAAGTAAGTACAATTTCGAACTTGCGTTGCTATACAGGGAGGGGTTTTTGACACTTTCCGAAGAAAAAATAATTTTTTCCCAAGGTTTCATTTCCTGCGCACTGGGGGGATGTCATATTTATAGGCCGCGCAGTTAAAGGGTTAATGCTGCTAACCTCTTCTCGTAGCTCTTGTCTTTGTTCTGGAAGCCATTTAGTTGCATATCTTTGCACCTTTCCCAGTTTGTTGATGTGCTTCTTAAGATATAGGCACTACCTACCTGTTGAAGATTCCATGGATCAACTCCCTTTCCCCCCATGGCCTCCTGGTTGCTGGTTTGAGTAACCAGGCTGTTTGATGCGGCTGCTTACAGCTTGATGTACGAGTCACAGCCTGGTATAGATCAGGTATCCTTTGAAGTTACTTGTCGAGTTCTCTCTTGAACACTGCTCGAGGTCGGCGATTTTTATTATGTATCTTTCTAATATAAAAATAATCTGCTGTCTCGAGCAGTGTCATTAATATGAGAAGGAACACAATTTTATTTAATATTAGAAAATGTGGTTCAAGTAACAGGAAGTTAAAATTGTTTTGAGTAATTATTAGACTATGAAATTTTACCATGCCTTGTCTCATGTTAGGGAGTTTCAGGTTTTAGAGCATTTCAAGAAAACTAGCACAAACACATACCCTTGCTGACACAATCTATATTCTAATATATTTTGCTTAACATCAAATGTGTTTTGTACGAGGAAGGGTGTAGAACTGGCAGGAGAGAGAATAAAGTAAAAATAGTAAAAGGTACTATATGAAGGCAATAGCTTAGGATGATAATATTGTGCTATGAGATGATAGCATAGCTTGTGACTGAATCATATTACCTGCTGCTTGTACTGTATTTGTTTACCTAATTCTCTTGTCTAATCCATTATTGTTATTTAAAATCCTTAAATAATGATTCCTCTTGCAGTATCACAAATACAAGTGTGTGAGTAAAAAGGATTGCAGTGAAATGGGCCTTCTGCTGTATGAGTCTGAGGACAGGAGCAGAAGGGAATGTGTAAAAGTGTGCCCAGCTGGCTATTCAAATGAAACTGAACAAGTACGGAACAAAACTGTTATGACCTGCCGTAAATGTGTTGGTTAGTGCCTTTGGATCATGTTAGTAAGGATGCTAATTTTAACTGTTAAATTAGTCTGTATAACTAGTGTATTCAGAATCAAAATTTTAGCTCTTGACCCAGTCCTGATTCACATTGTCAAGATTCTGAATGTTCAGCCTATTCTGCAGGCACCAAACGGTGGCTTCCTGAAGATATCTTGGCTCCCCATACTGGTTCACATCAGCCATAGGACTCCTGTATGGCCTTCCAGGGACCAGAGCCAGAACTTGGCCCCCTAACAGAGGCACAGGGAGCAGGGGATTGTTAAATTACTCTCACTGAGGAAACATCCAGAAAGTAAGAGAAGCAATAAGGTACAGACAATTGCAAGGCTCGAAGCAAATGAAGCACTGAAGCAGCTAAATGACTGCAAACAATTCATTCGGAAACTAGCTCAGACCCTCCCCCCCCCCCCTTTCCTAGTTATGACTGGCCACCACCAAGTGGCAACACCATTAGGGGCTCCAACTTCTGAGCCATCTTTGCCCCAGTCCTGTCCCTGATGTCTTTGAGTTCAGATCTCCAAATTGCTGGCTGTAGTGAGTTCCACTTCTTTTCAAGATAGTGTAGGCCATCCTTTAGGCATTGTCCTGTGTGGGCAAATTGTTTGCCAACACTCAGACTTTGGTTTTTTCTTTGTGTGTATTTTAAAGTCTCGCTAGTTGTGTAAACTTGGTCTTTTCTCTGCTGCGAGCTGCATGTGCTTAGGGCAACCCTTCCCTTAATGCTCATTTAGAATTGCCTGTGCTCCAATAGTTACTTCTCTGGTTAGTTTGGAAGTTTGCACCCAAGAGGCTTCACGACAAATAGGAATTCCTGAAACCAGGAACTTCACAAACAAAAGGACACAGATTCAAGCTAAGGAAACAAAGGTGCAAAAAAAAATATTCAAGAAAAAGTTAAGTGAGAAGGTGGTGGAGGCCGAAACCGTCAGTAGTTTCAAAACATTAAATGACAGTACTGGGATGATGGGACACCATGAGCGTTGCTCTCATCCTGTAACTATGCTTAGGTAATTACTACTGTGTAGGATGCCCCACCCTGGGTAATGCATGTCTTTGACACCTCTGCAATTATCTAGATTCAGTTTGGTCCTTGATCCTTTTGTCCACCTTCCCCTTTTTCCTCTCCTGTTTCCTGAGGAGACTGTTTCTTCAGTCAACTCGGTGGTTTCTGCTGCCTTTCAGTACCTCAGTCTTTTCTTTTGTTGCAGCAGAATGGTTTTGTCCTTCCTGATCAGAGGTGGCTGTTAGTTGGAGCAGGCCTTCTGTCTGATTTCTGGGTTACTGCTCTTCCTTAGAGTTTCACATCTTCTGGCCGATGTCGTTCTCCTGTGTTGTAGAAAGGTGGTGCAGCTCGGGGATCTTCACGCTGACTCTTTCACAATTTACCTCCTTGATGGTTCTGTTCGGGAACATCTGATCCATTCTGCCAGTTCCTGGCACATGATTTGAGAGTATGCCGAGTTGTTTCCCAGGGTCTCCAGTGGAGTTGGTCCACCCTTTTTCCTCTTAGGTTCAGGGGTATTGGGGTCAGGATTCCTCCCCTCAGCTCTATGCTGTTATTGCTAAATTTGGCCTAAGTTTGCCTGCTACCACAGGCTGGTGCCGAGATGTCCCTGGACCTCAAGGATGCTGATTCGGCATGTCCCTATTCGTTCCAGGTTCAAGGACTGGGCTAGGTTTTGTTGTGGGGCATTATGTTTACCACTTCAGGGTTTTTCCCTTCAGCTTGAATCTGTTCCTCCCTGTGTGTTTACCAGGTTAGTGCTGGTCACTGTGCCTGGCTACACCTCTTAAGGGTTCGTGTGTTGGCCTACCTCAATAACTTGCTGGTGTGGATGCCATGTCAGTCCATATGTCAGCTGGCCACGGATCTGATTCTTCCCCACCTCGCCAGGTTCAGGCTTCTGGTGAACTGGAGAAAGTCTCAGTTGGTTCTGTCTCAGGTCTGGACTAGGTTGGACATTGTTTGGTACTCTTGGTTGGTGTCTCTCCTCCTCCCTCCTGGTAAGTCCCATTTTTGTTTTGTGGTTTGTTAGCTTCAGGGAGATACTGGAGGGCCTTCCCTAGAAACTCAACATTCAGTGTAATGAAACACCTCTCTGTATGAGCCTAGTAGCTCCCTTATTCCCACCCTCCCTCCAGGTTTTTTGATGGGTTGCTCATCTCCAGATCTGGCTGCTCAGAGGGAGCTAACTGCGGGCTGGGGGGAGGTGCTATCTCATAGTGGTGGTTGGTACTAATGAGTTGGAAGCTTGTTTACGTGAATCCCTTGTTCTGTGTGAATTGTTTATTTATTTATTTTGTTTGCAGTTTCAAGGTTGTTTGTGAACCCTCCACTTGTCTAAAGCTTCACTATTTTTCTGCAGGCTTTTCTCTGCGGGATGGGGAATTGTCACACACTCCCTGTGCCTCTGTAAGGGGGCCAGGTTCTAGCTCTGGTCCCAGGTAGGCCAAATAAATTTTCTCTAACTGATGAGACTACTACACTTTCTTGCTCTCGGCAAACCAAAAAAAAGCTTGCTCCAAGTGTGTGCGGCGTTTCAGGCGATCGAGCGGCAACACTGAAAAGTGTATACAGTACTCTTTTCACTGTCCTGACCTTAATTTTCAATGTAGGTATTTCATTTATGTACCAATGTGTTCGCAATAGAATGATCTAGAAGAACACAAGTATAAAATGTCACCAAAGCATGAGTTAGACCAGCACCAAATAAAGAACTACGTCAATCACTAGCCGTGAGTGCCAAACAGCGACGAAATGTTTCTATTCTCTTCAGGGTTGTCAACTCCACACTTGTCCTACAATTTTGAATATTTTTCTGGGGGAAGCCCCCTACGGCTCCCTGGAGCTTACTAGGCTGATATGCTAATTTATTTATTTTTTTTTTTTTTTTTTTTTTTTTTTTTTTTTTTTTTTTTTTTTTTTTTTTTTTTTTTTTTTTTTTTTTTTTTATATATATATATACAAGAGTTGTTACATTCTTGTACAGCCACTAGTACGCGTAGCGTTTCGGGCAAGTCCTTAATCCTATGGTCCCTGGAATACGATCCCCTGCCGCGAAGAATCGTTTTTTCATCCAAGTACACATTTTACTGTTGCGTTAAACAGAGGCTACAGTTAAGGAATTGCGCCCAGTAAATCCTCCCCGGCCAGGATACGAACCCATGACATAGCGCTCGCGGAACGCCAGGCGAGTGTCTTACCACTACACCACGGAGACTGTAAATGTCAGACTTTGGCATCAGTCATGTGTGTTTGGAGTTCTTATGGGCCTACCGGGGATCACGAGCCAGAACCTGGCCCCCTCTAGAGAGGCAAGGGGGGCAATGGCCTATAGAAACCCCCGTGTAATTGGAATCATTCTATGTCTGCCATCGACCAGGTTAGGCACCCAGAAAGGTAGGCATCCCAAAACAAACCCCTATTCTGGTGAAAATTGCAACCAAAAGCCGACCAAGTGGTATAACTCCCCAAACAAAAACGAGCAAACTAGTATGATGTCATCTGTGTCACGCCGCTGTCTGCGCAGCCCCCTCCTCCCCGGGAGGGGGAAGGGGCAGCCCCAGACCTACTGCGCCAGCAATCCACACCCCAGTTCTTGAGGCTGATGCTATAAGCTCGGTTGTGTGCTCTGGCTCCAGTATTTTTGCGGCGCTGTGCCTTGTGTGTGGCTGCTGTACTCCAGGGGTGCGAGAGCTAGGAGTTATTCCTTAGTACTCGGGCTGCATGCACCTAGTGTTCCCTTTCCTAGATGCCTTGTAAGTACTGCCCTTGGAGCTTAGGGTTACCTTCCACAAGTTCCTTGGGGTCTGCCTGTGTGTGTCCGTTTTACTGCTCGGTTTCTCGGCCGCTCTTTGGGTACTTGGGGGTTTTGTCTCCCCTAGTTAACCTTTGGGTAAGAGGCAGTTTTTGCACTGGTAAGGGGCGCAGGGTGCTGTGCAGCTAGTTGTCATCTATCACAGCGGCCAGTTCTGTTCCTTGGGGTACGTTGTCCTCTTGCGGGGTTTTGTTTTTCTTTTTTTGTTTTTTCCTTGGTGGGGGGGGTTCTACCCTATTTGCCACTGGTGTTTGGCCTCACCCTGATACTTGGTAGTGCCCCCTGCTTGGTCCCCTTGAGTGTACACGTCCCTGGGGTTCAGCTTTAGACAGTTTGTTTGGTAGTTTTGGGCGCCGGTTAGCAGTACCCTGCCTGGGTTTACCTGAGCACGAGTCCTCTTCAAAAAACACTCAGGACCCTGGAAATCCCCTAAGGGATGCGTGGGTCCGATGGATGTGACCCCGGGGTCCCCCCTCGCTTCGTGCGAGCTTGAGGGTTGCTCGGTCCCCTTGTCTCAGGGCGACCCTCACTGTTTTTGCCTCCGTCACGCAGCCTGTTGGGTCAGTGACACTTTTGACCCTGAGTCTTGTGAGTATTGTTGCTTGCTGGTGACTCAATTTACCCAATCTGTGGATGATCATCTTTGGGTACAGGCTGCACAGGCGTTGCATTCTAGGTTTCGGTTATTGCAACGAGCTAGGTTGGTTGCTCACCCGGATGCCCCGTGGCTGCCCCATTTTGCTTATAGGGACCCAGACTTTGGGGTGGGGGTTGCTTCGAAGCAGTGGGTCGGGTCGAAGCAGGGAAGGGGGACCAGACCAGAACGGAAGGGTCATGCCAAGGCTCGGGGTTCCTCTCGTCATGGTAGGCTACTGGTGTCAGGTTCGGGTTCGGCTCCTCCTTCGGACCCGCCTTTGTCTGGTCGGCGTGGTGTTCGCTCTGTGCGATGTTCTGGGTCTCGTAAGGGGCACCAGGCCTTTCGCGGTTCGCCCCATTGACGGGGCAATGGGGGAGGCTTGTGCTGTTTGCTCACACCTGGTCCCACGATTTGTGGGCATTTCGGGTCGTTTTGCTTGGCCTCCGGTGGCGTTGGATGGCCCCTCCCCCTGCGGGGGGTTCGGGGCTGGCGGGGCAGGTTTCTTTCCCTGCGCTCTGTCAGGGGAAGAAGCCTGTCTTGTTTCGTTCTCCTCTCCACTGAATGGACAGTCGATGCCGATTCCTTCCATTGGCTTTGCCAGATGTTCGGACACCCTGAAGTGGACCTCTTCGCGTCGGCGTGGTCGCAGCATCTACCCCTGTATGTGGCGCCCTTTCTCAACTGCGAGGCCATCGGGGTCGACTCCTTTCGGTAGGACTGGTCGAGGTGGGGGTTCCTGTATCTCTTTCTCCCGGTTCAGCTGTTGCTCAAGGTCCTGACTCACTTAGAGACTTACCAGGGGAGAGTTGTCCTCTTGGCCCCTTGGTGGCCGGCCCAGCCGTGGTTTCAGGCACTGCTTGCTCAGTGTCCGAACCTAGAGGTTTTTCTGCGGCTCCGTTTCTTCCAGCAGATCAGACCGGTACGTCACGTGGATGGTTCAATCTTCTCCTCAAGTCTTCGGGTATGCTTTTTTTTGACTCGAGTTTGTCATCATCTCTATGGTGATCAGGTAGCTTTCTTATTAGTGTCCCACCTGCGGGCTTCGTCTCGGCAGCAGTATGAAGTTTCCTGGCAGCCCTTCTGGTTCTTCTTATGTCTTCGTCATTGTACTTCACTTTCTGTTAGGTGGTGTTGTCCTTTCTCTCTTGGTTGTTCCAGGACCGCCTTCTTATGCCTAACACTGTCACCTCGTATCATGCGACGCTGGCGGAGCCGCTTCAGCTTGCTTTCGGTATTGATGTCACGTCTACGTTGTTTCGCAAGCTGTCTCGGGCGTTGTTTCGCCTCCGGCCTGCTCATGCACCGCCTGAGCCGTCCTGGTCATTGGACAGAGTGCTCTCTTTTCTTTCTTCTCCTTGTTTTGTTGTGTCCCCTTCGGTTCCGGATTGTTTTTCGAAGGCTCTTTTTCCTGTTGGCGTTGGCCTCTGGGGATTGAGTGGGTGAGCTTCATGCTCTCCTCCGGCGCAGAGGTTTCTGCTCCTTCGGTCGGGGTGATCAGTTTGTTTGTCTGCAGCCTTCTCCTTCTTTTTGGCAAAGAATGAGACTGCTGCATTCTGGAGGGGTCCCTAGGTTGTTGATGCTTGGTTGGTTCGGCCGGGGGTGCATCATGTTTTGTGTCCGGTTGCGGCTCTCTGCCGTTATTTGCGTGCCACGGCTTCTGTGTCCATGGATGCGCTTTGGGTTGTTCCGGTTTCCCTTCTTCCCTGTTCGAGGGTGCCAGTCTCCCAAGTCGTCCGCAGGGTTAAGGCTAGCCAGCCTGTGGTCTAACCCTGTGCCCATGACGTCTGCAAGTTCGCGGCTCTTGCCGCCGTCTTTGGCAATATGTTCTGGGCTGACATTCAGGCGAGGGAAATTTGGCGGTCGAACAGGGTCCTGGCTGCTCGTTATCTTGTAAACATTCCTGGGCCCGGTCGGGCCTGTGTCGCTTTGGGTCGGCGGATGCAGCCAGTTGTCTCGGCTTCGGGTTGAGGAGTAAGCAGGAACTGCCTCCCGGGTAAGTCCCTCTTTTTTTCCTCTGTGGGTAGTTAGCTCCAGGGAGCCATAGGGGCTCCCCCCAGAAAACCAGCATTGAATGTAATGAAATGGCATTTTCTGGGCGAGTCCCGGAGACTCCCCGGCATCCCTAAATCCCTCCGGTCGGCGTTTTTTTCGCGTGTTTTTGACAGCCAGCCTCAGAACTTGGGTGTGGATCACTGGCACGGTAGGTCTGGGGCTGCCCTTTCCCCCTCCCTGGGAGGGGGGGGCTGCGCAGACAGCTGCGCGATGACGGATGATGTCATACTAGTTTGCTCGTTTTTGTTTGGGGAGTTCTATCCACTCGTTCAGCTTTTGGTTGCAATTTTCACCAGAATAGGGGTTTGTTTTGGGACGCCTACCTTTCTGGGTGCCTAACCCAGTCGATGGCACATAGAATGCTTCCAATTACACAAGGGTTTCTATAGGCCATTGCTCCCCTTGCCTCTCTAGAGGGGGCCAGGTTCTGGCTCATGGTCCCCGGTAGGCCCATAAGAACTCTATACACATGACTGATGCCAAAGTCTGACAATAGCCTATCAGCCTATGCTCTGGGAAGCCTCCAGGATTCACCCAGAAAATGGCATTTCAATACATTCAACTCTGGTTTTTTACATATCTGTGATCAGGGTAAAAAGTATTTAGCATTTTCAAAAACAAAATAAATTTTTTGGCCAAAAATTTATTTCCTGCACACAGAGAGGTGGGTGCCATATTTGGAGCCTGAACAGCACAGTGGTTAATAAGTTTTTTTACCCATTTTTTCTATCGTCTGGTTGGCAGCAATAAAATTATTAGCACATACTTCATATAATCAATACTCTCTTCACCTCGAGTTAAATTTATGTAAAATGCATGTGTTAGTTGTGATTCTTGTGTTAATAAGTATGTTATTTCTCCTATTTTTTGCTTTATCAAAGGTAGGATAACATAAATTTGGTGAGATGGAAGCAAAGATGTTATTTTCTGTACCAGCCCCAGACACCTGTCATAGGTGGCAGCACCGGGGTGCCACTCACACCAACACTTGCTTGTTCTTTCATCATGTAAATTTGCTATTATTCACAGCTTCTCTAATTAAAAAATCATGTCAAATACAGTAATTGATGTTAAAATTCTGAAAACTTTCCTTAAGACTGCTCATGGGGCCTAGTTGATAGTGCTACGGCCTTACACGCGTTGGGGTCCGCGGTTCGAGACCAATACAGTCCAGGCGAATGGAATTAATTTACCTTTATTTAGGATAAAATAGTGTGAATAAGGTTGAATATTTGTAAGGAACTTGAGTGAGGAGAAGAGTTAGGGGTCAGTGAGAGGCGAGAGCATGTTGCCTCTTTCAATCACAGACGACTGCCATCACACTTTGCCTCACTGAACAAATGTGTTGCACCACTGAATACTGTACATGCAATCTCTATAGTACTGTATTTGCACCTTACATAATGAAATGGTGCATTTTTGTATGTCTTTATATAGAATAGCTGTTCCTCATCCTGTATGAAGTAAGTTTTGTCTGCATTTGAATTGTTTTGTATAAGTTTGAAAACATAAGTAACTTGAAATTTGCTTACTGCAGTACTGTGTAAGTCATGGCCCAAGTAGATGCAAATTCCTCAGTAGTAAATGACATTCAGAATACAGTGCTGTTCTGTTGACTCTTGGTTAGTAAAATGACTTAGCTTTCCCAGCGAAAGAAAGCAGTGTTTTCTCTTCTGTTGAATAGGGTGACTCCTTCCACAGTTGTTGTTTATTTAATCTTAATATTTACTTTCAAAAGACACATTTTAGTTAATTTCATCAGTATTAAATTTTTTTCCTAATTTTAGTTTTTAATACACAGAGAAATCACATTATCGTGATATATCAGTGAACAAATCCATAGGAGCCGTGATGAGGGACGACAGAGCTTGAGTGCATGGGGGAAGGGGGATTGTGTGAAACCCCGTCTTGGCTTCAGTGGAAGCCTCGGGATCCTCGAGGGTGCAGTAGTACTCCAGGTTGTAATTCTCTTGCCCATGTCGTGGTGTTGTCGACTAGAGCTTGCATCTGGGAACACCCAGTGCATAGGTTCGAACCTTCATCACTGCTCTCGTGGATTTGTTCTTTTAAGTTTTAATATTTTATAGTTATTTGTATATTATTGTATTAATTTGGCACTAGTGACAAAGAAATTATTTATTCGAGGACAAAGATATTATATATTAATCAATCATCTTTCACAGAGCCCTGTGCCAAGACATGCCCAGGTCAGCTGGTTAACACAGTTGCCAAGGCCCAAAGGCTTATTGACTGCACTAAAATTGAAGGTCCACTTATAATCAGGTACTGTTCATCGAGATTTTGCCTTTGAGGTATGTTGATGTGTTTAAGCTGATGCATTGACAGCTTGCAGTAGGGATTGTAACAGTGCAAGTATTTTACACTCTTTCATGTATAATTGTGAGTTGTTATTGTGGGTGTGTGTGTGGGTGTTTGTGAGGAGTGAGATGGTAGTGGAAGAGCAGCCAGCCCAGCTTGTGCTGATGGCAGTACTTTTCAACAAAGAGCACGTTGTACCAGCGTGCGAGAGTACCCACCCCTGGCTTGGCCAGCGAGGTGTTTTGAGCAGTTAGCGACCGCCTTGCACAGAGAGGTGACCAGCCAGTCTTCCCACCCTGACGGGTGACATCCAGGCACCCTCAGGGTGCATCCGTCTGAGTTGAGAAGGTGAGAGTTCAGTTATGCATTGTCTTAAACCAGAAGTGTGTCTTAGTGGTGGCGAGCTAGTGAAGTCTGAACCATTTAGCCATGTATGGTGTGGGTGTGTATGGAGTGGGTGATCCCCCCCCCCCTTTTAATTTTGTCAGTATTGTATTAAAATAATAGTATGTCAAAATGTTAAATAGTAAGAACTATGGAAATTGAAATAATGGAAATAAATGTCTAAGTGTAGAATAACAAGCATGACTTTTGTTTAGTCCTTTTTGAATCAATGGCCTCTCGAGTAAGATTAGAGAATACTAGATGAACAAGGTAGGAATGAGAGTGAGGGCGCCGTGAGGTGAGTGAGGAACGAGAGTGAGGGCGCCGTGAGGTGAGTGAGGAACGAGAGTGAGGGAAGGTGTGGCCTGGTGAGAGTAGCTCGCACGCCACCTCCCCTCACCTCTCCTGTCGGGTTTACTTAGGAATTTATTTAGTAAAGATAAATTAAGCAGTGTTCCTGTCGCATTGTTTAAGTGGAATTAAGATTTAGTTTGCGAAGGAGACAGGTGGTGGCAGCTTATATTAGAATATGTAAAGTTGAATTAACATCAGTACATCATAGATAGAACATAAATCAGTCCACTCTCCCTACTCCTACATCACTCTACTCCTCCTCCTTCCTTCTCTCCCTCCTGCCTTCCCTCTTTCCGTTCGCTCCCTCTTCCCGCTCGCCTCTCTCTACCTCAGTTCCTGCCTCAACCTCCCCCATGTTCTATCCACCCATCCTCCATCCCTCCTTCTTCCTCCCCTCCTCCTACCTTTACTTTCCTTTACTTGACTTTTCTAATTCATCCCCCCCCCATTACAGGGTGTCAGTAAATAAATTTTGAGTGCTTTTTCTTTATGTACCTTCCACTTCAAAAGGGTTGATGGAAAATTTGTTATTTTTACAATTAGCATCACTGGAGGAACTTCTATTGCCAAGGAGCTTAATGTCAGCTTGGGACTGATTGAGGAAGTGACTGATTATGTACGGGTCTTCGGCTCTCGTGCACTCCTGTCTCTCAACTTCTTAGCGAGTCTGAAAGTTATTGGAGGAAGGAAACTATATAATGGCAAGTGAGTTATCTAACCAGTTAAATTGAATTTGAATTCTGTTTGTCACTTCCCTTGTAATGCCCTTCTAAGAGGGTACTTGGAATAAGAAGACCCTCTCCAAAATAACATTGTTCTTATTACATTACGACAAGAATCCCTTGAGTAATCCTTCATTTTCCATTTCCATAAAGTAGATTGTCTATTCTTCATTAACCTACCATAAGTCTCCAGATGTCTAAACTATCATAGAGTATTTCTCGTCTCTGAAACACGGCAAGTTTCGCACCTTGGGACTTCTCTTCTATCCCACATATTCCATGCTTTTAATTTTGTATTCTTTGCCACCTATCCATTTTATAGTCATACTGGCTTAGTTTTCTTTTAATAATAATAATAATTATTATATTATAATTACAGTATTTTTACAATTATTTATTATTATTATTATTATTATTATAACTATAATAATAATAATAATAATAATAATAATAATAACACAAAAACAGTGGTACATCGTTAGAATTAGTAGCCCATTAACACTTTTGCGCCCAGGGCATGCGTGCCACCAACTTAGAGGTCACGCCCTCGGCGTACGGACGATCGTGCAAGCGAGCGCGCAGCAACACCAAAATATGAATACTCGTTTCAGTTTTTTCACCTTAATTCTCGTGCTGTGTCACTCGTTTTGGTATCATTGTGTTCACAATTAAGTTCCCTGCAGGTGTATATGTATATAATGTCCAAAAGCCCGGCGTGACTCCCCGCAGCAAAGCCTAAAGTTACCAGTGAATGAGCACCAATTTGCACACCGCAGCCTAATTTGTATACATGTACGCGTTCTGTTTGATAACGTGAATTTTCATGTTACGTCTCTCATTTTGGTGTCAAATTGTTCACAATATAAAAGCTCATATTTTAATACTATTCCGATAATAATAGAACAATAACTGGAATTTCAATAAATATTTTAATTTTGGTCACTCATCATCACACAATTATTTATATCTTTCCAGTGTTCTGACAAATTTTCCTGTTACATCTTTCATTACCACATCAAATTGTTCACAATCTAAAGGCACACATTTTAAAACTAGTCCCATAATAATAGCACAATAAATAGAATTTTAACAAATATTTTAAAATTTGGACCAAAAACGTATTTATAATCTTTCAACTGTTCTGACATCAAGTTTCGTGTTACATGTTTCATTTTGGTATCAAATTGTGGGAACTTTAAAGGCACTCATTTTGAAACTATCCCAAAGTCGATCAGATAATAAATTAATTTTATACAAATAATTTTTATCGGATGCAAGAACAGTCCAATACTTGGACACGAGAGAAAAAAAACTGACGCCAGGGACATTCAAAGAGTGCGAAAGGGTTAAAAATCCAAGGTGCAGTTGGTACTCGGAGGCAATTCTTTCAACATTAGTGGCCCAAGACTTTTCAACACCCCCTTTGAACATAAGGAGCATAACTAACTGATCTCTTGTAGTGTTCAAAAGAGAACTTGATGCACACCACCAAAGGATACCTGATCAATTGGACTGTGATTCATATATGAGGCTCCATGAAGCAGCTTCTAGCAACTTGGTTGACCAGACCACCAACTAGGAGGTCTGGTTAGAGACTGGGTCACAGGAATGTTGGGCCTTGGAACCAACAAGAGGTAAGGATAACATTGTTGGCCAAACCACACACTAGACAGTGAAGGGACAACGACATATCGGTCCATCCTGGACCATTCTCAAGTTGATTGTCAAGACAATTGACTTGAGAATGGTCCAGGATGGACCGAAACATCATCGTCCCTTCACTTCCTAGTGTGGTTTGGTCACCATATTTCAGCCACGTTATTGTAACTCCTCGTCTGCACAGGTAATGATAACCCTACCCTACCCTACTCTACCCTACCCTACCCTACTCTACCCTACCCTGTTAGGTCCTTGCAACATCCCTGCTGCTGCTTTCATTGTGGTTTGACCATTGCCTCTCAGGAGGGACCTGTTATTTAATCTTTGCTAAAGATTAAACAAAAATTGACTCTTTAACTGCTTCCCAATTAGCCAAGCATAAAATGTATAGTAATTAATTGTTTGCCTTTTGTTGCAGGTATGCCTTATATGTGCATGATAATGACAACTTGGAGGAGATTTGGTCTTGGGAAAACCATGCAGATTTCACCATTGCTGAGGTTAGTTTTGTAACAATTATATTTAGTCTATTTTATGGTGTATGCTATTGTACCAAATAAAAATTGAATAATTTTTTGAATAAATGAGATGTTTAAAAGCACCCACATAGTCAATAACAAGGAAATGTAAAAAAATATTTTTTTATGTATAAAGATTGTATTTGTAGCTGTAAAGAGAAATGCAGAATGTATTAATTATTTAGGATACTGAATTTGTATCTGTGGCACACGACGTTTCCAGAATCCGCAGGCAGTCCTTAAGTAATAGCCATATTTGAATTAATTCTCTGTACCTATCAAATTGCCTATGATTATCTCCTTAATTTTTTTTATTCTATTTGTACTACTATACTTCTTTCTCCTCTGCCTTGCAACATCCAATAACCTTCTTATTTCTATATACTGTAACCCCGCGATTATCCGGGATTCGAACATCTGGAAAACGCCCTTATATGGCCAAAATCGTGATCGGATAAAATTATCACAATATCAGGCCAAAATGGCCACAGGAACTGGATAAAAGCTGGTTTGTCCGGATGAAAATTCGGCCATACCGTATTAATCCCGTCTGTGGCTCTAGACGCATGGTGGAGGAGGGGGTGTAGGGAGGGTGGGAGGGGAGTGTCGGGAGGGACCACCTGGGTACAGGAATTACCATTAATTTTAGAACAATTAATCATAGCCAAAAACAAATGAAATAAGTACTAGAAATTATGTAATAACAAATAAATAAGTTTCCTAAAAGCAATGTGCACAGGCTGAAGTTTCCTTAAAAAATAGTTTTTTTCCTCCTGGCGGCCTACGTAACGTGCTGTAGCTGCCCCAAGTGGACCCGTCCAACACTGGTCAACCCATGTGCTCCCGACCCTCGTGTTATACCAGTGCTGCGCCATTAGTGAAATATTTTTTTAAATAACTTTTTTATTTTCATAGTATCTTTAAACATTTTTGGCCAAGACTATGTATGGTAGCAGCATCAATCGTTCTGGAGGTGTTAAGAGGAAGAAGGTTGTCCTAGCAATTAAAGACAAGTTACGTGTTGTTCAACCAGTGAAGCGTCACAGGCAGCCAAATGCCTTCAACAAGTGAGGCGTCACAGGCAAGCCAAGCGCCTTCAACAAGTGAGGCGCCACAGGCAAGCCAAGCGCCTTCAACAAGTGAGGCGCCACAGGCAAGCCAAGCGCCTTCAACAAGTGAGGCACCACAGGCAAGCCAAGCGCCTTCAACAAGTAAGGTGCCACAGGCAAGCCAAGCGCCTTCAACAAGTGAGGCGCAAGCAAGCGCCTTCAACAAGTGAGGCGCAAGCAAGCGCCTTCAACAAGTGAGGCGCAAGCAAGCGCCTTCAACAAGTGAGGCGCAAGCGCCTTCAACAAGTGAGGCCTCACAGGCAACCCAAATGCCTTCAACCAGTGAGGCTTCAGCAGCTGGCAGTCAAAACTATCTTTGCTTAATGAACTGTACAGTAATTTTAAGTGTTAATTTTAGTGTTGTGTTAGTATAGGTTACGTAAATTGTTAAGAATTCTTAACTATAGGATGTGTAGCATCAATCAAAAAAACGAACACTAACAAGGTAAGTTGAGGTTTCTAGTTGAATATTTAATAATTATATGTGGCAAGGCAATTCAAATTATGTTGTTTGTAGTATAAAAATAGTTGGAAATTGTCACTTTTGGATTCTTAGGTGAAAAAGTACCATTATCCGAAAAATGTGATAATCTGGCTGGGGGTCCTTCCCATATAGTCCGGATGATCGAGTGGAGACAGTATTTATTTCGTATTTAATATTTTTGTCAATATTTTTATTATTTCATATTTAAAATATATATTATATATATATAAAAATGCTTTTATTTCATAAATATTTTTATATCTATATTTCATATAGAATATGAAAATATTCTATATTCATGCTATCACTCATTCAAAACATTCATTTTTATTGCAGTTTTGTTAATCCTTTTCCAAGATAACGGCAGTGTATCCCAGAATTGTATACCACTGGGATTACTCTAGAGGCTGTAATTGGCAACTCTCGCTAATTTCTTTCTCTTACCATCTGTACTGAAGTTGTATTTACCTATAAATTTTTAATCGTTTCCATAATATTTAATTTTTGTTTTGGCATGTATTCTGTAGCTTATTACAGTATCAATTTTTCAGAAAAATGCTACTGTATTATTCCATTCCAACCCAAAACTGTGCTACAAGAAAATCAAAGAACTTATTGAGAGGACAAAAAGAAAAATTCCAGAGGACTGCAACATGCAACTTACAAATGGAAATAAAATTGCATGTGAGATTTGTAAATCAAGTTGTAAATTGCCAAGTTAAATATATAGGAAGTTACAATGGGTCCTGTTGTCACTGAAATCTTAGTTTGGAATAAATTTACCTTCTGTTATATTTTATTTTAATCCTAACAAATGTTAGCGAATAAAGTATTCTTACCCAATTTTTGTAATTTCCTTCATATTTTGTGGCAATTAACTTTTACAGCATTCTGTATGTTGAATGTTTAAGGTTAGTTTCCAAAGTCTGCAGTAATTCTCTTAGTTGTCAGGCTAACTTGAGCTTGACAAAGGCAATAGAGCTATAATTAAGTCAGGTCAAGAGAAGGCATATGCCTGACTCGTTTTTTTTTTTTTCAAAATAAACCATAAACCAGACTTATGATCTATTGAGAAGTAATAATCATTCAGATGCTGTTCAATCAAAAGCAAATACTGTATTTAGTATTTGTGTAGAGTATTGACATTATCTTCTTAGGTACAGGAAACCTGTTAAGCTTAGAGGTCCTTCCAAAAGGGAGGCTGTGCACATGGTCACCCATTCAGTTACTGGCTAGACACAGTGGTGTTTGCCTGGCATGGATATCTGCATATATTCCTCTTTTTTAAAATGCCTGTCATTATAGATGTTAATCCATATTTTAATTATATATATGCATGATTATGCATAGTGAACAAAAATGTGTTGCATTAGGATCCTAGAAAGGCAACGCCAATCAAGTTTTAACACATTGAAAAACAGGCAGCACTCTGAATTAATATTTTACAACAAAGTTTACACTAGAGTGATTACACAATATTCCAACACCCACACATGTTTTAATTAATAGTGAATGAGTTAATTTGATTTCAAAATGTAACTGGAATACAATTTTTAAATAGTCCTCTAGGTTCAGTATTTATATGTTTAATAAAAGGCACTAATCAAGTGCAGCATTTTAGGCATACCTTAAGAGTAATGGGAGTGTTTTAGTTACTGCATGTGTTGGGTAGTACTAATACAGTACCATGTGATATTAGTTAACATAAAATATAAAAAAAATTGGGAAATTTAGTAAATGTTGTAATTTAGTAATATTTAATGCTAATAGAATGCTTACAGTCTACTTTAGATTCCCTAACTTCAGCTGCCAATATTTTATGATGTATAATATTTATAGTTTTCAGAACTACAAATATTATATAAAATAATAAATATAAAACATTTTCAGGTACAATAATGGAGCAGACTGTTACCGTAGAAGCTTTGCCAGAAGAGGGTACGGTGAGAGTGAGTTGGACTACAGCACCAATCAATGAGGATGACAGGATGCTCACTGGATACTATGTATACTATAAACCATCAGAGTCCATGGACATTGGCTACATGACTGGTCGTGATGCTTGTGATGAGTGAGTATGTTTACTTAGTAGTGGTGGGGCTCAAAAAAAGGTCATAATTCCTCTTTTTAAAACTTAGGAGATAGTAGACTTTTATACAACTCATTTTAATAAGATAATCAAATCATTATCATCATAATCATTATCATGTTGCTAGTAAATCCACTGCTTGTGAATGAATGTCTGACTAGGTTCAGACAAAATCTCTTATTTAAACTGCTTGGTTTCTGCAAAAATTCCCCTATAATTAATTTAAACATTATTTTGTGCAAGATGGTAAAATTATAGCTAGGAGGACTGACACTGGAAAAACCAATTCAATAACCACTGAAGCTCATCTTAATTCTTTCCAGAGTGACTGTGGGATAGCTGCTGTATAGCCAGAATTCAAATTATAATCTCATTAACTACTAATGTGTACTTTAGCTCTGCCTTTCCTTTCAAAAGGTTTTAACTTTATTAAAAAAAAAAATAATTGTCATCTTTATTGTTATTTTTTTTTCTGGGGGGAGCCCCTACGGCTCCCCGGAGCTATCCATGGCTGATATGGATATCCTAACTATTTTGCATCAGTCGATGTGGGTGGAGTTCTAGCCTACCGGGGACCACGAGCCAGAACCTGGCCCCCTCACAGAGGCACGGGGAGCAATGGCCCATAGAATGCACATGTGATTTGGAGCATTCTATATCTGCCATCGACTGGGACAGGCACCCAGAAAGGTAAGCGCCACAAAACAAACCCCTATTCTGGTTAACAACAAAAATTGACAAACGAGTGGACAGAACTCCCCAAAAGAAAAACGAGCAAACAAGCACAATGTCACACAAGCGGCGGCACATGTCTACGCAGCTCTCCCCTCCCCGGGAGGGGGAAGGGAGAGCCCCAGACCCCCGAGCCGGCGATCCACGCCCCAGTTCCTCGGCTGATGGGATCGTGCATGGTTGTGTGGCTCCAGCTCCGGTCTTGTCTCAGTGCTGCTCTTACGGTGGTCGTGTGAGCTGGTGGTAGTATTCTCAGGTACTCGGGCTGCACGTGCTTAGGGTCACCTTCCCTGAGTGCCCTGTAAGTACCGCCCTTGGGGCTTGGGGTTGCCTTCCACAAGTCACCTTGGGTCTACCTCTGTTGGCTTTTCGCTGCTTGGCGTTTGGCCGCGCCGAGTGTTTGGGGGTTTTCCTCCCTTGTTTGCCTTGGGGTAAGTGGTAGTTATAGCACTGGTGGGGTGCAGGGTACTGCGTAGCTAGTTTTCACCTTTAACAGTGGCCGGCTCTATTCCCTCTGGGTACGTTGTCCACTTGTGTGGTTTGAGGTAGCCTCATTGTGTGTGTGTGGCTGCCACTCTTGTTTTGCTCACCATACTAGCTTAGTGGTTCGCTATGGGCAACACATATGTACATGGGTATATATAGTGTGTGTATATAGTGTAAGAACAGCAACAGGAGAATGTTGAGAGGAGCTATTTTGGTGAGGGAGGTGACGTAATCATAGCGTCGTCTGCTGTGTGATTTTTCATGCAGTGTATGGTGGCCACTGTACTGTTTGGACACAATACCGGCTTACTTGCATAGTTCTGGTAAATAAAACATGTAGATAGGTATATAGAACATGTGTAATAAGAACTATAACAATATGGTGGGAGGAGCAATGTTGGCGAGTAAGATGTTCGAGTGAGGGAGACTGGCTGGGTGTGGCTGCTCTCACTCGAGGTGTTCTGAATGTGTTCATGGCCAAATGCTCCTATTGACCCATACGAGGCAGCTCCTATTGACCCATACGAGGCAGCTCCTATTGACCCATACGAGGCAGCTCCTATTGACCCATACGAGGCAGCTCCTATTGACCCATACGAGGCAGCTGCCATTGGCCCATACGGGGCAGCTGCTATTGGCCCATACGGGGCAGCTGCTATTGGCCCATACGGGGCAGCTGCTATTGGCCCATACGGGGCAGCTGCTATTGGCCCATACGGGGCAGCTGCTATTGGCCCATACGGGGCAGCTGATATTGGCCCATACGGGGCAGCTGATATTGGCCCATACGGGGCAGCTGATATTGGCCCATACGGGGCAGCTGATATTGGCCCATACGGGGCAGCTGATATTGGCCCATACGGGGCAGCTGATATTGGCCCATACGGGGCAGCTGATATTGGCCCATACGGGGCAGCTGATATTGGCCCATACGAGGCAGCTGCTATTGGCCCATACGAAGCAGCTGCTACGCGGTGTTCTGAATGTGTTGATGGTGAATGTATATAGTGTGTGACAGTGTATAGTGTGTAAATAGATTGTATATATACACAAATTAGCATGATACATAGTAAATATGTGCTGCATATGTGTACACAAGTTTCATACACGTAACAGTGTCTACGGACAGTACGGATGTTGTACTGCGATATTATAGTGTACGTGTTCATTATACATTGGATTGGCACATAAAAACAATGAAAATGTGTTTGGAAAGGTGCGCAAAAAAAGAACGAAAATATATTCGTGGCAACTCGCGCGCCCCGCCCCGAGCGCCCCACCGCCCCCGAGAGCTTACTGCACGAGCGCACGGGGAATGATGACGTCACGCCCCAACTTCCGGACCCCATAACAGCCAAAGTAAGTACAATTTCAACTTTTTTTTTACATACCCAAACTGAGGGAAGGGTTTTTGACACTTTAAAAAGAAAAAAGAATTTTTTCCAGAGAATTTATTTCCTGCGCACTGCGGGGGTGTCACATTTGGAGGCAATACAGTTAAGGGGTTAAAGGATATCAGCCATATGAATGTTCCCTAAGTGAAGAGTATGCAATTGAAGACAAGGTATTTAATATCTACAATATATTATTAATGTATAAAATTATGATATTGCAGCGATTGGGCAAGAAAGTATGTAGAAATTACAAAGTCTGAAGTGAACATAAGCACCCATTTGAAGGACTTGCAGGCAGACACACAGTATGCCATTTATGTACAGACTGACACTGTTGTTGATGCTGACAGCAGTGCCAAATCAAAAATCAATTTCATAAAAACTCTTCCTTGCAGTAAGTAGTCTTAACCTTTTCTTCTGGTTTTCTGGGGGGAGCCCCGTCGGCTCCCTGGAGCTATCCAGGCTGAAAAGATATGTATAACTTTCTGGGATCAGTCAAAGTGCTTGGAGTTCTTGCCTACCAGGGACCATGAGCCAGAACCTGGCCCCCTCAGAGAGGCACGAGGAGCAATGGTCTATAGAAAACCCCCTGTGGTTGGGAGCATTCTATGTCTGCCATCAACTGGGGCAGGTACCCAGAAAGGTAGGTGCCCCAAAACAAACCCCTATTCTGGTGAAAATATTGCTACTGAAAGCCGAACGAGTGGACAGAACTCCCGAATCAAAATTATCAAACTATCATGACGTCATCACATCGCTGCACCGCCGTCTGCGCAACTTCCCCTCCCCGGGAAGGGGAAGGGGGAGCCCCAGACCATCCGTTGGCCGGCGATCCAACCAGTTATAACAACCAGTTCTTGGCTGATGTGATTACTGGCCGGTCGAGTGCCTCTGGCTTGTTTGTGGTTTTGTTTCAGTTCTGTGCCTTGTGGTGTGAGCTGTCTCTATTGGTGGGGTATAAGCCAGGAGTGAGATTCCACGGTACTTGGGCTGCATGCACCTAGGGCTCTCTTCCCTAGGTGCCATGTAAGTACTACCCTTGGGGCTTGGGGCTACCTTCCACAAGTCACCTTGGGTTCTACCTTTGCTGTGTCCTTTACTGCTTGGTACTGGGCTACCCTTGGAGTTAGCTGGAGTTTTGTTTACTTTATTTGTCTCTAGGTAGGAGGTAGTTTTTGTCACTGGTAGGGGAGCGGGGTACTGCACAGCTAGTTTTCACCTATAACAGCGGCCGGCTCTGTTCCGCCTGGGTACGTTGTCCTCTTGCGGGGATTTTCTTTTGTTTTTGTTTTTGCTTGGTGGGGGTTCTGCCTTTGTGGTCCCCCTTGGCTGTTCTAGGGGTTTTTCTATATATGTTTTCTGTTTGGTGGTACTCCTCGCTTGGCCCCGTGAGTGGACACGTCCCGGGGGTTCAGCTTTTAGAAGTTTGTTTGGTAGACTTGGGCGCCGGTTTGCAGTACCCTGCCTGGGCTTCCCTTAGCGTGTTACCAAGGCTAAGGGCCCTGAGAAACCCCGTGGGAGATACATGGTCTGATGGATGTGACCCCTGCGTCCCCCATCGCATTTTGTGAATTTGAACGTGGCTCTGTCCCCATGTCGTAGGGTGACACTCACCTGTTTCGCCTCCACCTTGCTGCCTGTTGGGTCGTTGGATTTTTTACCCGGAGTCGTGCGACGAGTGTTGTCTGTACGTGCTCTCGTTCACCCCGGCCACTGGTCATGATAAGCGGGTGCAGGCGACTGCGGCGTTGCATGCTAGGTTTAGGTTGCTGCAATGCTCTTGGTTGGTTGCGGCCCCGGATGCCCCGAGTCTGCCCCGTTTTGGTTGTTGGGGTTCCGGACTTGGGAGTGGGGGTTTTTCGTCTCTGGTTCCTTCTGCTCCTCCTAGTCCTTCCCCTTCTGTTGTGCATTCTTCCTCCCCTTGCTTCCGACTCCGAACTGTAGGTGGGTTTCGGGTTGGAACACGGTCTCGGGGGTTTTCCTCTTCCGGGGTGGCAGCGGGGGCATTCGAGCCTATTCCTCCTGCCATGCCATGTGGATCTGACCAGTGGGCTCCGTTCCTTAGAGTTTTGCACGGCTGCCCCGGCTTTTCCTTGTGAGGCTGGGGCTTTGGGAGTACGGCTCGGCCCCGGGTCCTGCCGTTGAGGTTCCTGGGGTTGGAGAGAGGTTGAACAGGTTGGAGAGGTTGGCCGAGGGGGCCTCGGCCTCATTTTGCCCTACTAGGGTCTTTGTACCCTCGGTGTGGGGCTTGAAGTTCCTCAGTGGGGGTTTTCCTTCCCCCTCTCTGCATTCGTGTTGGTTTCGGGTCTACCCCTCCCTGGGTGTGGTTCCGTGTCCCTTCGGGTCCGTCGGTCCCGTCATTCTTGGTGTGTTTCACCCCCCTTTTCCTACCCCTTTTCGCGCTTATGTCGCGATGCTGTTCCCTTCGTATCAGGGTTTCCTGCATATCTCTTGCTGATGGGTGTCTTTAAGTCCATATGTACTTCCGTGCATTGGTGCTTGCTTGTCATTGTTCTTGTTGGTTCGCGGACCTCTTCGTACCTTCCAATATTATTGGAACGACTGTTGACGTCCGGTGTGGTTTTTCTCGGGTCCTTTTTCGGATTCGTTGGTCCCCTTCCGTCCAGCTTGTCTTCTTTTGCTTTTGTTTGCCTTATTTTGTTTTCACATCGTCTCTCCTTCCTGTTTCGACATTCCTTGTCTTCGTTACGTACGCCTTGCTGGTGTATGTACGTTATGTGTATTTACGATCTGTGTGTGTCCAACTGGTGTACGAGCCGCACCACCCGGTAGATGGGTGGTGCGGTTCGTACCTCACGTGCTGGGGCCGGGGTGTTCGTTTCGTTTTCTGGGCGGTGTACTCCTGTGTTCCACATTGTTTATCACAGTTTTTCTACAGCTTCTCGCTCATCTTCTTTCTCCAGTCATAGCCCTCTGGATTCTGAGGGTGTTTTGGATTTTATATGTGGGGTTGTCACTTGATTCTTTTCCCTGCTTCTGGGGGTGGGGTGGCTCCATGTGGTGCCACCTCCACCTCTGTCCTGCACCTCGCCTTCTGCTGGGCATGCACTTTTGAACATATTTCAACTTCGAATTCCCATTTTTGTTCGGGTACCAGTACATACGATTCCTACAGCCTCTTAAACGCATATCATTCGGGAGAGCCACTGGTGGTGCTCCTGGTATGTTACTCGGCTCGACTGTGTTGTGGCACGGTCGTGTCTCTGCTTTGCAGGCGAGATTGTATTGTCTGGCGGCTCTGTCGACTCTTTCGGCCAGATGCTGGTTCTCTACTTTTGGTGGGGTACTTGCCTAGTTGTGCTTGCGGGGGTTGAGCTCTGGCTCTTTGGTCCCGCCTTTCCACTGTCGGTCAACGGGTGTGCAGTTTCCTGAGCCTACTAGGTTCTATCTTCTCTACAGTTGCATCTGTGTGTGGCGTCTGCCTCCACTATATTGCTTCCTAGTGCATTTTGTTCATACCTCCTCTGACATTGATCAGGTTCTTTTTAATGTCTGTGGCTCATTTGGGTACTCAGCTTCCTCCTGTGTACCCTTGTGCGTGTACCCTCCCCCTTGTTTAGTCACTTCTCCGCTTGACAGGGTTGCGTTGATGGCTCCTCACAGGGTTGTTAGTTGTTGTGTTTTGCCTGGACACCTTGTGTGTGTTTTGTGTGGCTTTACTTTGTCCGTGTATCTTCCTTATACTGTGGGGGCATTAACCCGCATTTCGGTGCTTTTTGTTGGTTTTTCGGCACCTGGGTCTTTTCCCTTTCTTTGGACACTCCATCGTTCCCTCAGACTGTGCTTTTGTGTCCTCCTTTCTTGCTTGGTCTCTGTTCTCTGAACACTTCTTCTTTCTATATCTTTGGTGCCTGGCTGCACCCTGATATCCATGGTGTCCCTCTGTGTTTGTGTGACCTCACACTCCACACTTTGTGGCTGGTCGTGTACATTGCATTCCTGGCTGCTACTTGGTCCGTATTCGGGGTTTTTCCTTGCCTATTTCCGTTTTTTTCCTCTTGTGCTATACGTGGCTGTGTATCTGGGTTGATGCTTATTGACTATACTGATGTTAGGTGCTGGGGTCGGCCTCTGTCCATGTTCAGTTCACTGCTTTTGGACTACCCCAGAGTTTGGTTTTGGTGCCAAGTTCCTTAATTTTTTCTTTGTATCTCACTGCAGGCTTCTGTGTTGCATTGTCTGGGGGGGGGGGGGTAGGTGGACTTCCGGTCCACCGCTCCTGCCCTACTGGTTCCTTTTCTTGGGACGGGTAGCTGGGATTCCGGTCTTGGCTCCGGTTTTTCTTTGTTCCTTTTCCGGAACGTGTGTGTTTTTTCTGCGGTTCACATCCTGCGTAGTTCCCCTCCTGTATACCTTGGGAACGCGTGCGTTAGTTTTTTTCCTGCTGAAGCTGGTTGCGCTGCTCCTTTGGGTTGCGGGGGTGCAGTTTTGCTTTGCGTCTCGCGCTTTCGTTCGTGGTGCTCCTTTTCTTTGTTGGCCTCTGCCTGGGCCCCTGGCTCCTCGGGGTTTGGCCTTGTTGGTCCTTCGGGAGTCCTGGGGGGGGGGGTCCTCCCAGATAGGGCATGTCTGCTCGCTCGGGTTGGTTCCTTTTCGGCTCACTGAGGTTGGTTTCTCTGGCGGCCGTTCCTTCTGGTATTTGCCTGCCTTGGCAAGACCCTGCTGCTTTCCTCAGTTTCGGTCCTGTGGGTCTTCCTGTGGCTCCGCCTCTTTTTGCTGATCCATCCAGCTCTGTTCAGGGCTGGTTCGTTCTTCCCCTTGAGTCTTTGTGTCTCGGGGTTTTGTCTCTAGTTTCTCGTCGCTTGTGTGTGGGCACTGGTGGCTTCATTGTTGGTCTCTCGCCTGCGTGCTTCGTCCTGGCGGTGTGTAGTTTTCCTGGTGGTCCTTCCGGTTTTCCTATCAGTGCGTAGGGTCCTTCGGGCTCTGATAGGGTTGTTTAGTCTTTCCCTTCGGGGATGTTCCAGGTCCGTCTGGTACTGTGTACTGTCGCCTCGTCTTGGGTGGCGGTGGCGGAGCCACTCCAGCTTGCCTTCGGTGTTGCTATTCTTTCTATTCTGTTCCGCTTGCTGTCTTGGGCGTTCTTTCACCTCCGGCCTGCTCTTGCGTTTCCAGTACCGTCCTGGTTGTTGGCCCGGATGGTCTATTTTCTTTCTTCTCCTTGTTTTAGCCCTTGGGTTGCTGCTTGGTTAGTCAGGCCGGGGAGGCTTCCTTCGCTGTTCTCTGCGCGTCTTAGCCTCTGGGGTCATGGACGCCTTTTTGGTTTGACCAGGTTCCCCTCAATCCCTCCTTCCTGTTCTGGGGTTCGGGTCTGCGGGGTTGTCTGCAGGGTCTTTTAGTTTTGTCTGTGGTCTTGCTTTTTAGGTTCAGGCACATGGCGTCCACCTCCCGGATCCTTCCCTCTTCTTCTTATCTTATCTGTGGTGAGGTAGCTCCGGGGAGCCGACGGGGCTCCCCCCCAGAAAACCAGCATTGAATGTAATGAAACTCCATTTTCTGGGTGAGTGCCGGAGGCTCCCCGGCATCCCTCCCTCCCTCCCTCCGGTTGGCAGTGTTTTTCGTGTGTTTTGACATCCAGCCTAAGAACTGTCAGTTGGATCGCCGGCGCGGATGGTCTGGGGCTCCCCCTTCCCCCTCCCGGGGAGGGGGGGGGCTTGCGCAGACGGCGGCATGGCGACGTCATGATAGTTTTATAATTTTGTTTGGAGAGTTCTGTCTACTCGTTCGGCTTTCAGTAGCAATATTTTCATCAGAATAGGGGTTTGTTTTTGGGCGCCTACCTTTCTGGGTGCCTGTCCTGGTCGATGGCAGACATAGAATGCTCCCAACCACGGGGGTTTCTATAAGCCATTGTTCCTTGTGCCTCTCTGAGGGGGCCAGGTTCTGGCTCGTGGTCCCCGGTAGGCAAGAAATCCAAGCACTTTGACTTATCCCAGCAAGTTATACATATCCATTCAGCCTGGATAGCTCCGGGGAGCCTCCGGGACTCGCCCAGAAAATGGTGTTTCATTACATTCAACGCTGGTTTTTTTTGTCTGACATACCCACATACATATCAAATTACAAAACTAAGTACAGTTTGATAGGGAAGATTTCCCGAGACCTGGAACGTTAAGAACAAGAGGTCATAGATATAAACTAGCTAAACACAGATGCCGAAGAAATATAAGAAAATTCACTTTCGCAAACAGAGTGGTAGACGGTTGGAACAAGTTAGGTGAGAAGGTGGTGGAGGCCAAGACCGTCAGTAGTTTCAAAGCGTTATATGATAGAGTGCTGGGAAGACGGGACACCACGAGCGTAGCACTCATCCTGTAACTACACTTAGGTAATTACACTTAGGTAATTACACTTAGGTAATTACACTTAGGTAATTACACTTAGGTAATTACACTTAGGTAATTACACTTAGGTAATTACACTTAGGTAATTACACTTAGGTAATTACACTTAGGTAATTACTCATTCTCTCTCTCTCTCTCTCTCTCTCTCTCATATTGCCCCCTTCTCCTTGCCTCTCTTCACACATCCCCCTTTTTCTCCTCCTCTTTTGTTCTACCTGTATCTCTGTGCTGTTGTCTGTGTGTTTCCATCTGGCTCATTATTTTTTTTTTTTTTTTTTTTTGCCATACACGCTCATAAAATATAATAGTCTGTCATTGGCATGTGGGTCGCCCACCGATGAGAGGAACCATTACAGCGTCTTCGGATTTTCTCATTGATACTTCACATTAGTGTTATTTCTGTGTTATTATTATTATTATTATTACAATTATTACTATTATTATTATTAATTGCAAGTGTTCTCTCTATTCTGCAGGCCATACTCCAAGAAGTGACCTTAAACAGTCAGGAAAGGTAAGTGCTGTACTTGGGTACATAAATAATTCCATCTATTTTGTGTTTATTTCTCTGTGTGATATCCACTGCTTTGAAATACTGTACACATATAAAAAAGCTGCATATTTAATGCTCTCATTATTAGGTGTATATATTCTTTATTAACTGACCTTTTAATGGAATAGAATACCAAATACAGAGCAATTTTATTAAACAAAATTAATGCCTGCCAGTACAGCATCCTATGTTAATTGCGTATTTGCAGATACAATAGAGTTCATATTTTGGGCTGCCGCAGTGTTTACCTTTTCATAAAATACAACAGTACAGTACAGTCATATATGATAATTTCTTTATCAAAATAAATGCATGACAATAGTTTGCTGCAGAATGTAAAATATCATACATTTAACCCTTGGACAGCGACTATGGAGAAATGGTCATACCCACCAATGCACGAAAAATTAAAAAATTCTGCAAGATAATATTTCTTAATAGAATAACTAATTTGTATGTAAAATGTAAGGAAAATACGAAAATAAGTAGATATTTATCATTTCACTTGGTGGAAGCACTCTGCAAGTCTGAGTCTGGCACTTGTCAACGCCTGGTGCTCGACTTTGCTGACGATTCCTGATTAATCCTCGGATGTTTCACTGATTGTTTTATCACTTCTTTTACTTTATTTACATCCACAGAGAGCTATTATATCCATATTTGCATCATACATGTAAAGCCCAGACAAAAATCGTTATTTGATGATAACTCCAGTCCCCTGGGGATTGTCAATAAACTATAATCATGTCTAAGGGTTAAGGATCTTCCCATTGCCAGCCACTAAGAGACCCCTCTATACAAGGTATTGTCTCCCGTCCTTCCCATTCCACATCACCAGCAATATTTGTTTTACTTGAACTTTAATTCTTTTTGATGGATTCTCAAATTAATTTAATTGTATTTATTTATGCTGAGATGCCTTAATTGTCTTATGAGGTGCAAATACTTATTGTAAATAAAATGTCATCACCTACTTGTACTTGCTGGTCATTTATATTTTAGCAGTAAGAAGAGCTGCCTCACCAGACAAGTTGACTACTCTCTCTCTTGAGGAGTACAGTATGATGTATGTTTTTATATCACAAAATGAAACACATAACAATGGATATAAATTTAGATTTAGGATAGATCTTGGTAATTACTGATTTTAAACAATGTTGTCTACAGTATTTGTAGAACAGATTGCCAAGTAGCGTAATAGATATGGGATTATTTGATTTTGTTGTTGGTTAGATATACATATGAATGAATTTGGACGAATTAATGGTGGCATACTTGAAAAGTTAAAACAAAGAAACCAAAGGTCTTCTTTGCATTCTTCTTCTTCCCTCTTTTGATACTCATGTCTCCCTGTCTGGCCTCGCTATGTTGATGGTATTTTTGCTTTGGCCTCATGACTAGTCTTTTTTCAGCCTTTTCTCTCCTCTCTCCTCGTAACAATCTGGTTCCTTCATTGATATATATGACATTAGTGTCATTTCTGTGTGAATATGGTTCCTTCTGTCAATTTCAAAATTGAATGAGGAATCTAATTCCTTTCTCCCTTCCTTTTCTAAACGTTCGTATTCACGGCTCCATGTATGGTTTTGTTTCCTCTGTTTACCGCTCGCTTATATACAGTGGTAAGTACTTTCCCTACTATCCTCCTCCTGTGAAGAAAAGTGTTCTTGTCTCTCTTCCTCCGGGTCCTACACATCAGTGACTCTGTTTCTTGATTCTAACATTTCTTTTATTTGCCTCTCATTTTTACAATTTATTTACAAGGCTGATCTCATTGAAACTTTTAAAATACTGAACAGTTTGGAGAATATTGATCCAGACCACTTCTTCAAAAGGTCAGATGTAACTTGAATAAGGAGCAATGGTTTCAAGCTCAACAAACACAATGCAGGACAGAAAACAGATGCTTTTTCACCCATAGGGTGAATGTGCAGAATATGTGCAGAATACCCCCCGTTGAAAAGCGGAGGTGCAACAGGTACTCTGAGAGAGAACTCTATCAACATCAGAGGCCCGAGACTGTTCAACACGCTTCCGCTGCACATAAGGGGCATAACTGGCCGACTCCTCACAGTGTTCAAGAGAGAACTGGACAAGCACCTCCAAAGGATACCTGATCAACCAGGCTGTGACTCATACGTCAGGCTGCGAGCAGCCGCGTCCAACAGCCTGGTTGATCAGTCCAGCAACCAGGAGGCCTGGTCGATGACCGGGCCGCGGGGACGCTAAGCCCCGGAAGCTCCTCAAGGTAACCTCAAGGTAGGGTTATAAACACTTGGAACTGCCTACCTGCCGAAGCCATAAATGCCAAAACACTGCTGAATTTTATAATCCAGCTTGATAAAATCAGGATAAATGGGAAGACCTTTGATTATCTGCCAATTTCCTGTCCTCGTCAAGAGCACTAGAGAGTGGCCCCTCGGGTAAATTAAGGTAAAACTTGGGTAAATTCCAATAAACTTTAGGTAAATAAATAGCTACCTCATATGGACCACTATGCCTTCTGCAGTGTCCTTAATTCTTATGTTCTCTTACCACACTACCACTCTCCACATGACCCAATATTCACTGCCACTTCCCATATTTGCTGAGAAAATTATATTATATATAAATGTTGATTTAGTGTTTACTCTTTATTGACACTTCAATAAACAAGCATTGTATTTAATTACTAGTTTAAAATGAATTTAGTTTCTTTTACCAGGACCCAACAAGCACAACTACACTATCTCCAACTAGTGAAAAATCAGATGATGAAGGATCAGGTTCTGGAAAATGTTGCAAGTGCTCTCCAGACATGGTGCACACAGAACAGCAAGAGGACATTGATTTTGAGGATAGACTATTTAGTTATGTTTATATGTAAGTTTTTTGTTTCTATCTGAACTGCCCCCCCCCCCACCCCTCTGTGGCTTCCTCTGCTAGATACCCCCAGGCACTCCTGCAATGCTGGGTTCCTGTTATAGTCTCAATGAACTAGGAACAAGGACCAATATATTGCCCAATTGTATGGGCTGGGAAGTGAGAATGAATCGAAGATAACCAACTTAACAAGGTGAAAAGCCAAGAACCCAGTGTTGAATGTAATGAAGCACCTATTTCTGGTAGTGCCCTGGTGGCTTCCTGAAGCTATCTTCCTGAGATTGCTCCATGCTAAAAGGTCACATTTGTCATAAGTTTTGCTTGGCCTTCTGGAGACTAGAGCCAGAACTGCTACCCCACTGGAAAAGCCTCTTGAGAGTCAGCAAAACTACAGACAACTGGAGGATTCACAGAAAATGAAGCCTCAAGACAGTGTGTGAAAATGATTTCATTTTCTGTGTTCATTTCTGTGTGAAATGATTCACACACAAACAAGGTATTCACTCAGACTAGCTGGAAACTCGTTAGTTCTAGTGATCACCATCATTCAGCTTGGCCCCAGCCTGCAGCTGGCTTCCCTGACCAATCAGTTTAGGAGCTAATGTACAGCCCACAGATGAACCAATAAACCAGAAGGGTTGGACGAGAATCGGAACCGCCAGAGCTCTACTAGAAAGTATCATTTTGTTTCATTCAATACTGGGTTTCTGAGGGAGCTCCTAAATGGCTCACTGAAGCTAACTATCCATAGAGAACAAAAAGGGACTTACCAGGAAGACAGAGAGGCAGCAAGCATTAGGACAAAGAAGAAAACCCAGGCTGGGAGACATGGCCCAATGCAACACATGACTGACTAATGGGCCAAGAACATTGACTAAATACTAGTCCACGAGAACCCTGTTAAAATGCTAAAATCCATGAGTCCAAATATCAGTCTAGGACACGTTGGAGAAGACCACAGCCGGTCATGTATTTGTGAATATCATAGGCCCAAGGGCCTATAATCAAGCCACAGGCTGGCTTGATTATATTACAATGTGGATGAATTGGGTAATGAGTCTTGGAATAAGAGATCAAGGAAACACAGCCAACCAACAACGCGTCTAACGAGGCATAACTTGTGACCAGCAGGTTGCGGCAAAGAGCTGCCACTGGATACAACAAATGATATCCTTCATGTCCTTCTAAGAGCATGCCACACAACCACAAACTCACACTGTACTATGTACCCTTTGGAAAGGAGCTGACCATTGACCCTGGGTGGCCTAGTGAGTGCTGATCATGAAGCCACAACCCAGAGCCGAGATGTCTTTGAACACACCGAGCAACAGAGGAGGATGACACAATGGAACTGAACCCCAAAAAGCTCAAAGGGGAAGCCAGTGAAGCAAGAGCTGACAAGTTACAAGAACAGTGTAACAGGCAGAACAAGAGAAACTGGTACAATGCCTAAGAGCTTAACTCTGCCCAGCAGGAATACCACACAGGCAAAGTTCAGGCACCTGCACAACAGCCTGACCAACTGGTGAGTCACCTGGAGCCAATTCAACTCTGGATGGTGACAAAGATTCTGGTGGATTAGAATTAACTACCAGAAGCAGGGATATAGAAGCCGGCCGAGCATTCTAAAAGAGTCCCAGCCAAGTTCGAACCTAGGATGGAACCAACCGGGACTCTCTATTTCACCATCAACGTGATCAATGTGACCCTAGAGAAGGAGGTAAAAACCAGATTCCTGGCTAGCTGACATGCAGACTGACTATAAAGCATCCTTGAGGTCCAGAGACACCATCCAAGCTCCAGGCTATTAGAGCAAGCAAACTTGGGCTAAAGTGGTCATGCAGAAGGTTGGACAGGGAATGAAGCTGTTCAATCCTGAAAGATCAAGGATGTACCACTGGTCTGCCGAATCCCACTTCGGGACCTAGAAGAACCGGGACACCCACCGAAGGGACAAGGCTGCCTTAACAATGTGTCAGCTCAACCAACCCACAGTGACCTAACTTAGTGCTGGGAGGATTCCTAAGCTGTAAGACCTAACCTCAAGAATGAGAGGGGGAAGGGGGACTGGCCAACTCTCATTAACAAGCCAAGAGAAATAACCTAATAAGCCCACGAATTGTGAGACTAGGATTTGGCAAAACAAATCAGGTGGGGTCATCGCCCCCAATTGCTGCATTAAAGGAGCGAACTGTGAAAGAGGCATAATGATCCACAAGTGGAATCGCCCTTCCACAACACACAGTTGCGACGTCAAGCAAAGAAGGAATTTGCATCAGGATACGAAACGGTTCGAGAATCAGACCCATCCAAGGACCTATCTCAACCAATAACAGGCGAAGTCCCACCATACCTGACTGCCTCTGAGTGGGGGCATAACCTCAAGAAAACAATATACTATCTAGTAGTGGCAAGAAAAAGCCACCACAGACAAAAACCTGTGCAACGACGTCCTCAGGAAAGAGGTAAGGTGAAAAGGGCAAAGCAGGTCAAAAAGTAAGAGACCAAACCAAATCTAATGAATGGACCAACACAGCATGTCACCACATGAGGCAGACCGAATAAAATGCTGCTGCCACCTCCCAGAGGAGAGGGGCATGCATTTTGAGCAAGGCTGCCAAGGCCAGAATGAAGGCCTCTACACTCGGAGCAGAACCCAGTGATGCCTTATCTTCACAGACTTGCTCAGAGAGCCCTTCCATGAGAACTCAAACACATAAGACTGCCAGACACGTAATATGCCACTTGTCCATATTTTTTGGGAGCAACGAAGCATATTGAAAGTTCCAGAGCTGAGCATAAAAAGCACTACCCAGGAACACCTGAAAGATGAAATTTGCCTCCTTCCAATCAAGTGTGTGTGTCTGATGAAACCACCTGCTAAGCTCCCAAGGAAAAAGAGAGGGTTGTCAACCAGCCAGGATGAACCAAAGACCTCACACAGCAGGCAGTAAGCCAAGACAGCCCCATACTAAAAAGAGACTGGGTCCATCAAGGATAATAGGTTCGAGTCCCACAAGAGGTACTAAAACAAATCTATGTAAACCACCTAAAGCATAACATTGGACGACGGAACCTCTGGAAATATGATGGCTCCAAGGCATTGAACGGGACCAGGAGTCGAACCCTTGAAGAAGCAGCTGAGCACTCATCATATATAGAAAGTCGATAAGAAAAACTCTCTTCCTGGAGCAAGAGGTCCTCTGCAGAGGGGACCAAAGTCCACAAAGGGTTGAAGGTCACCCATGGACCCTGCTCTGGCTCATCATCAGCTGTGGAAGTCTGTCATAAAGGTTCTGGAGCAGAGCCAAAGTACTTGCCTAACACTCGCAAAAACTTCATCCATCTAAGGAAAAGTTTGGAGTGGGGTAGAGGGCATTTGTTAAGATGAATGCCCCAAAACCCTGGTGGGACCAGAAGGCTCAATCTTCTCACATCCTCCGCCATGAAAAGGATGTGACCACCTCAAGAGAAGGCCGTGGTACTCCCTGAGCTAAACCTCAACCTGACTGTGAAACCTTTAGTCCAGGCGGAGGTCACCAACACCAGCAATCGAGCCCCTTGACACCATAGGGGCAAACTCAGGGTATCCACAAGATCAATATGCTGTAAATGTCTAACTCCAGTTGTCTATCAAGCTTTGCTGACTTCCTGAATACTTTCCCAGTGGGGTGGCAAATTGTCACTTGCTTTCCCCTGTCCCTCTGTAAGAGAGGGTCAGGTTCTGGTCTCCAGTAGGCCAAACACAATTTCTGCAACTGATGTGTCCTTTTGGTATGGAGCAATCTCAATAAGAAAGCTTCAGGAAGCCACTGGCATGGCTCCCCCAGAAAATGTCAGAAAATACTAAACATCTCTGAGAGAAACATTAAGAAAGCCAAAACATCAACTGAAACAGGCAAACTACTGTGCTTGTTTCTCAACACACCCTACTACCATCAGGTGTTGGCCAGAGTCACACAGGTGTCTTCCCAATCATCCATCTTGCACATATCTGGTTTCTTCCCCCCTGCCTCCTCTCAGCAACATTAAGGCTTCTGCCAAGACCACTGTCAACTTTACATGATGAGTAAGAACCTTTACTTTGAACTTAGTCTTGCAGTATGATCAACCTTCATATGTTTCATGAGCGTGTAAAGTCATGTATGGTAGTGAACTTTAGTGTTTCTGGCTGTATTGTTCACTTCAGTTCTCATTTCTGGGGTGAATTTACCCCCTGGCACTGTTAGTGAACTTTGCTAACGACAAGAGTTTAACTACTAAAGAGTTTTTTCAGGTTTCTCCTTTAGTCACAAGTTACACTTCTTTAGTTACCCCCTATTGTAGAAAGTGCTTGAGAACACTATTGCCGGTAGAAGACCTGTGAGAAGTTATTAGTTGTGTTGCACACAGTTTTGGCATGTCTGTCTGCATTTCATTAATCATGTTTTATTTTCAAAAAGGCCTTCATTTACCTCCATGACACCATAGGGAAAAATCTCTTTGGGGTGGTGCTGAGGGGGCCAGCCCAGGAACAGAGCAATGAGGGTAATGAAAAGACTTCTTTCTAGGCAGCGCTCTATTTTGTGCGGGGAGTTCACTTTGGTGAACCACCCAGAATAAGGTAGATTGATTGATTGATGAAAATTAAGCTACCCAAAAGGTGGCACGGGCACGAATAGCCTGTAAGTGCTGGCCCTTTTGAGCCATTACCAGTATCAATAGATGATACTGGAGATCTGTGGATGTGCGGCTGCACCCTGCGTGATGGAAGATGTCTCCCGTGAGAATAAGGTAGTGAATGTTTGAAGGAGGTAAGAAAGAAAGTGCTTACTCTTGGTAAACTGAGTGTGTCAATGGAACCTTTCATTGTAGAGGTGCCCTGGGGTGCTGGTACAGCAAACTAGCTGTTATGTTTGTAAAAACCTATTTTCTCTTTTAGTAGTTATCATTTTACGTATTAAAATTGTATTTAGTATGCTTTATTTGTTTCTGTTAACTGCTCTCCTGTACTTTTCACTTTCCATAATACAGTATTAATTTTTTGTTTTTAATATTTCAGGCGTCGTTCTAACAGGAAAAAGCGCAGTAATGCGGATTTTCATCATCAGGTTTGCTATACAGTTGTTTATTATTTACCTCGATAAACTGTCTAGTTTTAACTCCATATTAACTATGTGTAAAGGCTTGAGACATTTATAGTGGTACAGGTAGTTGTAATTCTTTAAGCAGAAAATCCGACTGAAAGAATGAAAAGTTTCTTTCTCAGCATGACAAGTGAATGTTTAAGGCAAGGTTACTGAATGTTCCATTGGACAAGTTCATAATAGAGCACAGTAACATTCTGCCCCAGTGCAAAAATAATATTTGTTTATAGCATCCCTCCTGGGTCTTGCTGGTACTTAGGAGGAACTGGATATACCTAAAGTGTACCACCTTGATTTGGTAAGTTATACAATGAGGGCGCCTGACAGCTGAGTGGACAGTGCTTCGGATTCATAGTGCTGAGGTTCCGGGTTCGATCCCCGGTGGAGGCGGAGACAAATGGGCAAAATGTTTCTTTCACCCTGATGCCCCCCCCTGTTACCTAGCAGTAGATAGGTACTTGGGAGTTAGACAGCTGCTATGGGCTGCTTCCTGAGGGAGGGGAGGGGAAGGGGGGGGGGGTGGTAACAAAAAGGAGTCCTGGTCGAGGACTGGGCCACGGGAACGCTAAGCCCGAAATCATCTCAAGATAACCTCAAGATAGATTCCACAGAAATCTCTAGAAGCCTCCAGACTTCCAGAATGGTTCAGTTGTATCTACCCAGCAGACGTAACTGCTGGGTAGATAATATGTTTTCATTTTCTTAATTTCTTGTCTTTCTGTGAACCTAGCAGGTTTGTTATTTTCCTTCACTTGCTTTCTTGGCATTTCCATGATGAGGGTAATCCTAACAGTCCCCTGCTTCCTGTCCCTCTGTGAGGGGCCTCCTCACAGAGGCCCGTTTCTCTGTGAGTGACGACTTCTGGTCTCTGGTAGGCCATACAGACTCCTAGGGTTGATGTAACTTAAAGGCATGGAGATACCTCATTGACTTAGCTACAGAGAGCCACCAAGGACCCACCTGGAAGAAACGGTTAATTATATCCAATGCTTTTTCGGGGGGGGGGCCCCGTTGGCTCCCCAGAGGCTCCCCGTTGGCTCCCCGTTGGCTCCCCAGAGGCTCCCCGTTGGCTCCCCAGAGGCTCCCCGTTGGCTCCCCAGAGGCTCCCCAGAGCTATACCAGGCTGAACAAAGTAGATGGCAAATACCTTGGTGTTCTCATTGACCGCAAGCTGAATTTCCAGGGACACATTCTAAATATATAAAAAAACGTTTCAAACACTGTTGGCATTCTTTCTAAGATCAGATATTATGTACCTCGCCCTGCCCTGGTGACACTCTATTATTCTCTCATCTATCCTTATCTCAACTATGGTATTAATGCTTGAGGTTCTACTACCCAAAATCATTTACGTCCTCTAATTACTCAACACACAGCTGCTATTAGGACAATATCTAACTCTAGTCCCAGACATCACTCGGTACCCTTACTCAAATCTCTAAATATGTTATATGTTAGATATTAAGATATTAAATTATAATTAGATATTAAATATATGTTAGATATTAAGTCCCTGCACATCCTCTCATGTGTATTTTATATATATAAAACGCTGAACTGTAATGTCAATCCTGACCTTAAAAGCATCCTAGAAGGTTGTAACAGATTCCATGAGCACCACACCAGAAACAAATATGTATTTGATATTCCAAGAGTACGACTTAGTCAAACTAGAAATGCTTTACAAATCAAGGGACCTCGAATGTGGAATGACCTTCCAAATTATGTTAAAGACTGTACCTCTTCCAACCAGTTTAAGATAAAAACTAAGTACTACCTAATTAACTCAATGTAACCTACCTTCCCGGGAGGGGGAAGGGGGATCCCCAGGCCTCTCACGCCGGCTATCCACCCATCAGTTCTTCGGCTGATGCTAAATGCACCGGTTGTGTGCTCCGGCTCCAGTGGTTGTTTCAGCACTGTGCCTAGAGTGTGGTGTCTGTCTTCTAGGTTGGTTGGGCTGGGGGTGTGTCGTGTTTTGTGTTCAGTTGCGACCCTCCGCTGTTATTTGCGCGCCGCGGCTTCTGTGTCCTGGGCGCGTTTTGGGTTGATCTGGTTCCGTTCTTCCCTGTTTCGTGGGAGAAGGTGTCCCGGGTTGTCCGCTATGTTTTTTGCGGCTAGCCAGCCTGTGTTCTTTGCTCGTGCCCGTGGCATTCGTGAATTCGCTGCTCTTGCTGCCGTCTTGGTGGCGTGTCCTTGCTGATTTCGGGCACGGGGCATTTTGGCAGTCGTACAGGGGCCTGGCTGCTCGTTGTCTCGTGTCGTTCCCGGGCTCATTCGGGCCTCTGTTGCCTTGGGTTGGCGGTTGCAGCCAGTTGTCTCGCTTTCCGTTGAGGGGTGCGTGGTGTTCGTCTCCTGGATTCGTCCTTTTGACCTTCTTCTGTGGGTAGCTAGCTCCGGGGAGTCAACGGGGCTTCCCCCAGAAAACCAGCGTTGAATGTAATGAAACACCATTTTCTGGGTGTGACCCGGAGGCTTCCCGGCAACCCTCCCTCCCTCCCTCCCTCCCTCCGGTCGGTGGTTTTTCACGTGTTTTGACATCCTGCCTCAGAACTGATGGGTGGATAGCCGGCATGAGAGGTCTGGGGCTCCCCCTTTCCCCTCCCAGGGAGGGGGGAGCTGCGCAGACAGCGGCGCGTTGACGTGTGACGTCATACTTGTTTGCCATTTTTTGGGTGTGACCCGGAGGCTCCCCGGCAACCCTCCCTCCCTCCCTCCCTCCGGTCGGTGGTTTTTCGCATGTTTTGACATCCTGCCTCAGAACTGATGGGTGGATAGCCAGCATGAGAGGTCTGGGGCTCCCCCTTCCCCCTCCTAGGGAGGGGGGGAGCTGCGCAGACAGCGGCGCGGTGACGTGTGACGTCATACTTGTTTGCTTGTTTTCTGTTGGGGGGGTTCTATCCACTAGTTAGGCTTTTGGTAGCAATTTTAACCAGAATAGGGATTTGTTTTGGGATGCTTGCCTTTCTGGATGTTTGACCCGGTCGATGGCAGGCATAGAATACTTCCAACCACACGGGGGTTTCTATAGGCCATTGCTCCCCTTGCCTCTCTGAGGGGGCCAGGTTCTGGCCGTGGTCCCCGGTAGGCCCTAAGAACTCCATACACATGACTGCTGCCAAAGTCTGACATCAGCATATCAGCCTGGTATAGCTCCAAGGAGCCTTCAGGTCACACCCAGAAAATGGCGTTTCATTACATTCAACGCTGTTTTTTTTATTGTGGCTTTTTGATCGGGCTGTGTACAACCATTAACAGTACATTAGCCAACGGTGTTTTTACATGCATGTCACTAATTTGAAACGTAAGTACATACTGGAATTATTCTATGAATACTGGATAGAACTTTCAGGCCATAGAACTTTATAGAACTTGTATTATTCTATCTTCTTGTATTATATATTCAGCTGTTGAGTTTTATTGCAGAGTGAAGTATTGTACCATATACATATTCAGTGGTATTTGTAGTGTGACGGTGTTCCTCCCCTGCCTTATATTTCTCCCATGTCTGCTGTAAGAGTCATATCCACTTTACCCGAGTGTTCTCTATGTCACGGGCATCAGTTTGATATACAGTATGTGGGAGAGTGTAGTGTTCTCGCGTTGGCGAGAAATTTGTAAAAGAAGAGTATTTTGGCCTGTGGTATAGGCCCTTTAGGACGCCAATATGGCGCTGGCCCCTCCGTTTTGCCGCCAAAACTGTGTGATGTCAGTGGCACCGGATTGGTCACCGACAGTGACATTGCACAGGGAGCCAATGAGAACCGCCCCTGGCAAGTATGACGTCACGAAGGCAGGGGGGTCCGGTCATCGCGCCACTTTGGCGCCACCAGTCTGAGACAGCACACCAAGGAGGTCGGACGTGCGCTGGGGGATCCTGTCAGTTTGACAGTTTACCCCATCTCCGGAGGATTTACGCATCACCGGTGGTCTGCCAGCATCTGTGGGGTCTTCCTTCGTTCATGTGTTGGACCAGAGAGGGAATTGACGGAATATTGAGCAACAAGTGCTCCAGGGATAGGTGTTGTGCAAGAGTGGAGTCTAGGCAGTGACGTCTGGGACGTCTGATAGCTTCACAGTGATGACGTAGTGGCTGGGCCAATCCTCCGTGAGGGAACCAGTCTGGCACGACATGTCAAGGTGGACGGATGTGCGAAGGTTGGTCCTGTCAGATTTGACAGTTGTATCCCGCTCCCGTGGATTTTACGTGTCACCCGTAGTCTGCAAGTATGCCGAGAGGTCTTCCTTCATTCCATGTGTGGACCGAGGAGGGAATTGACGGGATATTGAGCATCAAGTACTCCAGGGTCGGGTGCTGTGCAGAGTGAAGTCTAGACAGTGACGTCTGGGACGTCTGATAGCTTCACAGTGACGACGTAGCGGCCGAGCCAATCCACCGGGAAGCAGTGAAAGAAGAAAACTAATTGGGAATCAGGACGACTGCAGCCGAGAAGTAGGTTGGCAGCCGTAGTTGTGAGGAGAAGTCGACGGCCGGGAGACCGACTTCAACCCTGCAAGACATTGTGGAGGAGCACGGACCTGCGGAGGACAGAGCACGGAGACGACACGTTTATTTTGGGACGTTGATTGGGTTCCTGGAGAACGCATCAGTGTGTGTGTGGGGGCATTCCCTACAACGAGACGAGAGCCGGGACCAGGAGCAGCAATTCAACTCTCACCGGAGGACGAGTCCACATCAGTGAGGTGGAAGTAGGTGATTCTAGTTTCCCTCCCAATTTTCCTTTAGTCAGCTATATATTTAGCCAGAGTATCTTTCATGTCGTGAGCAAGGCTCACCTATGTCTATGTCACGGTAGGACACAGTTGTGAGAAGTGAGGCTGTAGAAACCTCTCACGGTATAAATATTTGTGGTGTGTGGATGCACCTGATATCATTGAAGAGTTTACTGTGTCGTTGATGATTTCTTTCATGTGACATTAATATGATAACTTATGCCAGAGAATATATATATAAGTGTACCAGTTATTGGTGTTAGGCTGTGTGCCCAGTATTTATCTTATTATTATTGATATTGATGAATTTATCTCTGTATATGTACTGTATATGTTGGTGTGATGAATAACATTTCCATGTGTGCAGTGATTGTGTTATCGCCTTCGAGAGGAATTACTGAATCTAAGAACAGTATGCAGGCGATGAGTCACAATAACGTGGCTGAAGTATGTTGACCAGACCACACACTAGAAGTTGAAGGGGCGACGAACAGTAGAACAGTACCGTGGTTAATTGCATTCATTGTAATTATTATGAAGTACAGTGCATTTATTATCATTAAGTACAGTGTAACGCCATTATAGTGAAATATGTTAACTGCTGTAGAAATGAGTTATTGAACTTGAGATCAGTGTGGTGATTCATTGCGTTCTATTGCCATTGTAGAAATATTGTGTTGATTACAAACATAGTGATCCCTGCGAATTTAAAGAATCAATCGCTTCACGCCAAAGAAACAAGTACTAAGCATTCGCACGGTGAGGGGGCCCGCTCAGCTGATTATGACATTAACAGGAGGAGGGAGAGTATTGCCCTCTAGATGAGCCCCAGTTTTATGAAGAGAGATTGACTTTCTGCATTGTACTTGATGTTTCGTTGTCGATACGGATATAATACCTTGAAGTTTTAAGTAAAATACAAAATACCTTTGCGTTTGTATTATCCCTCCATATATCTTGATGCTATAGAACAGTTCCAAAGAGTGAGAGTATTAGAGACATATACCTGCCTGAGACCAGATTTAATGAGTGAGCTCTGCCATTAGTACCACAATTCCACAATACCACTGACATGTTACTGGACACGGGAAACACCAGTTGGCGACCTTGCAGTTAGTAGTAGAGCCCTTGTTGGGGCGGGCACACGGTTGGGACAGAACAAACTGTGTTCCCACTCATCTTTGGCTATAAGGCTGGCTGGGGATCGACTGGGATACTCTCCTGGTGAACAGTGGTGCCGCGAGGGTTGAGTGAAGACCCGCAGGGCTACGGTGAGTAACAGTTATCCCTAATACTACTGGGTGGTGTCCATGTAGAGAGAGAGACACCCCAACGTTGGCGACCGTTGACAGGATAAAGTACTTAGGATATCTTGTATACTGTTACTTGCCTCTCGCGTACCCCGAGAGTAGGTTATATAATCTGTCAAGAAAAGTGTTTTGTGCCCAAAAATTAATTAAATATTCCCAACACTTGGCAACACTCTGGGTTAGGAAATAGCCTCAAATGTGTAGTTAAAGAAGGTGGATACTGTTGTTGTTGCTATAAGCTCTAGCACTAGTACGGTTCAGCTGTGTCTAACCAGCCTTGTCCATCATGATCCTGTTTAATGGGACATATAGATAAGGGAAACTTGCCATTGAGAGCATCTTGGTGGATTAGCAAACAAAATATAATATATTGTGAATAATAATTTTGCCAATAAAAATATTGAAAATATTTTTAAAATTTAGACATTATGATTAATATTTTTCTACTTGAACAATGGACAAGATTAAAGTACAATATGTTTATTTGCTTTTCACAGGAAGAAGAATCCTCCATTCTTCGTAGCAGGAGTCCATGTATTTACACAGATTTGTCTAATGTGAACAACTCGTTTCAGAAAGGTAAGTGTTAAACATGTGATCCAGTCCTGTTCCTTTTACCCAAACGTTTCCCTGCCAACACATGCATTTATTGCCTCCTTTCCCCAAATCCTTGCTCAAAGGAATTTAAATTAAAATGTTAATGAACTCCATAACCACAACTTGGCGAGAAACTTCTTAACACCTTGATGCTCTGGTCACACATGCGCCACACTACCCCAGGTGGGTTTGGGCATTCCGCGGGAGCGCGCGGTAATTCTGAAAAGTGTATAATCTTTTCAACATTGTTACCTCAATTCTCGTCCTAGGTTTTTCAATTTGGTATCATTGTGTTTACAATAGAATTCTCTACAGGACTAAAGGCATATTAAGTCCAAATGCCCAGCGTACTATCTGCAACAAACAGAGAAAGAGAGAGCATGTTACCCGGGAGCGCGCAGGACCGATAAAATGTGTACACTCCTTTCACTTTGGTCACCTCAATTCTTGTCCTAGGTCTTTCATTTTGGTATCATTGTGATCGCAATAGAATTCTCTACAGGACTAAAGGCATATAAAGTCCAAATGCCCAGCGTACCATCCGCAACAAACAGAGAAATTGAGAGCGTGTTACCTGGGAACGTGCAAGACCGATAAAATGTGTACACTCCTTTCACTTTGGTCACCTCAATTCTCGTCCTAGGTCTTTCATTTTGGTATCAATGTGTTCGGAATAGGATTCCCAACACATTGATATGCATATACTGTAATGTCAAAAACAGTGGCGTGCTCCACCCGCCGACAAGATGAAAGTTTCCAGAAAGAGAGCGCTGCACCACCCCAAGACGCAACTCATTACAATAGAGAGTGCGGTCATACCGAAATGTGTATACTCTCTTCAACTTTGTCATCTCGATTCTCATCCTAGGTTTTTCAATTTGGTATCAATGTGTTCACAATAGAATTCTCTACAGGACTAAATGCATATAAAGCCCAAAAACCCGGCAAGAAAGTGAGAGCGTGTTACCCGGGAGCGAGAAAGAGTAATAAAATGTGTACACACTCTTTTTTTTTTTTTTTTTTTTTTTTTTTTTTTTTTTTTTTTTTTTTTTTTTTTTGAGATATATACAAGAGTTGTTACATTCTTGTACAGCCACTAGTACGCGTAGCGTTTCGGGCAAGTCCTTAATCCTATGGTCCCTGGAATACGATCCCCTGCCGCGAAGAATCGTTTTTTCATCCAAGTACACATTTTACTGTTGCGTTAAACAGAGGCTACAGTTAAGGAATTGCGCCCAGTAAATCCTCCCCGGCCAGGATACGAACCCATGACATAGCGCTCGCGGAACGCCAGGCGAGTGTCTTACCACTACACCACGGAGACTGCAAACTTTGGACATCTCAATTCACTTTCATCTCATCTCTTCACTTTGGACATCTCAATTCTCGTCCTAGATCTTTCATTTTTGTGTCATTGTGTTTGCAATAGAATTCCCTACAGGAGTATATGCAAATATAAAGTCCAAAAGGCCGGCGTCCCACCCACAGCAAACAGAGAAAGTGACGGTGCGTTACCGCAGTGAGCGCTAATAAAGAGCAATAAAATGGGTATACTCTTTTCAACTTTGTTACCTCAATTCTGGTCCTAGGTCTTTCATTTTGGTATCATTGTATTTGCAATGAAATTCCCTACATGTGTGTATGCATATAATGTCCAAAACCGCAGTGCGCCCCTCCCGAAACCGTCGCCAATTTGCCGCCGGAAATCACGCAATGCTGCGTCATTACCCGACTTCCCCCAAGTAAAAAAGTCACGCAATGCTGCATCATTACTGGACCAAAGTGTTAATCGTTTTTGCATTTTGGTTCCGGTAATGATTGTTTGTGTAATTACCAAAGTGTAGTTACAGGATGAGAGCTATGTTAATGGTGTCCCACCTTCCTGGTATTCTTTATCATATGATGCTTTGAAACTACTAAAGGTACTGTATTGTTATCCACCACCACCTCACTTAATTTGTTTCAACTGTCTACCCCTCTGCAAGAGAGAACGTTCTAATAATAATAATAAATTTGTATTCAGGAAAAGTACATACATAGTTGATTTACAAACATAATGTTTGGATTTATATATTGAGCTAGTACAGTGGTACCTCGGAATACAAGTGTCCTTGTATACGAGTTTTTTGGAATACGAGCAGGATTTCCTCAGAAGGCAAGGGTGTTGATATGCGTACAGGCCGACCTAGCGCGTGGTGGTACGGCGGTTGTTGCCCCTCACCCCTCAGTTTACCAGTGCCTCGCGCCCAGTGAATATCCCACGTCAATTCTTCACCAGGATTTTCAGTGCTTTGTTGGATTTTTGGTCATTTGACCATAAAAGTTATTATATATCTCAATGGGTCCCAAGAAAGCCAGTGGTAAGGATCAAGGCAAGAAAGCGCATGTGAGGATGACAATAGAGGAAAAACAAGAGATCATTCGGAAGCATGAAAATGGTACACATGTTGTTGAACTTTGTAGGCAGTGCAACAAAGCCACGTCAACGATATGCACTAAACTTAGCAAGAAAAAGGACATTATGAATGCTAAACTGACAAAAGGTGTAAGAACAGTCACAAAACAAAGACCACAAATACTTGAAGTAGAAGTTGTTATTAATTTGGATACACAACAAGGAGTTAGCAGGTGATAGTGTTTCAGTGGCCATCATTTGTGAGAAAGCAAGGGTATTGCACGAAGGCCTTGTAAAGAAAACCCCTGGAACGAGTGCAGATACGATAGACTTTAAGGCAAGCAGGCGATGGTTTGAAAAATTTAGAAAAAGAAGTGGTATCCATAGTGTTGCGAGGCATGGGGAGGCTGCCAGCTCAGATAAACCAGCAGCTGAAAGATTTATTGAAGAATTTAAAGAGTTTGCAGAGGCTGAGGGATATCTACTGCAACAAGTTTTTAATTGTGATGAAAAAGGACTGTTCTGGAAAAAATTGCTTAAGAGGATATACATTACCAAGGAGGAAAAATCATTGCCTGGACACAAGCCTATGAAAGATAGGTTTACGCTTGTGCTGTGGTCAGATGCGAGTGGCGATTTGAAAATTAAACCCTTGCTAGTGTATCATTCTGAAAATCCAAGGGTTTTCAATCAGTGTAAAGTGCAGAAAAACCAAATGTGTGTGATGTGGAGGGCTAATAAAAAGGGCATGGGTGACTAGGATTTTTTTTTTTTGGAGTGGGTGAATGAAGTGGTGTGCCCTGCCATAGAAAAATATCTGCAGGAGAAACATTTGCCACTCAAGGCCCTGCTTCTCCTCGACAATGGTCCTGCTCATCCTCCAGGCTTGGAAGATGACTTGGTGCACAGATACAGTAAATTTCTCACAGTAAAGTTCCTTCCTCCTAACACCACTCCTCTAATTCAGTCTATGGACCAGAAAATCATAGCGAATTTTAAGAAACTTTGTGAAAGGGCACTTTTCCGGAAATGTTTTGAAGTGACTGAAGCCACAAACCTCACTCTCAGAGTTCTGGAAAGACCATTTTAACATTTGTAGTGCTTTAAAACTTGTTGACAAAGCCTGGCAAGAAGTGACTGAGAGAACCCTGATCTCTGGCTGGAGAAAATTGTGGCCTGAATGTGTGACAGAACTAGACTTTGAGGGGTTTGAGCCTGTAAATGATGTGCCTATTGTTGAGGAAATTCTTACTCTGGGCCGACAAATGGGCTTGGAATCGGATGGTGGTGATGCGGAGGAGTTGGTGGAAGAACACAATGAAGAACTAACCACCGAAGAATTCCAAGCCCTTCAAAAGGAACAGTAAGAAGACACGGCTGAGGATGTTTCTCCAGTGGAGGAGGATGAGGTAGTACAGAATGTCCCTTCTGCACACATTAAGAAGTGGTGTCAGATGTGGGAAGAGATGCAAACTTTTATTGAAAAGACTCGCCCAGAGAAAGCTGTAGTAGGCCGTTGCCTTAATCTTTTCAATGACAATGTGATGCCTTACTACAGAGACAGCTTGCGAAGAAGGGAAAAACAAGCTTCCATGGACAGATTTCTTGTGAGAAAATCGAGCAGTGAGCCACAACCAGGACCTAGTGGTATGCAGGTAAAACATGCCAGGGAGTGCACACCAGAAAGGTCCTCACTGCCTGATGTTATAATGGAAGGGGGACTCCCCTTCCAAACAGTAACACCTCTCCTCCTTCCCCCTCCTCACCATCTTCCATATGCCTATAGCATTCATCAACAAGGGTAAGTAATAACTTGAACATAGTTTTGTAGGTTTATTTAGATGAATTGGGTATAAAATTTAGTTTGAAGTGAGGTTTATTTATGGGGAAATTAGCTTCAGATTACGAGTTTTCGGAATATGAGCTGTCTCCAGGAACGGATTAAACTCTTAAACAGAGGTACCACTGTACATATAATACCTAAAGTCACTAATACGCATAGCGTTTCGGGCAAACTGAATATATTTTTTTGCACCTTTGTTTCCTTAGATTGAGTCTATGATCTGTTCTTTAGTTACAGGTTTTCAAGTATTCCTTTGTCAATTCCTGTTACTGTTTTGTACATAATGATCATATCCTCTCCTTTTCTTCTATCTTCTAGCATTGGCATATTTAGCACATCTAGCCTTTCTTAATAGCTTTTGCTTTTCAGTTCAGGAACCATTTAGCATGTCTTTCCATCCTCTCTGGTTTGTTGATGTGCTTCTTGAGATATGGGCATCATACAACTGCTGCATATTCCAGTTTTAGTTTCGCAAAAGTTGTGAACAATTTCTTTAGTATTTCACCATTGTATAATTAAAACAGATTCTGAAGTTGGAAAGCATAGCATAGGCTCCTCACACAATGTCCTTTATATGGTCTTATGATGACAGTCTACACTCCTTAGATCATTTTCTTTGTCCATTTTCTTTAATGACTTTTCATATAATTGAAACAAAAGGGTGTAGGACCAATTGCACTGAAGACCACAGGAGATAAACAGGAAGGCCCATGCACTCAGGGCCTAAGAACTGGCAAAAACAACCATATGTTTCCCAGTGTTGTCAAAAGAGTGCACTAATAAAGGGCTGGCACAAACTGCCCCACTTCTGCGATGCTCAAGAACAATGCCAACTATAAGAGGCAAAAGCCAGAGGAAGCTCAACAGGCCAAGAATCTGGCTCCAACAGAAGCCTACACCAATAAACCACAGGTGACGCCCTAACCCAGGAGAACTGATTCTGAGCAGCAGGGACTGAACCTATCTGTGAGAGAACTTGACTAAGAGGCTGAAGGCTGGAAGGCAACAGCTGCTGCCAAAATCACTGAAGAGATAGCAACTTAGGAAAAAGCAATTTGAATTTCTTCCATCTTTGGAACAGCAACAACAAGGACATAGGGAAACTGGACAAATTTTTTTGAGCCACTAGCGAGGGTGGTGGTGGTATCACTCAGGACATGGAGTGTGGTCATGATAACGAACGCATAGGGAAGGGCAACCCTAAGTATGTGCAGTTCAAGGTGAACAGTTTTCAAAAGTCCACACAACATGGGAGGCTTGTAAGTACATGAACATGAAGCAAACACTAAAATATAAAAATGATACAAAAGAAAATGGACCCCAACAGGGCAGAGTATAAAGAATGGCCAACACTTGTCTGAGAAATAGTTGGAATCTGAAAGGCTGGTACTTGCCTGGTGTGCATCATTTGTTGTATCCAGTAGCAGCTCTTTGCCGCAACCCGCTGGTCACAAGTTATGCCTCATTGGACATGTCAGACATGTCAGACAACAGGCAAAGGACTGAGGATTGTTAACATTGAGGGCTGTCAGCTCTGGTGGAGCTGCAACTTAGCACTGGCCAACTGTAACTAGGGAGTAAGACCTAACTACTGGGTATATCATTTGAGTTATTTGCTTCTTTGTTTCTCTCTCTTCTGGGGGAGCTTGCAATTGTCTGTTTCACCTTGGTTCCTTTCTAGATGTTATTTTAGTGAGCTAATCATTAGATCACCTACTCCCTGTTATTCTGAGGGTGTCAGGTTTTGGCCTCTTGCCTCTGGTAGGTATATAAGGAAGCTGATGTGACTTCTGTTTGGAGCTATCTCCATACACACACAGTAGTGACAGGGAGCCACCATTCAGCACCTTGACACAAGGCCTAAGTCAAGCAAAAGCTGGATGTAACAGATGGAGTCTCATACAATGTAATCAAAATTTAATGTAAGCTATCAATGCCTTTCGATAAATGTGACCATGGCGTGATGGCACACACAATGAAGTCAATGGGAATAACTAGTAAAGTTGGACGCTGGATACTCAGTTTTCTGTCAAACAGGACTCGGTAAGTAACAGTCAACCACATAAAATCTAGTCCAAGTGCAGTTAAAAGCTCTGTACCGCAGGGTATAGTCCTTGCACTGCTGCTTTTCCTTATTTTCATATCATATATAGACAAAATACAAGTCACAGCTTCGTATCATCCTTTGCAGATGACACAAAAATCAGTATGAAAATTACCTCGGTTGAAGACATTGAAAAACTTCAAGCTGATATTAATAAAGTTTTCGACTGGGCATCAGAAAATAACATGATGTTTAACGGTGATAAATTCCAGGTACTCAGGTACGATAAAAATGAGGACCTTAAACATAATATAGGGTACAAAACACAATCGAATCTGCCCATAGTAGGAAAACAGCATGTCAAGGATTTGGGAATAATGTTGTCAGACGACCTAACGTTTAGGGAGCATAACTAAGCAAATATTGCATCAGCCAGGAAAATGAACGGATGGATTATGAGAACTTTCAAATCCAGGGATCCCATCACAATGGTTGTACTCAAGTCACTTGTGTTGTCCCATCTTGAGTACTGCTCAGTATTCACTTTCCCCTTCAGAGCAGGAGAGATTGCTGAAATAGAGGGAATACAGAGAACATATACAGCATGCATAGATGCGATAAAGCGCCTAAATTATTGGGATCGTCTCAAAGCCCTCCAAATGTACTCACTAGAAGGGAGACGAGAGAGATATCAAATAATATACACGTGGAAGATACTGGAGGGCCAAGTACCAAATCTACACAGTAAAATAACAATGTACTGGAGTGAACGATATGGAAGAAAATGCAGAATAGAACCAGTGAAGAGCAGGGGTGCCATAGGCATAATCAGAGAACACTGTATAAACATCAGAGGTCCACAGTTGTTTAACACCCTCCCAGCGAGCATAAGAAATATTGCCGGAACAACCGTGGACATCTTCAAGAGGAAACTAGATTGTTTCTTACAAGGAGTACCGAACCAACCGGGCTGTGGTGGGTATGTGGGCCTGCGGACCGCTGCAAGTAACAGCCTGGTGGACCAAACTCTCAAGTTGAGCCTGGCCTCAGGCCGGGCTTGGGGAGTAGAAGAACTCCCAGAACCCCATCAACCAGGTATCAACCAGGTAAACCTTATTACTGATTTAAAATACCGTACCCTATATGTTAATGGAAAATTAAATGGATGCCCATGAAATATTTTAAATTGTGCATTATGATTTCATCATAATGATATTTAATAGCCAAATTTTTGTTTTATTCAGGTGTGAAAGTGTTCTTCCATAAAGAACAAAGAATCAATATCACCAACCTTCGTCAGTTTTCTCGTTACGAGATTGAGGTAAGATAAAATGGAGTCTGCAGGAATTTGTGAAGTAATATATGGCTTAGTTCTAGCAATACTGTATGGCAGTCAAACACCTTTCTGAGCACCTGGATGTAAATGGTTCTGCCCTTCTCGGGCCCCCATTCATTGAGATGTAAAATATATGTACAACACTTAATATATTTGGAGAGCTCCCTTGGTAGCTCTCTGGTGCTAGCTACCTGGAAGGATGTTTGCTAGATCTGATATTCACTAGGAATGAAGATATGTGTGCTTCCATTCACCTAGGCTATATGGGTCTCGAGCCTTTGGACCCCGTGTGTGAGGCCGAAGCTCTATTGACTGGGCTATGAGTAGTCTTAGGTATATTTGACATTCAAAACCTTCCTAACTTGGGCAAGAGTGTAACCAAAGTGTGGTTACAAGATGAGAGCTATGATTGTGGTGTCCAGTCTTGCCAGTACTCTTTGTCGTATAACGCTTTGAAACTATTGACTGCTTTGGTCCCCACCACCTTTTTTATTTATTTATTTATTTATTTATTTATATATATACAAGAAGGTACATTGGGTTTGTGTGGGTACATAGCATGGTATTTACATTCTTGTAAAGCCACTAGTATGTGCAGCGTTTCAGGCAGGTCCTTAATCTTGCAGATAATTTGAAGTAGGTAAATTCTAGCAAGATTTATAAAATAACAGGTACATTGCAAGAAAAAAATGAGAGAGATTAGAAGGTATATTAAAGCACATCAGTAGCTCTGGTTGATAGCATTGACAGCTTGATTGGTAATTTAACCACCTTGCTGCGCCGAGTTTATTGTGAAATTTCCCCGGTGCGCATGAAATAAAGTGTTCCCAAAAAATTCTTTTTTCTTCGTAAAAGGATAAATTCCCTTCCCTGAACATGTCTATGTGAAAATAAATACCAAATTCCACTTACTTTGGCTGTGGGGACATGGACAAGGTGTGCTGTAACGTCATTAGGGCCTGGTCGCCCATGCGTGAATCGCCCAGACGCAGTCCCGCGGGCCATTCAAGCACTGGGTGTTGCCACAAATATATTTTCAATTATTTGTTTTATGTATTTCCAATGCGGTTTTTTGTTTTTTTATCGTATATGATGCTTATTTGTGTCCTTTACAATATGTATACAGTAGAACGTTCATAATGTTCCATGGAACTGTAATACATGTGTCAGTAATGTGTCCACAATAAATGTTTATTGTCGAAATATTACCTGTTAAAAAGTCACTAAAAGTACAATATGTACAGTTTCACACACTATTTACACAGTAACACACTGTATTACACACTCAGTACTTCGGAAGTGAGTAATAATCAACGCAGTAGTCCATGGTACACAGTGCGACTTCGCTCTCAGTGCACCAGGTACAGATAAATTTTCGCTTCCTGTTTCTTTATTCTGTGTGCTTGCAAATAACGCACTCACATACATCCTTGACTTTAGTACTTGTAGGTTGTATGTAGCCAAGCTTGTAAAGCATAAGGTAGTATTGAAAAGATTATAGGAAAAGAACAATTTGTAAGGTAGTCTTGAAAAGATCACTTTGTATGGTGCCACACAGAAAGAGATTCAGCTTGCCTCAAAGAGTGTCCGTCAGAAAGAGATTCAGCTAGCCTCAAAGAGTATCTGTCAGTTAGGAAGAGATTCAGGTATTCTTGAAAATATATATGGAAAACACCACCATGGAAGCCGCTAACACTGTTCATCTATGCTACTTGTATCAGATACATCATCACTGAATGCAGAAAATGATTCATCCATGTGTCATCTAAATAAATTGGAGATAGCATAGGATTGCAAGGGTGACGCTCAGAGCTACAACTGGATACGCTCGCTGTATCGTCCTCATAGGTGCTGTATCACTTGCATCCGACCTTTGTGTTAGGTTGTTATTGCACCTAGCTTCACCAATATTATGACCCTTATGTTCTTCAAACAATAAGGTTTGAATTTCACTGACAGAGCGTTATCTTTCAACACCGCATCGGACAGGTGTTTGGGAGCTAGAGGCGCGTGCACCACCCATGGTTGCCCATTCAGTACTGACCCAGCCAGCAGCCCTAGGGCATTCTGAGAATTTTTTTCCAAGATGGCTGCCTCTCACTGGAGGTCCTAAGAATCCATTTCGTACAGAACCAACCTCGTACACATTCAGAATTGGTACCGAAAAATCAGAGTTTTCTCGGTTGGCGCAGTTAAGTGGTTAACAAAGATTAATAGGCACAATACAGCATATTGATAGCACATTTACTCACATCTTCTCACCTGTTCCAACCATCTACCACTCTGTTTGCAAAGAAAACTTAATATTTTTTTGGCATCTTTGTTTCCTTAGCTTGAATCTGTGTTCTCTTGTTCTTACAGTTCCTGGTTTCAGGAATTCCTTTGTCAATTTGGTCGATTCCTGTTATTATTTTGTAAGTGATCATATCATCTCTTTTTCTTCTACAGTATTTTCTATCTTTGGCATATTTAACACATCTCATAATTCTTGTTTTTCAGTTCTGGAAGCCATTTTGTAGCATGCCATTGCACCTTTTCCAGTTTATTGATGTGCTTCGTGAGATATGTGCACATACAGCTGCTGCATATTCCAATTTGGTCTCTCAAAAGTCATGAACAGTTGCTTTAGTAGTTCACCATCCTTGTAATTGAAGTTGGAAAAAAAAAAAGAGAGGGAGGGGGAGGGAACATGGCAGAAATCAGCATTTATGGCTTATTCTTTACAATGTATGCATTTATGTATGTAGTATGTGTATGTATGCATACATATATTCAGTATAGGAATAATAATAATTATTCTTTTACTCACTACTGTGGCAACCATGGTGATGGTTGTGTGTGGACACCTGTTTGTGACTGTGGGCTGCAGGTGACCGCCTGTCATGAACCTACGGACAATTGCCCGAGGGGTTCTGGGATGAAGTCTTGTGCACTCTGTTCCTTTCATCCTCTAAAAATTGTAGAAACTACTCTAAGATTAGGTAAGCTTTTATATTTCTTATTTTTATTCTTCGTACATAGTTGCAGTGACTTGAACTTTTTAGTAATTTATTTATGTAAATTGGAAAATATATTGATTTTTCATTAGGTAAGTGACTCTTAATTGAACTCAAACGAATTCAGCATTAACTGATTGATTTTATGTTTGCAGAGTACTGAGACAGTCTGTACAAACCTGTCACAGGGTTTTTTATTCTAGTTTGTGTGCTGAGAAAAGTCATCAATATCAACAGTGTCACTTATCCCCCCTAGCTCCACTTTGCTTCTTTGAGCAGGCCAGATTCTGGTCCTAGTCTTTGGTAGATGCTCATGATATAGGGGTCTGGTGTGTTGTGTAAGGTCTAAGGCTCTGTAAAATCCAGGTTATATCATCAGGAAGATCCTCAGTGTCCTACCAGAAAGAGGCATTTCATTACATTCATTGTTGGCCTTTTCTGGGAGCACACCGAGGTGACTCCCTGTTGCTAGCTGCTCTAGTTAGTGTCACATTTCCAGTCACACCAGCCCCATTCAAATCAATAAGAGCCTACTGGGAACCAGAGACCAAAACCTGGCTCCCACACAGAAGTGTGGAGAGGATCTGTGATCATCTTAACTAAGATAGCAACTACCAGAAAGATAGGGCAAAACAAAACCAGACAACAGCAAGGCTAGTCAACAACATTGCAAATGATCCAAAAAATATTTAGATAGTTCACCCTCTAATTCTGACTGCCCATCACCAGGTGGCAGCACTGATAGCTCATAAACCAGTTAGTGAGCCACCTCAGTCAATCACCTGGCGTGATCTAGATCGATACTGCTCCTCCCAGTTGCCTATACCCTTGGGGTCCCAGATTTTTCCAAATGATAATGATAATAATAATAATAATTTTTATAGCCTTTTGGCAGCAGCCATCATGTAAATTTGTTAGCAGTTAGCCACAGATGGATTTTTGTTTTGTTAAAGTTCAGTATTCACTGTAGCATTTAGAATAAGTGGGTTAAGATTGGAGAAAATGAAGATTGTGTCATCAGCAAATAGTAGTGGCTTCAGGTGTTGAGTGGCATTTGGAAGGTCATTGATATAAATTAGAAAGTAGAGTGGACCAAGTATACTACCTTGAGGAATGCCAGTATTAATTGGCAGGGTTGGAGAAGTAGTATCGTTCACAGAAACATACTGGAGTCTGTCACTGAGGTAAGATTGTAGGTATTGAAGGGAGTGACCTTTTTGATTCCATAGTGTTGGAGTTTGAGAAGGTAATTGTGGTTAACAGCATCAAAAGCTTTACACAGATCAACAAATAAACCAACAGGGTATTTATTTTTATCAAGAGCTGCATGTATAAAGTCAAGCATATTTATGAGAGAGTTCTTGGTGCTAATAGTATTAATAAGGGTGGTGTTGGTGCTTTTTTTGGGGGGTGGTTCAAGTCATATTGACAAGAGCTAATTATATTATGTTTAGCTAGATAGGAGTAGAGCTGTTTGTACATTAGATTTTCAAATATTTTAGACAAGGTGGGCAGGATTGATATTGGTCTAAAATTCTTTTGTTTCAATGAGATCGCCACGTTTATGAACTCGGATTACTCTAGCTTTTTTTTCCAGAATATTAGAGAAGGTTCAGAGTCTGGACTTTGTCCTTGATGGAGGAGGGGTATTAGCACATGCTTGTGTATTGCTCCAAATTTTTAGTCTTATGTTTCAAGAGTGTGTGTTTACAAGCTTCACTTGTTGCATGGACTTTAATTAACTGTTCACCTTGAACTGCACAGGACTAGGGTTGCCTTCCCTACATGTTTGCTAATGTTGCCTTCTCAGGTAGGTTTTATTATGTCTCTGAGAGACTGACCATCAGTGTAGAGTGCTTTGTCCTAAGTCGTACATGGATTGGTAACTCCTCTGTGAGGCTCAGGGGTTGGGGTGCATTCTTTACCGGGGTGCACAGGGATGTATGAGCCTTGTTTATACATCACGTTGCTGATGCCTTTTACAGCCACATTTGATCCTTTAGGCTGCATTTTGTGCCTGTTCTCTTCTCAGAGAATGGCTTCTGAATCCTGGAGTCCCTGCCTGGTTTTATCTTTAGCTCCTGGAGAGCCCCCCCCATAATCTTTGGTGTGATTTTAAGTGAACTTGCCTGCCAAGACCACACTCACTGATTGCAGTTTGATGGATGCTCACCTGCCTTGATACATGCCAACAATGGTCATTCCTACTACCTTTGCAATGGTGCATGTTAGGTAGGTTGATCCATTATATTCTGAGGTCTGTGACATTTGTTGTTGTGGAATCTCTGTTCTGGATTGGTTTCTGTCTCAAGGGCTGGGTCTCTATTCTGGGGAAAGGGGTTCTCTCAGGCTGCTGCTGCTTTCCTGCTCTGTCACACCCCCTCCCCTTCCCAATCCTCCTCTTTACTGTCCAGCACTGTTATACAGGGATCATGTATTGTGTTTTCTGTAATTAGCTAAGTTTAATTACAGGATGAGCATTAAATGGGTGGTATCCTGTCTTTCCAAGCACTCTGTCTTATGACACTTCTACTGTTCACAAAAGAGAACTTTCCATTTTGTTTTTGACACCTTTGATTCCTTACCTTGAATCTATGACCTCCTGTTCCTGAAGTTGCAGGTTTTAAGAATTTGTCAATTTTATTGATTTCTGTTAATATTTTGAAGTCTGCATGCCCATTTTTCCTTTATTGTATAGCCTACTTCTGAGCCTAAGGCAAGTTATTTCTAAATGTGTTTTAATATTTATACAGAGTATAGTACAGTGTCAGTTGGCTATATGATGCTGACCTAGCACTGGATTATATTTGAGAACTGAAGGAGATAATTTGACTCAACTCATAAACTTCCATTGGATTATAATGTACTGTACATATAGGTAAATATAAAAGTTTGAATATCTAATTAATATATACTTAATATAAACAGGTGTAGTTTAATTATATATTACAAAGTCATTGTTTAAACAGGTATATTATTTGTATGTATAAATGTTTACCAAAATGTGATCTATATATATAATTTGCAGTAAGAAATCCAACAATTTTGTGATAACCAAAGACGACGACGAAGACAAATTTTTTGGAATCTCTGATTTCACCCAAATCTGGGATGGGCTATGAACAAATTGGAAAGTAATAAAATGGTGAATGCTCAGAAACTTAAGATCATGCTCTATTTAAATTTTTATTTAATACTAGTTTTGGTCCCGAATGCATCCTATTTTGTCTATGGGACGCCTGAAATAAATCATGCAGATCACTTGAATAATGTGAGGTGTCTGAAACACCTTCCCATTACAGTATTTATATTTAGAAAATGAATAATGAGGATTTGTACTTTGTTCCAAAATAATTTTAAAATAATAATTGTTAACTTTCAGCTGGGGGTAACTTAGTGAGGGAATTAAGAGTGAGCAACAGCAGCAAGCCCGGTGTTAAAGTAGTGGCTTGGTCACCCCCCACCGAGCCCAATAGTCAGGTCGTCGCTTACATGCTCACTATTCAACCAGAAAATATATTCATGCAGTTTTCTCCCAACGAGGTCAGTGCTTGCCACATATATAAATGAAACTGGCAATGTTCAATACTTTGATTATATATAATATATATATTGCTGTATCTGATTTTGCATGCTCTATTCTTTTGTGAATTACTTGCAGAGATGTGTGAGTTCTCAGGTGTTTGAAGAAAACAACAACACCTATAATCTCAATGTAACCTTAATGGAGCCGGGAAGTTACTGGGTCAGTGTGCGACCATATACAAGAGATGCTGAAGACCTCTATGAGTCATCTGTGCAAGTTCTCTTTAGTATTGAGGTCAGCACTTAAAAATTTATTATATTCATCAATTCATCATAATAATAGTCATTAATTTTGTCAGGGACAGTAAGCCTATGTATATATGTATCTATATATATTAGTATATTTTGGTAGCAGGTTTTCTCTAATACACATGTTATTAAACACAACAGCATTGTGACTATTATTAATTATCTTTGGATATTTTCCATTCTATTCAAATATATCTGGAGGGTGGAGAAATACTAGATCACTTAATCACTCCATTTTTACTGTTTGACATTTTTTCAGCAATGTGACATTTTAAGGGGTCACTGACACAGTATACCAACACAGGTATACTGTACTGAGCTTACAAGGAGGAATTTAGACATTTATTAGTGTGGGTTCAATTCACTCTATGATTCACCTAACCTCCTTAATCGTGAGGAGCGCCGAAGGATAGGATGAGGCGATTATTGCCTGACTTCTGCTTCTAGCTGTCTGGCAGGTCTTGCATCTTCCCTCTGGATCAATGGAGGACCATCAAACAGTTGTATGCTTAAAGTCGAATTCATCTGTATGTTGATTATTGGTGTCGGCTCCCGAATTTTAAAGCATTTTATTAAGAATGTACTCAATATAATAATTTTATATCAAGGTTTATTAAAACATTGATTTTCTGGGGTGAGCCCTACGTCTTCCCAGAGCTTACTAGGCTGATATGCTAATGTCAGACTTTGGCATCAGTCATGTGTATGGAGTTCTTGTGGGCCTACCAGGGACCACGAGCCAGAACCTGGCCCCCTCTAGAGAGGCAAGGGGAGCAATGGCCTATAGAACCCCTGTGTAATTGGAAGCATTCTATGTCTGCCATCGACCGGGTTAGGCACCCAGAAAGGTAGGTGTCCCAAAATAAACCCTTAGTCTGGTGAAAATTGCAACCAAAAGCTGAATGAGTGGATAGAACTCCCCAAACAAAAACAAACAAACTAGTATGACATCATCCATTGTCGCGCCGCTGTCTGCGCAGCCCCCTCCTCCCTGGGAGGGGGAAGGGGCAGCCCCAGACCTACCACGCCGGCGATCTACACCCCAGTTCTTGAGTCTGATGCTATTGGCTCGGTTGTGTGCTCTGGCTCTAGTATTTTGCGGCGCTGTGCCTTGTGTGTGGCTGCTGTACTCCAGGGGTGCGAGAGCCAGGAGCTATTCCTCAGTACTCGGGCTGCATGTGCCTAGGGTTCCCTTCCCTAGGTGCCTTGTGAGTACTGCCCTTGGAGCTTGGGGAACCTTCCACAAGTTCCTCGGGGTCTGCCTCTGTGAGTCCGTTTTATTGCTCGGTTTCTCGGCCGCTCTTTGGGTACTTTGCGGGGGCTTTGCGTCAGTTGCTGCGTCACTGGCTTCCTCTTTTGGTTTTTCGGGGCTCAGTGCCTTGGCGCCTACCCGAGCCCTTGCTCGATGTGTTCACGGACGCGTCGTCTCTCGGTTGGGACTTTGTAACCAGTGCTCACCAGGCTGGCCAAGGTCGGTGGGGTCTGTCCTTCTGTCGAGCCCACAGCACTATGCGGGAGTTCACGGCGGTATGGTTTGCTCTTCGGAGGATTTGAGTCCCCAGCGGGTCGACAATCCGGCTCCATTTGGACTGCTCCCCGGTGGTTCATTCTCTGAACCGGGGAAGTTCGATGTGGTCCTTGGCTCTTTGGCGCTGGTCGCTTTAAATGACTCGTCTGCTGAGTTCTTGGGGTTTGGGTGTCCTGGCTGTTCACGTGCGGGGAGTGTCCAACGTCCTGGCCGATGGCCTGTCTCGTTTCGTTTCCCTCTCCACGGAATGGACGATCGACGCCGACTCCTTCCGTTGGCTTTGCCAGACGTTCAAACGCCCCGAGGTGGACCTCTTCGCGCCAGCGTGGTCGCGGTGCCTTCCCCTGTATGTGGTGCCCTTTCCCGACTGTGAAGCCGTCGGGGTCGAAACCTTTCGGCAGGACTGGTCGAGGTGGGGATTCCTGTACCTCTTTCCCCTGGTTCAGCTGTTGCTCCAGGTCCTGACTCACTTAGAGACTTACCAGGGAAGAGTTGTCCTCTTGGCTCCTTGGTGGCCAGCCCAGCTGTGGTTTCAGGCACTGCTTGCTCAGTGTCCGAACATGGAGGTTTTTCCGCGGCTCCACCTCTTCTAGCAGATTGGACCGGTACGTCACGTGGATGGTTCAATCTTCTCCTCGAGTCTTCGCATGTTATTTTTTACTCGAGTTTATCATCATCTCTATGGTGATCAGGTGGCTTCCTTATTAGTGTCCCACCTACAGGCTTCTCGGCGGCAGTATGAAATTTCCGGACGGTCCTTCCGGTTCTTCTTACGTCTTCGTCGTTGTACTTCACTTTCTGTTAGGGTGGTGTTGTCCTTTCTCTCTTGGTTGTTCCAGGACCGTCTTCTTATGCCTAACACTGTCGCCTCGTATCATGTGGTGCTGGCGGAGCCACTTCAGCTTGCTTTCAATATTGATGTCACGTCTGCCCCGTTTCGCAAGCTGTCTCGGGCGTTGTTTCGCCTCCGGCCTGCTCATGCGTTGCCTGAGCCGTCCTGTTCATTGGACCGAGTGCTCTCTTTTCTTTCTTCTCCTCATTTTGTTGTGGCCCCTTCGGTTCTGGATTGTTTTTCAAAGGATCTTTTCCTATTGGCATTGGCCTCGTGGGGTCGGGTGGGTGAGCTTCATGCTTTCCTCCAGTGCAGAGGTTTTTGCTCCTTCGGTCTGGGTGATCGGGTTGTTCATCTGCAGCCTTCTCTTTCTTTTCTGGTGAAGAATGAGTCCCTGGGTTGTTGATGCTTGGTTGCTTCAGCCGGGGGTGCATCATGTTTTGTGTCCGGTTGCGACTCTCTGCCGTTATTTGCATGCCACGGCTTCTGTGTCCACGGATGCGCTTTGGGTTGATCCAGTGTCTCCTCTTCTCTGTTCGAGGGTGCAGGTCTCCCAGGTCATTTACAAGGTTATTAAGGCTAGCCAGCCAGCGGTCTATCACCGTGCCCATGACATCCGCAAGTTCGCAGCTCTTGCCGCCATCTTTGGCAATATGTTCTGGGCTGACATTCGGGCGTGGGGATTTTGGTGGTTGAACAGGGTCCTGGCTGCTCGTTACCTTGTAAATGTTCCTGGGCCCAGTCGGGCCATGCTCGGTTTTGTTTGGGGAGTTCTATCCACTCGTTTAGCTTTTGGTTGCAATTTTCACCAGAATAGGGGTTTGTTTTGGAATGCCTACCTTTCTGGGTGCCTTAGCTGGTCGATGGTTGACATATAATGCTTCCAATTACACGGGGGTTTCTATAGGCCATTGCTTCCCTTGCCTCTCTAGAGGGGGCCAGGTTCTGGCTCATAGTACCTGGTAGGCCCATAAGAACTCCATACACATGACTGATGCCAAAGTCTGACATTAGCATATCAGCCTAGTTAGCTCCGGGGAGTCTCCGAGACTCACCCAGAAAATGGCGTTTCATTACATTCAATGCTGTTTTTTGTTTTTTTTAACTCAGGGTGGAGAGGAGGAATCATCCCATGATATGAAGCTTTGGCCAGTACTAACTGTACTGTTGGTACTGTTGCTGTTTGGTACCTCATTTTTAATTTTCAAGATGAAGTCCAGAAAGGAACCTGTAAAGGAAACTCTTAACCCACACTATCATCACGAAACAGGTGAGTTGCCTTGGGTGTTGTTCAACTATGTCTTGACTTGTATACTTACAAGAATGTAAGAACTCTTGTATATATAAATAAAATAAAAATAAAATATGCCTGGGTTTTGGTTTCCTGGGGGTCACTTTTGGCTCACTTCCTTGGATCTTAAGAATGCCTATTAGCATGTACTAGTCACTTAGAGATTCATGAATTGCCTAGACATCTGGGTGGGGCATACCAGCTACCTTATTTGGCCTTCTTTTCTTGATCAAACTGCCTCCTAAATTTTTCACCAGAAGTTGTATCATCATCATCTGAGAGCTTTGGCTTGTGAACATGAGAATCCTGCTGTACCTTGATATCTGTCTAATTTAGGCTTAGAATTAATGATTGTGCTTCTTGGCCAATATTAAGACTGGTAGTTGGGCCATGGGGATCCTGTAACCCAACCCAAAGACAGCTGTTTGTACAGTACAATATACCCCTTAGGGTGTTATATTTGTACCTATGTATACACTATTATTTTACATTTTTTTTTTTCACTTCCCAACTTTTGATTTGTACATTTGTGTCCTGTCCCATGCTACCTTCATATTCATATTGTTCACATTCACACCCAGATGTCTAGTGCCTAACTGTTTACAGTCTTGCTAACTGTATCTTCCAATGAATTCACAAAGTTGCCACTGCATCCCTAGAAAGGTAATTACATAAGTGTAATTACAGAATGAAAGCTACACTCGTGGTGTTTCATCCTCCCAGTATTCTTATTATACAGTATAACCTTTTGAAACTACTGACAGTTTTTACTTCTACCACCTTCTCCCTTAACATGTTCCAACCGTCTACCACTGTTTGGTAAAGTGAACTTTCTGATGTTTTTTGGCAGCTTTGTTTCCTTAGTTTGAACCTTTATCCTATTCTTGAAGTTGCAGTTTTCAAAAATTCTTCTTTGTAAATATTATTAATTACTGTACTATTATTATTTCGTAAATAGTGATTATATTGCCTCTTTTTTTTTTCTTCCATTTTCTGGCTTTCATACATTTAATGCCTCTTAACCTTTTTTTTAGCTCCTATTTTTCCAATCCGGAAGCCATTTAGTTGCATGTCTTTGCTCCTTTTCTAGTTTAGTGATGTGCTTCTTAACTACTCTGCTGCACCGCAGCACTACTCTTCTGCACTGCAGCACTACTCTGCTGCACCGCAGCACTACTCTTTTGCACTGCAGCACTACTCTTCTGCACTGCTGCACTACTCTTCTGCACTGCAGCACTACTCTTCTGCACTGCTGCACTACTCTTCTGCACTGCAGCACTACTCTTCTGCACTGCAGCACTACTCTTCTGCACTGCTGCACTACTCTTCTGCACTGCAGCACTACTCTTCTGCACTGCAGCACTACTCTTCTGCACTGCAGCACTACTCTTCTGTACCACAGAATGACAGGCCTCCAGTGTGCAGAAAAAATTATTCCATAAATGTTGTTTTCTTATTGTTAAAATGCATTCTCTGATCACAGGAAACTTTAAAAAAATGTTACCATTGCGACCAGAGCTTGGTTGCTCTGGCAGTACTGAGGCTCTCTTAGCCAGGAGGGATGCAGACGACTTTTATTAATTTAAAGATGGCGTCTGTTTACTGGAGTCCTGAAGAACAGGATGAGCTCCATGTACCCATGGGAGTTTTGAATCTTACAATATACTGTACAAACAAACGTGATATACCGGTGTACGCACCCTGTTTGTCCATGACATCACAGTGTGCGCAGTGCAGTGTTTAATCTCTACTTCAGTCAACACAACACCATCAACCAACCACCACACCTCTCACATCTAAATAACAATGCTCCATCAACAATAATCAAATTGATAAGCAGACGAGAATTTCTCATATTGGCGAGTACAAACAAAATACTGTACAGTATAGATTTTCAGAATGACGAACCACATTTCCAGACACATGTTATTCAATCAGTCTCGATCCCAAGGCATCCAAAAAGCATGTGACTGTGTATATACAAGGTAGATATGTTAGTACCTCATAAGTTAACATATAATTATAGTAAGAAAATATACTATAGTCATACAGTATATATAATCATATATATTCCTTTTTCTCTTCAGGGCCACTGTGGACCCCAGATGTCTATGCCATGATCTCAAGTCAACATATTTTAGATTGCTCTAATCTTTTACTGGAGGAGAGCTGCCAGCTTGGCAAAGGTCACTTTGGCATAGTAATGAAAGGACAGCTTCGTCTTGAGTCAGGACTCACTCCTGTTGCTGTCAAGCAAGTCACCAATTACCAGGCTAGAGATGATATACTTCAAGAGGCCAAGTTAATGCTGTAAGTGACCTCTTAACCCCTTGCACTGCACACGTTAAATGTGACACTCCTGTGGTGACCGCACACACACAATTTTCTGAACAAATTATTTTACTTTTAGCATTGTTAATTAGCATCCTGGATGCACAAAAATCCAAATAACATCTCAATCTCGTGTAGTTTAGCTGTAATGGCCAGGAGAAGTTGCGAGTTTTTGGTAGAAGTAAGGTGAGGCGCTACACAGGAAAAGACGCTATGCGCAGTATAAAGTTTAAAGGGCTCCAAGTCAACTTGACTAGAACTTTTTATTTTTATTTACTTTAAGTAAAAGATTAACTTTAAAGCTTAAACATAGTTTCTAAAATCTGGTTTAAACCAAACCAAGTTTAAACAAATTCAAATAACAATTTCAAATAACATAAATAATAAACACACTAGTATTTTAATTTCTTTTCTGGGGGGGGAGCCCCTTCGGCTCCCCGGAGCTTACTAGGCGGATATGCTAATGTCAGACTTTGGCATCAGTCATGTGTATGGAGTCCTATGGGCCTACCGGGAACCACGAGCCAGAACCTGGCCCCCCTCAGAAGCAGCAAGGGAAGCAATGGCCTATAGAACCCCTGTGTGATTGGAAGCATTCTATGTCTGCCATCGACCAGGTTAGGCACCCAGAAAGGTAAGGGTCCCAAAACAAACCCCTATTCTGGTGAAAATTGCTACCACAAGCCGAACAAGTGGATAGAACTTCCCTAAAATAAACGAGCAAACAATCATGACGTCACACGTCGCTGCGCCGCTGTCCACGTAGCTCCTTCCCCCCTCCCCAGTAGGGGGAAGGGGAAGCCCCCAGTCCCATCGCGCTGGCTATCCACCCTCAGTTCTATGGCTGATGCTAAAGGCTGAGGTTGTGTGCTCTGGCTCCAGTGGTTGTTTCAACACAGTACCTAGAGTGTGGTGTCTGTCTTCTAGGTGGTGCCCGAGCCGGGAGTGATTCTTCAGTACTCGGGCTACATGCGCCTAGGGGTTTCCTTCTCTAGGTGCCCTTTAAGTACTGCCCTTTTGCCTTGGGGTTCCCTCCACAAGTTCCTTGGGTTTTGCCCCTGCTAGGCCATTCACTGCTTAGTTTTTGGCCACCCCTTGTGTGCTCGGGTGTTCTGTCTCCCTTGTTCGCCTTGGGGTTGGGGGCAGTTTGCACTGGCAGGGCGCAGGGTACTGCGCAGCTTGTTTTCGCCTATCATAGTGGCCATCTCTGTTCCGCCTGGGTACGCTGTCCTCTTGTGGGGTTTTCTTTTTGTTTTTGTTTTCTGCCTGGTGAGGGGGTCTGCCTTGGTTCTTGCCCCCTGTGTACTGAGTACTCTTCCTTCTTCTGGTGGTTCCCCCCTCCCTGCTAGGTCCCCGTGAGTGTACACGTCCCGGGGGGTTCAGTTCTTAGAAGGTTGTTTGGTAGATTTGGGCGCCAGTTAGTAGTACCCTGCCTGGGTTTACCTGAGCGCGAGTCCTCTTAAAGTAAACGCTCAGGACCCTGGGAATCCCCACGGGGACGTGTGGGTCCAATGGATGTGACCCCGGGGTTCCCCCTCGCTTTGTGCGAGTTCGAGAGTTGCTGTCTCATTGTCTCAGGGTGACTCTCACTGTTTTGCCTCTGTCTGCTGCCTGTGGGGTCGTTGCCACCTTCGACCCGGAGCCCTGCGAGTTTTTGTTGCTTGTTTGTGGCTTGTCTTATGTCTTATGTCTTATGCTGACTATGTGGATGCGGGCAGCATGGGCATTGCACGTCGTGTTTCAGTGTTGGCAACACTGTAGGTGGTTTGCTCCCTGGAAGCCCTGAGGCTGCCTCGTTTTGGTGACGGGGCTTGGGGGTGTTGGTTGCTTTGGTTTCCTACCACACCCCCTTGTCTTTTCCCTGCTGTGATCTAATCTGTGTCCCCCCCCCCCCTGTTCCTTCCTGCATTCGGGTCCTTACAGTCTGTGGATTCGGGGTCATGGCGGGGCTTCGATGGTTTTGAGACTCCGGCAGTCTCGGGGAATTCCCCTTCCGGGTAGCGACGGGGGCATTCAAGCTTGTTCCTCCAGCCATGTTGTATGAGTCTGCCAGTGGGCTCCCTTCCTTAGTATTTTTTGCGGCTGCCCCGGGGTTTTTCTTGTGAAAACGGGGCTTTGGGGGGGACGGCTTGGCCCTGGGGCCTGCAGTGTAGGTTCCCAAGGCTGTGGAAGGGCTGCCTTGGGGGGCCCCGGGCCCAGTTGGACCCCGCTGGGGTTGTTCCACCCTTAGAACGGGGCTTGCGGTTACAGGGAGTGGGGCTTTTTCCTTCCCCCTCTTCGAGAGAGTTGTTGGGCATCGGCCCCTCCTGGGGCTCAGTTCCTTGTTCCTTGAGTCCATTGGTTCCGTCCTGTTGGTGGGTGCTCTTTGCGGTTTTTTCATCCCCTTTTCTGAGGGGAGTCTCTACGGCTCCCCAGAGCTTACTAGGCTGATATGCTAATGTAAGACTTTGGCATCAGTCATGTGTATGGAGTTCTTGTGGGCCTACCGGGGACCACGAGCCAGAACCTGGCCCCCTCTAGAGAGGCAAGGGGAGCAATGGCCTATAGAACCCCCGTGTGATTGGAAGCATTCTATGTCTGCCATCGACCGTGTTAGGCACCCAGAAAGGTAGGCGTCCCAAAACAAACCCCTATTCTGGTGAAAATTGCAACCAAAGACCGAACGAGTGGATAGAACTTCCCAAATGAAAACGAGCAAACTAGTATGACGTCGCCCGTCATCGGGCCGCTGTCTGTGCAGCTTCCCCCTCCCCGGGAGGGGGAAGGGGTAGCCCCAGACTCACCACGCCGGCGACCCACACCCCAGGTCTTGAGTCTGATGCTATCGGCTCGGTTGTGTGCTCTGGCTCTGGTCTTTTGGGGCGCTGTGCCTTGTGTGTGGTTGCTGTCCTCAGGGGTGCGAGAGCCGGGGGTTATTCTTCAGTACTCGGGCTGCATGCGCCTAGGGTTCCCTTCCCTAGGTGCCTTGTAAGTACTGCCCTTGGAGCTTGGGGTTACCTTCCACAAGTTTGTCGGGGTCTGCCTCTGTGTGTCCGTTTCACTGCTCGGTTTTTCGGCCGCCCTTTGGGTACTTGGGTGTTTTGTCTCCCTCGTTTACCTTAGGGTAAGAGGCAGTTTTTGCACTGGTAGGGGTGCAGGGTGCTGCACAGCTAGTTGTCACCTATCACAGCGGCTGGCTCTGTTCCTTGGGGTACGTTGTCCTCTTGCGGGGGTTTTGTTTTTCTTTTTGTTCTTGCCTAGGTGGGGGGTTCTGCCCTACTTGCCACTGGTGTTTGGCCTCACCCTGATACTTGGTGGTAATTACCTAAGTGTAGTTACAGGATGAGAGCTACGCTCGTGGTGTCCCGTCTTCCCAGCACTCTTTGTCATATAACGCTTTGAAACTACTGACGGTCTTGGCCTCCACCACCTTCTCACCTAACTTGTTCCAACCGTCTACCACTCTGTTTGCGAAAGTGAATTTTCTTGTATTTCTTCGGCATCTGTGTTTAGCTAGTTTATATCTATGACCTCTTGTTCTTAAAGTTCCAGGTTTCAGGAAATCTTCCCTATTGATTTTATCATTTCCTGTTACTATTTTGTATGTAGTGATCATATCACCTCTTTTTCTTCTGTCTTCCAGTTTTGGCATATATAATGCCACTAACCTCTCTTTGTAGCTCTTGCCCTTCAGTTCTGGGAGCCACGTAGTAGCATGTCTTTGCACCTTTTCCAGTTTGTTGATGTGCTTCTTAAGACATGGGCACCACACAACCGCTGCATATTCTAGCTTTGGCCTAACAAAAGTCGCGAGCAATTTCTTTAGTATATTGCCATCCATGTATTTAAAAGCCATTCTGAAGCTAGAAAGCGTGGCATAGGCACCTCGCACAATATTCTTTATGTGGTCCTCAGGTGATAGTTTTCTATCTAGAACCACCCCTAGATCTCTTTCTTTATCAGAATTCTTTAAAGATTTCTCACATAATATATAGGTTGTGTGAAGTCTATGTTCTCCTATTCCACATTCCATAACATGGCATTTATTAACATTAAATTCCATTTGCCAAGTGGTGCTCCATATACTTATTTTGTCCAGGTCATCTTGAAGGGCATGACAATCATCTAAGTTTCTTATCCTTCCTATTATCTTAGCATCATCAGCAAACATGTTCATATAAGTCTGTATACCAACTGGTAGATCATTTATGTAGACAATAAACAACGTGCGGCGCTGGTGGAGCCGCTTCAGCTTGCTTTCGGTATTGAGGTTACTTCTGCACCGTTTTGCATGCTGCCTCAGGCGTTGTTTCACCTCCGGCCTGCTCATGCACCGCCTGAGTGGTCCTGATCGCTCTCTTATCTTCTCCTCAGTTTGTTGTGGCCCTTTCGGTTCCGGATTGTTTCTCCAAGGCTCTTTTTTTTCTGTTGGCCTTGGCCTCTGGAGGTTGGGTTGGTAAGCTTCCTGCTCTCCTCCGGGCCAGGAGTTTTCTGCTCCTTAGGTCATGGCGATGGGGTTGTTTGGTGCGGCAGTCTATTTCTTTTCTGGCGGAGATTGAGACGGCTGCTTTCCGGAGGGGAACTTGGGTTGTTGATGCTTGGTGGGTTTGGCCGGGAGTGCATCATGTTGGTGTCCGGTGCCAGCCTTCCACCGTTCATTGCGCGCCACGGCTTCTGTGTCCTGGGTCGCGCTTTGGGTTGATCCGGTTTTCCTCCTTCCCTGTTTGCGGGTGTGGGTCTTCCAGGTCGTCCGCAGGATTATTATGGCTTGCCAGCCTGCGGTCTCTCTCCGTGTCCATGTTCATGGCTCTTGCCTCTATTTTTGGCAACATATCCTGGGCTGTCATTCGGGCTCGGGGTTTTTTTGGCGGTCGAGCAGGGTCCTGGCGGCTCGTTATCTTGTGCACGTTCCTGTGCCTAGTCGGGTCTGTGTCACTTTGGATCAGCTGTTGAAGCCGGTTGTCTTGACTTAGTTAAGGAGTGAGCGGCGACCACCTCCCGGGTAGGTCCCTCTACTTTCCTCTGTGGGGAGTTAGCTCCGGGGAGCAGAAGGGGCTCCCCCCAGAAAACCATCGTTGAATGTAATGAAACGCCATTTTCTGGATTAGTCCCAGAGGCTCCCCGGCATCCCTCCCTCCCTCCGGTCGGCGGTTTTTCACGTTTTTTGACATTCACCCTCAGAACTGGGGGTGGATAGCTGCCACGATGGGTCTGGGGCTCCCTCTTCCCTCTCTCGGGGAGGGGGGAGCTGCGCGGACAGCGGCGCGGCAACATGTGACGTCATGATTGTTTGCTTGTTTATTTTAGGGGAATTCTATCCACTTGGTAGCAATTTTCACCAGAATAGGGGTTTGTTTTAGGACGCTTACCTTTCTGGGTGCCTAACCCAGTTGATGGCAGACAGAATGCTTCCAACCACACAGGGGGTTTCTATAGGCCATTGCTCCCCTTGCCTCTACTGAGGGGGTCAGGTATTGCCTCACTTGAGTGGCATAGCCTCAATAGCCTCACCTTGGTGTGGTATAACCCCTTTCTTGGTGTTATAGCCTTACCCTTACATGGAAAAGTTCCCATGTTCCCTTACATGGAAAAGTTCGGGGGTCAGGACTGATTTCAAAGTCTGACATAAGCATATCAGCCTAGTAAACTCCGGGGAGCCTCAGGGACTCTCCCAGAAAATGGTGTTTCATCACATTCAACGCTGGTTTTTTCTTTTTAATCCATTTCAGATTTACAAATATTACGGCAGACACTTTTATGGTATCATTGGAAAAACCATACATGGTTCTATAGTTGTTTGAGGAAATTTATAACTTACGTTTCCTGGTAATAACGATCATGAATTTGGTGATTTTAGCTTGTCACAAAAAATTCTATCATCTTAAATAGCTCTCTCAGAAATGTTAAGCCTGCCGAGTAGTGTATCCTATAAAAATTTCAACAAAATCTGATGAAAGTAACAAATTGAAATGGAAAACCCCTAAAAATTGGTGTTTTAGCCCTAAGACAAAGACTGGAGAAATCGTCATACCTGCTAATGCACAAAAAATCCCTCCAATTTTTTTTTTTATTACAGAATTATTAATTTGTATGCAGAATATAAGAAACGCAAAAATACAGTACAGTACTGGGAAATAGAAAAAGTGAAGGTGGCATTTTGATGTTTTACAGGAAAGAAGTTAGATGAAAGGACATGGATGAGGCAGACCAATTTTGCAAGATTTGTTGTCCCTGTAAGAATTAAGGTCATGGGGTAGAATTGCTATTGGGTTCCCTTATTACAATGAAAGTAGGATCATTTATTGACCTGAAGATTCTAAGCACCACTATATGCTTAAGATTTAGGCCATACCTGAGCTGGCATCCGTAATTCATCATTGGGCGATGGGATAAAAAAAAGATAAATTTAAATTTTGCTGTGTTATATAATGAATAAGGGTTAGGCCCTGGCATATATCTTCATTGAGACTAATTCTATTTAAAACTAAATCATTCACTCTTGATTCAAAGCTAAATAAAACAAATTCCAATTTCAATTCTGTTATTTCCTTCGTTTACTTTCAGGAAGTTAAATTGTTATCACCTTGTGCATGCCTATGGAGTTGTACCTGGTCCAAACCATATGTTGCTGGTGATGGAGCTAATGAGTCGAGGGGATCTGCAAAAGTATCTGAGATCACTGAAGGCACAGGATGATGACATATTTTCTGTTCTCAGTGTTGATGTAAGTTTTTCTGTTTCACAAGTTTATTTATTTAATTTTTCATACTTACATATGTTGGGGTACTAATTGTTTACTGTGCCCAAGTCTGTCTATAGTGTTCAGGTATGCCTTTAGAATGTTTTGTATATTTTTCATATCTTTTATTTACCTGTTGGAATTAGGGTATGCTTGTAAACAAAGTATTGTGAATGTATCATCAATTGCTTGTTGTTCCATCTTTCTGATGGGTTTTCTCATTGACTAGTTTGATCCAGTATTGCCAGACATCTTCATTTTGCAATTTCCATTCATTTCTAAGCACTTCTGTCATTTGTTTCATTCCATTAAATGTCACCCTTAGGGGGCAATTCTTATCTTTTCCATATTTGCCTATCCTTCTAGGATCATTGACATTTCTTTGTTGTGAGGCCTTTCCTAAACCTATTAGCATCTCATTAACTTTTCTGGGAGGAGCCCCTTGTGGCTCCTTGAAGCTATACACTGAAAGGGTACCATCTACTAGATCACATCATCAGTTCTATAGCCTACTAGGGATCAGAGCCAGAATCTGCTCCCCCTCACTCCCTCATGCAGGGAGCGATGACATTTGTTTTCTCCTCCTCACTGGGGAAGGCAACCAGAAGTGTGGGAGTTAAAACAAACTCCTGCTGGTTTCAGAGACCAAAGCCTCAAAACTTGCCTAAAGAACTCTTCCCAACTATGTAAAGAAATTATCAAATTTTCTAGGAACTAGAGTGAGCTCATTTGGCCCACCTCCACTTATTTTGGGGAGAGGGGGGGGGGTAACTTGCTGCATGCTGGGGTGTCTTCTCCCAGTTCTTTCACTGATGTAGTGAGTTCTGGGTCGCCTCTCCTCTGTGATGGCTCTGGTGTTCTGCCTGTTCAGCAAAGTGGTGTGATATGGTGTTTGCCATTGGTGGCGTTTCCTCTACATAGTGGTGTAGCACGAGCCAATTTTTCAGAGTGAAGAGGTATGTGCTCAGGGTAACCTTCCCCTTTGTGCCCCCCCCCCCCTAGTGCTGCCCTTACATTCCCATTTCTTCTCTGGAGTGTTAAGAAGTCACTTTCTTAGTGCCTGGGCTGTGCACCTGTTTATATGGTGCAACACCCATTTATCTATAAAAAAGAAAAAAGTTCCTTCTAATATTGTTAAAATGTGTTCCCTGATCATGTGAATAACTATGTGGTAATAACCTAATTATTGTGTCCCTAGTTGTCAGGGTTGCTAATATTTTTCTTGCATTTTTTATTTTGTCTCTACCTAGGTATCCAGGGGCCAGATCCACAAAGCAGTTACGCAAGCACTTACGAACCTGTACATCTTTTCTCAATCTTTCCAAGATTGGACGGGAATGGTGCCCATCCAAGTGGTTGGGCACCATTCCCTTTCCCCCCCATCCCATCCCAAATCCTTATCTTGACCCCTTCCCTGGGCTATATAGTCATAATGGCTTGGCGCTTTCTCCTGATAGTTCCCTTCCCTTCAATCTTTGGTGGCTTTGTTTCCAGTTATTAAACAGTTAATGAACCCCAAAGCACCAGGAGGCTGTTTATAATAATAACAACAGTTCATTGGGATGTTTTCATGCTTGTAAACTGTTTAATAAATGTAATCAAAGCCGTCAAAAATTGTGGTAAGATGTACACGTTTGTAAGTACAGTACTGTACTTGCGTAACTGCTTCGTGAATCTGGGCCCAGGAGGCTGGTACCAGTGAACCATTAAGGGGCCCCCCCCAAAAGGCATTTCATTACGTAATTACATTAAACTGGATTTTTTGTACAGAGTAGTTTTGTTTTGCATCCTCTATTTAGTATTCAAAGGGTTTAATACAATACATAATTTGTTTATGGACTGTATTAAGGGGGGTGTAAAACCAACATACTGGGTTGGAAAACCTTAGGTTCGTTTGCTAACCCAAGGTAGGTAGGTAATTATGAGGAGAAAGAGCTAAACCAGTACATCTATGTAGCACTTGAAAGGAATTTGAGGACAAACAGGTAGAATAAGGCAGAGGAATGGAACAGTGCCTAGCCACTTGTACTATTAAGGATTGAACGCTGACCTACAAGAAGCGAAACCGTTGCTGTACCGATCAGTCCAAGTGCTTGAGCAAACTAGGGCAAATGATATATTTGCATGCTGTGTGGAATTTGACATAGCAGCTTAATAATGTGTGAACCAGTTATGTCCTAGGCCAAGAGTTATTAACTAGAATTTCATGTGACTTCCAGAGAGCCAAATATGTTTGCATGGGGAACCATCTCTCAGTTGTCCAGTTCTCTCCAAACCCCATTCTCTCTTAATAGGGGAGAGAGTTCTTAATAGGGGAGAGTTCTCTCTTAATAATTCAAATGCAGTATTAGAAATCATGTATTTACCGATTCCTTGCAGCATGCGTGTGCCATGGCAATACAGATAGCAGATGGAATGGCATACTTAGCAAGTCACAAAATTGTACATCGTGACCTGGCCGCTCGCAATTGTTTAGTTGATGACCAACTTAACATTAAGATTTCAGACTTCGGCATGACAAGATTGACAGACAATGACTACTACAAAATCAGTAAGGCAGATGTGTTCTACATATGTTGAAAGATATTATCAAAAACCTCTTCTTGAAAAATATCGGATGATTTTGGTTGAAAGATAAAAAATGTTTTTGATTGAAAGATAGCAAAAGCTTATAAACCTTATTTTACCAATCTTCACACTGAATTAGGGAATTAATAAAATTACAGTATCATAAAGCAAACATAACTATGTATGCTTGAGTATTATTAAACAGTACTGTTTAAGCAAACATTGCATACATTGTGGAGAACCTCCTTGAGCACATATATGATGTATTGGACCAGTTTGAGGGTTCAACTTTATGCCAAGCAGTTAATGTATTGTTGTTATTATTTTAGATTTTTTTAAATAATGTTTATAATACTGCACCTGTACTTTCAGAACATATAGAAGATAATTCTTTTATTGCATGTACTGTACAGCATTTGCAAAAGTATACATAATTTAATTAAATAGAACTTACTGGTATGTGTTTAAATGTTGAGAATTTACTGGACATTATATTTAGGTTATCCATTTTGAACAGTGTACCTCCTTTCTGTACTCGGTTTTCATTTATGTAATTTGTAGGAGAAACAAGATATTTCCCAGTGCGATGGCTGCCTCCGGAATGCCTCATCAGCTCAAAGTTTACTAGTCAGAGTGATGTATGGAGCTATGGTGTGGTTCTATGGGAAATCCTGTCAGGAGGTGCACAGCCATACAAGGTAAATTATTTTAAAAAGATTAAAGATATGCATTATAATCATATAAGTTTTTTTAAATTATTTTGTTAAGTTTTGTAATTAGTTTTTTTGGAGCTCTTGTCATAGCTAGCTTTATTTTGAAGGACACATGTACTCACCTAGTTATGCTTGCGGGGGGGGTTGAGCTTTGGCTTTTTGGTCCCGCCTCTCAACCGTCAACCAACTGGTGTACAAGTTCTGGAGCTTACTGGGCTCTATCAAATCTACATTTGAAACTGTATGTATGGAACCTGCCTCTACCACACCACTGCATAATGCATTCCATTTTTTTTTTAAATTCTTTTCATTGTCTTTGTGGCCTATTTAGGTACTAAGTTTCCACTTGTGTCCCCTTGTTCGTGTTCTACCCATGCTAAATAGTTAGTCTTTGTCCACCCTTTCAATTCCCCTGAGAATTTTATAGGTGATGATCATGTCTCTTCCCCCCCCCCCCCCACCCCCTACTCTTCTGTCTTCCAGGGATGTGAGGTTTAGCTCTCGTAGCCATTCCTCGTAGTTCATAACTCTCGGTTCTGGGACTGGTCTGGTGGCATACCTCTGAATCTTCTCTAACTTTGCCTTGATGTAAAACTAGATATGGACTCCAGGCTGGAGCTGCATACTCTAGGATTGGTCTGACATAAGTGGTATACAAGATTCTGAATGATTCCTTACACAAGTTTCTAAAGGCAGTTCTTAAGGTGGCCAATCTAGCATATGCTGCTGCAGATATCCTTTTGATGTGGGTTTCTGGGGACAGGTTCAGTGTGATATCAACCCCCAGATCTTTCTCTCTATTGACTCTCTCAGGATTTCACCTCCCAGATGGTACCTTGTGTTCTTGCCTCCTGTTCCCTTTGCCTAATTTCATTACTTTACACTTTCCTGTGTTAAACTTTAGTAGCCATTTTCTAGACCATTCCTCCAGTTTGTCCAGGTCATCTGGTAGTCTATCTTTATCTGTCTTGATTCTTCTCATAATTTCTGCTGTATCTTTCAAGCATCCAATCAACTGACTCCGATCTGCATACAATGGCCTATATTACAAGCTTCTCACCTTGGTCAAACTGACAAACATCTAGCTGGTTGGGAGGAGATATTAATTGTAATTAGTTGTACACTTGGGAATTGTAGTTAGTGGACCTAGGATTAGTGTAGAACTTCTTGGAATGTGGAACACTTGTAGGTTATGTAGCATTAATCGACATCTCATTATCTGTCATGAACCTAATTGAGAGTATGTAGGAAGTATATTACTGTTATGCCCGAAACGCTTTGCGTAATAGTGGCTTTAGGCATTGTATGTACTAGCTCTATCTGTAAGTCCACCAATCTTTGTAAAAAATTTCATGTATGTATGTACCTTACCTAAATAAACATTTATTATTTATTTATTTATTTATTATATTTCTTAATATAGTTGATACATATCTTTCAAGGGTCCTACCGAGTCCTTTGTTTTGGTTTTAATTTTGTAGACAAAAAGACTTCAGAACTTTTTTACAACTGCTGTGTACACCAATATAGTATTCCACATTGGAGGTAAGTTACTAAGTTAATACTTAAAATAATTTCATGTACTGGATATTTGAAGTCAGTACGAGAGATGCTGTTTATAATCTTAGTCTACACAACAAAGTCAGATATTTAGCATATCAAATGGGATTTTATATTTTTCTTAAGGTCAATGCCAACGATGTAAATAAAATGACATATTCAAAAAGATTTTGAGCAGCTTACTTCTATTAGAGTGGAGTATTGTTTATACATGTGTATTGTACCCAAATTTTATATGGTGATTTTTATCCAAACTTGTAATAATGCTCTAAACATAATTTAAAAGTATGTCATATTTCACAGCACCTGAAAGACAACAGCAAGGTGTGGGAGAAGGTCAGCCAAGGCTACTCATTGGAAACTCATTTACCAAGAGATACACCCACCTTTCTAGCGAAAGTAACAGTAAGCTGTTGGAGATTTCATGGCTGCCAGAGACCCTATTTTCCACAGATAATTGCTGCATTACTCCCAAGTGCCTCGCCATGTTTTCTTCAACACTTTAGGTAAAGTAATTCTTCTTGGTTTTGAATAAAGAATCAACTTACCTTTAGAATGCCTAAAAACAGTTTACCAGGAAGTATGTTTGAGGGGTATAGGAAAGAATGAATTATTTATTTATATATAGTATATACAAGAAGGTACAATGGGTTTATGAGAGTACATAGCATTGATGTTTTTACATTCTTGTAAAGCCACTAACATGCATAGTGTTTTGGGCAGGTCCTTAATCTAACATAATTTTAATTAGGTAATTTGTAGCAAAATTGAAAAAAGTTAACAGGTACATTGTAAGAAAATTTGAAGAAAATTAGTAGGTACATTTTAGTAAAATTTTAGGATTATCGACAGGTACATTGTAGCATAATTTGAAGATTATTTCTAAGTACATTGTAGGAAAATTTGCATTCAACATATCCACCATGACATAAGATGATGGCAGTGATTACAACGGTGAAGTTATATGGTTTATGCACATATTTTGGGGTAGCACACGATACAGTGCAAGCGTGAAGCTAAGGAGGAAACTGAGAACTTGAAAGAGTGAAAGCTTTCCTTTTGTGTGGTGTAAGATCCTCTTGGAAAACCTTTTGCTATAACCACCAACTGATGGGCAGCTCTCAGGAGGAAGATATTGGGAATATCTAGCAATTTAACTACAGTATCTACTCAATTTAATAACCTATATGGGGCTATACCTTGCTTGTTAAATTTGGAGTTCTGCTAAACCTGGAGGTGTATAAATGTCAGTATCTTTTTAGTCATATTTGGGAGGATAACGGGATGGTTGGTGGGGTGGCCATGATGGCTGGTTCAAAGGGAGGCAAGCAGGTGGGTGGGTAGATGATCAGGCAGGAGGGTTGACCTGGATTGTACCTGGATGAGGTTCTGGGAGTTCTTCTACTCCCCAAGCCCAGCCTGGGGGCCAGGCTCGGCTTGTGAGAGCTTGGTCCAACAGGCTGTTGTTTGGAGTGGCCCACAGGGCCATACATTATATCCACTACAATCCATTTGGTCCAGCACTTCTTACGGAAAACTGTCTAGTTTTCTTGAAGACTTCCACTTCGACACACAGGGAATGCTTGATAAAGATAGTATTCATGAATAAGTCCACAAAAAGAGGAAATTCTAGCAAAGAAGAGCAATCTATAAAATGTAATGGGATACAAAAAGTTACTCCTTGAGAGGAACATGATGGGAATGAGAGAATCAGGGCAGCTTTTGTATATTTAGTGCCTATAAGCTCTCCTCGTAGTGCTTGTCTTTCAGTTCCAGAAACCATTTAGTTGCATGTATTTGTACATTCTCCAGTTTGTCAATGTGTTTCTGAAGATTTTGGCACCATACAACTGCTGCATATCCCAACTTTGGTATCACAAAAGTCATGAATTTTTTTATTTCTCCATTCATGTACAGTATTTAAAATCAGTTCTGAAATTGGAAACCATAGCATAGGCTCATCACACAATGTTCTTTATGTTGTCCTCAGGTGACTGTGTGTGTGTGTGTGTGTGTGTGTGTGTGTGTGTGTGTGTGTGTGTGTGTGTGTGTATGTACAATGCATTTGTTTTAATTGTTATTAATAAATATACATGCAGCGCATTTAGTCAGATGTTAATAGTTTTCTTATCACAGAATGGTATCCTTTTACCACTCACCTGAGGGTCAAGAGTACAAACAACTAGTGGAAACAATGCAAGAAATAGAAGTTGACAATATCACTGCTCCCCTTGCCACAATTTCTCCAGCACCTCTCACCCAAGAAACTAGCCCCCAAGCACCACCATTACCACCAAGGCCACCAAGTGGCCTCAAGTGGCGACCTTCATTTCGGCTTCGTGGTCAGAATATGCGAAAGTGTACTCGTCATTCTTCGTTTTCCTGTACTACTACAGACATTACTCGGGCTCTTTCACTTGATCAGCAAGGTGCAGTGGACACAAATGCCATAGGCACTAACATCCAGGGACAACATGCAACCTCATCAGCCCTCAATAGTGTGATATCTACGGATGTAAACAGCACAGAATCTAGTAACATAATTTCTACAACTATGAAAAGTAGTTCTATTTTTCCAAATTTGTTAGAAAACAGGAAAGGTGAGGTTGCAAGATACAAAGGTAAAGAAGACAACATAACAGTAACCCTGCCAACCCCAACACCTAGCAACATGATAGTACATATAAATAAACATGGTTTGCCTTGCACCACAATTTCCTCCGCTAACGTGGAGTCCAGTGATACTGTATTGGAATGTTTTCCAGTATGAACTGTTTATTATCTTGTCAAAATAATCCTACACATTCAAATTTTGAATTTGATTTAATTGTTGACCAGACCACACACTAGAAGGTGAAGGGACGACGACGACGTTTCGGTCTGTCCTGGACCATTCTCAAGTCATTCTTAACGTCGTCGTCCCTTCACCTTCTAGTGTGTGGTCTGGTCAACATACTTTAGCCACGTTATTGTGACTCATCGCCTGCACTTGATTTAATTGCTGTTAAAGTATAACATTGTCAGCTCAGAGCTCAGCTCAGCTGTTGGAGTCGTGTATCTGCTACAGTAATTGAAAGGCTTTAGCTTCACAGCTTACAATTAGTAGGCAAGTTAAAAAATCTTCAATTTGTACCTCTCAATTTGGACATCAAGAGAAAACTAGATGATTTTCTCCAAAGAGTGCCGGACCAGCCGGGCTGTGGTGGATATGTGCTGCTGCTTGGAGCAGGCCGCTCCAAGCAACAGCCTAGTGGACCAAACTCTCACAAGTCAAGCCTGGCCCTGGGCCGGGCTTGGGGAGTAGAAGAACTCCCAGAACCCCATCAAGCCTGTATGTACCAGGAGATAAGAAGAAGATTACGGTATTACAAATTAGAATTTTAATCTATTTTGCGCAATTTTCTTTCCTCTTGAAAGTTGCTTCAAAATATATGTTGAAGGTTACTAGTTTAAAATGACAGTCAGAAAATGAGAGTGTGGCATTGTTTCCTGCATCACACAAATGTATACAGTTACACATTAATATTATGAAAATTAGTTGAATAAAAATGTATGCAATTCTTATTATATTACTATCATGTAATGTCTCAAGTTTCCAGTGTAAGTAATTACTGTACTGAAGTTATATATTTATGACATCACATGCAGTGGTGCTTCCATTTTCAGATTTAATCCATTTGCAGAGACGATTCAAAAACTGAAACAAATTTTCCTATAAGAAATAAAGTACATTATAGTAAATTACAGTAATGTCATCTCCAAAAAAGTTTCAAGGGGATACTCATCAATACTGTCTAAAATAATTAGAAGTGCCAAAATAAAATACTATGAAAATAAATTTGACCAAATTAAGGACAATATTAAGAAAACATGGAGCACTATTTCCAAAATATTAGGATTAAGAACTAACAAACTGACTAAGGGTGTTACCAAACTCACCCTTAACATTGATAAAACTTTCTATACTTTGTTTGGTAATAAATCCTCAGATCAAATTAATCTAAGAATAAACAATATCCAAATTAGTAACAAAGAAGATGGTAAATTCCTTGGTGTCCTCATCGATAACAAGCCGAGTTTCCAGGGACACATTTAAAATATAGCAAAATAAGTTTCTAAAACTGTTGGCATTCTTTCTAAGATCAGATATTATGTACCTCGCCCTGCCCTGGTAACCCTCTCATCTATCCTGGTCTCAATTATGGTATTTGTGCTTGGAGTTCTACTACCCAAAATTATCTATGTCCTCTAATTACTCAACACAAATCTGCAATTAGAACGATAAAAAACTGGCCTCCAGACAGCACTCGGCACCCTTACTTAAATCTTTGAATATGTTTCGTATTAAGTCATTGCACATCCTCTAAAGTGTACTCTATATATTTAAAACGGGCATTACAGTTCAATCTTGACCTTAAACGCTTCCTAGAAGGTTATAACAGAACCCATGGGCACCACACCAAAAACAAATACCTATTTGATATTCCAAGAGTGCGACTTAACCAAACTAGAAATGCACTGCAAATCAAGGGACCCACAATATGGAATGACCTTCCTAATCACATCAAAGACTCTCATCCATCAAAGGCCTCTCTCAACCAGTTTAAGAGAAAAACTAAGTACTTGACAGTACTACCTAATAAACTCCATGAAAACTTACTTCCCTAAATGTCAACCCATGTCTTGCTATTTTCAAATAATACAGTACTGTTTGTTGACCAACTTGTATAACTGCTGATTTCTGCCATGTTTCCCCCTCCCCCTTTCCCTTTTTCAACTCGATTTATGCTTTGATCTCGGTTAGTATTAAGTTTTAGCCTAAGTGTATTTTCCCACATCTTGCCTGAAACGCTGTGTGTATTAGTGGCTTTAGGCATTGTGTGTACTAGCTCTTTCTAGAAATCCAACATTATGTCTGTAACTCATCTTGTATACATATACTTTTACCTGAATAAACATTTGATATGATTTGAAATTGAATCAATCTGTTCTACACCCCCTAAAAATATTAACTTAAATAAATGTTATACATACAGTACTACTACTTATATTTTGTACTACAGTACGTACAAGTATAACTTGCCTTTATTGAGGACTCTTGTTGGCGTATGGAAGATAGGAGAAGGAGAGGTGTTAGTGTTTGGAAGGGGAGTCCCCTTCCATTATAACAGCAGTGATGACATTTCTTAGGGTACTCTCTCCCTTATGTTTTGCAGGCATACTACTAGGACCTATTGTAGCTCACTGCTTACTTGTCTTACTAAGAATCTGTCTATATACACTTGTTTTCCCTATGTTTTAACACTTGTCTGTAGAGAGACCTCACATGGTCTCGCTATGAATGATCTCTTGTTTTTCCTTTATTGTCATCCTCGCAACTATTTTCTTAGGTTGAACTTTACCACTGACTGTCTTGAAACCCATGGCATGATATATGATAAGAACTTTTATGTTCAGAAAAAAAAAAATGAAATTCTTCATAAAGAAATCATGGCTTGACAGATGAAGTTTAATACATAAAATATAGCTTAACTAATTTACCCAAAGGCCACCATCTATTTAGTGGCTATGACAGGGACAGGTGGCCAGGGGCTTGTCGAAAGATCCCCCGTTTTTACTTAGAATTTTTTTCTAACCGAATTTTAAACTTCAGTAATATCATGACATTTCCAGCTTCACCAGGTAGATGGTTCCATGGGTTTATAACCATATGGGTAAAAAAGCATCTTTTCTGTCCTACATTGTGACTTTTTACACTTGAAGTGGTTGCCTCTTGTATGCATTACATTCCACCTTTTTAATGACATGGTCTGGATTAATATCCTCCAGTTTATTCAATATTTTAAGTTTTTATGAGATCCATCCTGCCATGACAGGTTTGCAGTGTTATTACTTCTGTGGCTCTCAGTCTTTCCTAGCATGAGAGTTGACTTGTTTCTGGTATGACTTTTGTCTCTAGGCATTGTACTTTCTCTAAAGGCAGGTGTACTTGCCTTGTTGTGCTTGCAGGGGTTGAGCTTCGGCTCTGTGGTCCCGCCTCTCAACTGTCAATCAACTGGTGGACTGATTTTTGGAGCCTAGCTATTGGGCTCTATCAAATCTACCTTTGAAACTGTGTATGGAGTCAGCCTCCACCACATCACTGCCTAATGCATTCCACCTGTTAACTACTTTGACACTGAAAAAATTCTTTCTAATGTCTCTGTGGCTCATTTGGGTACTAAGTTTCCACCTGTGTCCCCTTGTTCGTGTTCCACCTGTGCTAAAGAGTTTGTCTTTGTCCACCCTGTCAATTTCCTTGAGAGTTTTGTAGGTGGTGGTGATGTCTTCCCTTACTCCTGTCTTCCAGGGACGTGAGGTTTAGCTCCCGTAGCCTTTCCTCGTAGCTCCTACCTCTCGGTTCCGGGACTAGTCTGGTGGCATACCTCTGAGTCTTCTCTAACTTTGCCTTGTGTTTAACTAGGTATGGACTCCAGGCTGGAGATGTATCCTTCTGAAGATGAGGTCTCCATTCATGGATACAGTAGTCCAAATGCGGATGCACCAGAGATTTATACAGTTTAATAACTACCCTCATTTCCTTGAAGTCAAAGGTTCATTTGACCTCCTGATGGGGGCCTGACGGTTGAGAGGACAGTGCTCGGGGTTCGTAGTACTAAGGATCTGGGTTCGATCCCCAGCAGAGCCGGACACAAATAGGCAAGAGTTTCTTTCACCCTGATGTACCTGTTCACCTAGCAGTAAATAGGTAACTGCAAGTTAGATAGTTGCTATGGGCTACTTCCTGGGGATGTGTGTGAAAATTAGGATTAAGGACTTGCCCGAAATGCTGTGCGTGTGCACTAGTGGCTGTACAAGAATGTAAAAACTCCTATATATATATATAAATAAATAAAAATAAAAACTTTTTTTTTTATTGATTTGATAGATGTGACTTGTATTGTTATACCCTTTATGCAAGATCTTGCCTTTTTCAATATTAAAGAGCATTTGCCAGTCTTGCAGTTATTTATGTAGTTCATATAGATCTTTGTAAGGCCTCAAAATCATATTTGCTTCTACTTTACCACATATCTTAGTGTCATCTACAAATTTGATAACATGGTTTGTAATATTTTCATCTGGACAAGAAAAAACTGTTCTCAACATTGTATGGCTGCTGGTTATTCTCATCTATGTTATTGATGTTTATGACAGTAGGTCAATTTGGCAAAAATCTCACCCATTGCCATATGCACTAATTTGCATACAGTATTTTCAGTATAAAAAGTTATAATTTAAAACTCCAAATATGTGCAATCATAATGAATTCTTCTAAAAAATAATGTCCTTGAGTTAATATACAAGATATGTATTTCTTGAAATGAAGTCACATTAACGTCTATATCTTTCTTCTGACATATAGGCCTTTAAGGTTAATTAGCATATACAGTAGGCAAATTAATTACACAGTTGATAGGTGGTGTGCAGGGCTTCACACTCCCAGAACTAGCCGTCAAGTAACTATACAAATACACATATCTTTGCTTTCACTTCAGTTATATTTATGCCAAAGTATTTAAAATGCTTATATTTCTGTCTTTCTGATGACATAGAAGTAAGTAATTCTGCGGATTGGAAGAAAACACTCACAGAGTGGGACTTAATTTATTTTTATAATAATAATTAATAATTATTTATTAAATACAAATAATTAATTAATACTCATAAGTGATTAAGTAATTGATAATCCTTAAATGAAGAAGCATTCTAGCTCATTATAAAGAATAAATAGATAATTAAAGTGGATAATTAATTATGGTGACTAATAATGATTAGTGAATAACCATAAATTATTATACTGAAATAATATTAATGGATAGCCGTTATAATGATGATTAAATCAAATACAGTGAAGTGACATCTCTAAAGTAAGTAATTGTCAAAAGAAGGCACCAAACCGGGAAGGCTATGTAGCACCATCAAATGTGCGGGATAATCAGACGGCTCTAAATATCACCAAGGATGCCAATACGAGAACAGAAAAGCTTAAGGCGAACGATATCAAAAGTATCAGAGTCGCCAAGAATACTATCGAGGGACAAGCGACCACGGGGGACGGTCGGAAAACAAGACACGCTCGTCCTGGAAGTCGGGACATTCAACAAGGAGATTCATCCCTGTTCTTAAATGCAAACCATGCTCTGAAACTCTCCCTGGACAGATGTAATAGGACCCATTATTACCACACCAGAAATAAATATCTCTTTGATATCCCCAGGGTCAAACTTAATCTGTGTAAACACTCTATGCAAATTAAGGGACCTAGTCTATGGAACTCACTCCCTAGTGAATTGAAAAACTGTAAAACTTTTGCCTTATTTAAAAGCAAAACCAAAAAGTACCTAACTTCATCTTCTTAGTTTCCTACACTGAGCTTTAAATTTGCTCTGTACCTAGTGTTACCCAATCTCCTAATTTTTATGTAATATCAAACAACCTTATCATTGTGTTCATTGCTGTCTTCTTTTATGTGCTAGCCATATGCTGTATTGTGACTACCAATTTTTGTCAACTACCATTCAAGCTGTCATTGCAACCAATCTTATATTGTTTCTGCTGTATTGTGCCTACAAATTTTTTTGTCAACTACCATTCAAGCTGTCATTGCAATCAATCTTAGCTACCTATGTGCTTTAATATACTGTACCTACAATTTTCTCTCATCTTTTTTTCATTTCATGTAATGTTATCATTTTTTGTCTATAATTTTGCAAGTATTTACCTCCTTAAAATTTTCTTAGATTAAGGACCTGCCCGAAACGCTGCGCGTGCTAGTGGCTTTACAAGACTGTAATTACCATATTTGTATCCTCACATTCCTTATGTACATTCTTGTATATGCATAAATAAATAAATAAATAAATAAAGGATATGCACGACCGTAAGAGGGACAATGCATTTAGGACAATCAGGAGCAGGGTGGCGTTCCATCAAGTGACCATACCTTGAGGTTACCTTGAGGTGCTTCCGGGGCTTAGTGTCCTCGCGGCCTGGTCATTGACCAGGGGCTGGATTCAGGAAGGTACTTACGAAGGTTTTTCCTCTTAGCTAAGAACGTTTTCCTTCTTAGCGCCTTCATGGCGGCTACGTCCGTATTCAAGTAGCTACACTAAGTGGAAAAACCTTCGTAAGTTCATTCTGGGATTTAAGTGTGGTTTTGAACACTTGTAGCTTTACGTAAACTGGATATAAGTCATTTTTTCTCTACTACTGGGATCGATTTATAATTTTGGAACATGACTAGAATATTATAGCTGGTGAATCTAGTGAAGAGGAGTCCTTCGTGTTTGTTATATATGCATTCTCTGCTTGAAACTTGAAGTAAATGTGTGTTTGATGATAGTAGAATTAGTTTTATCATAGCAAGATATTATACCCGTAGTTATTAAGTAAATAAACACTGGTGAACATGAAATATGAGAGAAGGTGATGAGCCCTGCCTGATGGGATCGTTTACTATCACCAAATGCCCTGTTCACCTAGTAGTAAGGGTGTACATACCCATTTCTAATTTATTTAGCTTGGCTTTACTTTGAAATTAAATCTGGGTGAGACATAAAATAAAAATATGCTGCACAAATGATGTTAGATAAGGAGAAGGGTAAAAATGTCAAAAACTTTATTCATTGAATACTTAAAGCTATAATTATGAGTATATAGACTATTAAAAAAGAGAGAGGGAAGTAGGGGTCCAAGACCTCTTCCTGTTATACAATTTGGGTGTGGAACAAGTAATTATCAAAAGAAGGCACCATGCCGGGAAGGCTATATAGCAGTGAGGTGAGGCAGCTACTTATTTGAGAAATGCTTATTTTATTTACCTTATAAGCTGAGGCAACTTATTTTATTTGAGGAATACTCAGCTGATTCCTCTACATTTAGCATGGAACAAATTTGTGCCCAAGACCTCTTCCTGTTACAGTACTCAATTTGGCTGTGTGTAACCACACTAGAAGTGCTCTACAAATCAAGGGACCCAGAATGTGGAATGACCTCCCGAATCATGTCAAAGGCTGTTCCTCTCTCAACCAGTTTAAGAGTTAAACCAAGTACTGCCTAATTAACTCCATGTAACCTAACTTACCTCCTAAATGTCAACCCATGTCTTGCTATATTTTAAACAACGCTGTTCACCAACATATGCAATTGCTGATTTATGCTATGTTAACCCCCCTTTTTGTATTTTTTATTCCTTCTTTCAACACAATTTATACCTGATCCCGAGTACTATTAAGTTTTAGTCTGTGTTTTTTCCCCCACACCTTGCCCGAAATGCTATGAGTATTAGTGGCTTTAGGTATTGTATGTACTAGCTCTGTCTATAAATCCAACATTATGCTTGTAAATCAGCTGTATGTACTTTTCCTGAATAAAATGTATTTATTATTTATTTTTTAATCAGTAAGTATTAAAAGAAGGCACCAAGCTGGGAAGGCTATGTAGTACCATTGTGTGTAACAATAAACCAAATTTTTTTTAACAAATAATGCACCTATATGGTAAAACAAATCCTGTCAGCTGTAAAAATATTGATGCAGTTATTTAAATGAAAAATATAATGAAAGAAATATTACTGGTTTATTTTTATCCTATCTTTTTGTACTGTACAGTATATCCAAGGAAGTGAAAAATTGAGACATAATGCACAATTTAATGAATGATTAGCATGGATTAGCAGTTCAAAAGAAATATGACTATTACATATCAATATGAGACCTTAATGATCCATGGTCAACATGATTTAATAAGGATAATACAGTACTGTATTTGTAATAATACAAACTATAATTTAAAATCTTTATTACTGATTTTTTTTATTAAGAAGATTAGGTATACACATCAATGTGCTGCTACCCTATTCTATATGGAATATTACACAGTGTAGATAAAAAACTAGTTATAAGTTTATCTAATACTCCCATCTCACAGGATGATTATTACCCAAATCGGGTCCGTCTAATTACCAAAAACTACCACATACTACACACGCTTCAGAAAACTTCCTGGCAATACGTTAGTAATGAATAAATATGATATATTAAGTTAGGCTGACCTAACCTAACCTAACCTATCCTAACCTAACCTAAACCTAACCTAACCTAAACCTAACCTAACCTAACCTAACCTAACTTAACCAAACCTAACCTAACCTAACCGAAGCTTGGATCGTCGACTTGATTTGGCGTCACCAGCTTTTTATTTTCGTCTAATTTCTTTATAAAAAGATACTTTTTCGGATTAAAATTATGTTTTTTCATGTTGTATGTTCAGCACCAACATTGTAATGAGTAAATATATCATATTTATTCATTACTAACGTATTGCCAGGAAGTTTTCTGAAGCGTGTGTAGTATGTGGTAGTTTTTGGTAATTAGACGGACCGCCCAAATCGGCCCAAAACTACACAAATCGTCCTAGCATTACGTAAGTAATGAAGAAATGTGGTATATTTACTTACTATAATGTTGGTGCTACACGTAGAACATGATCAAACCTATTTTTACTCTGAAATAATCTAATTTCATAACGAAATGAGACGTAAATATGTGAGAGGTGACGCCATAGGAAGTCGACGGTCCAAGCGACAATTTTGTGGAGCGACTTATCCAAGATATATGGTCGCCTGGAGAGTGTTTGCTGCCATATCAGCCTCCTGTACACAGTGATTCAGTCGTCGCATTTCATGGCTCAAATTGTCGCAAATTTAATTGGTAATATTAACAAGTAGAATGTGTATTTATAATAATATTTTTCATAAACAGCCACAAAATATTTAATATTTATTAAAAAAAAGTGTCTGGAAGTTAAATCAATTCCACATGACAATAAATTTGTTATATAGATACTAGCGTTATTCGTTGGTATGCGTTCGCACTTATTATTATTATAATTATTATTATAACAATAATATAACTAATTAATTATTACTCTTCCTTCTGCTTGGTCTTGATGGAAGCCGGCCTCGGGTGAAAGGGGGCTGTGACTATCTGTGACCTTTCTGATAACATATATATATACATATATAAGCTTTTTTAATAATGTATTATTATATACATTATTTAATGTATTTAATAAAGTATTATTAAATACATAAGTGCTTAAGGAAATTTCTGTTTCAGTTCTTCCTTCGTGGTCTGACACTTTTACATTTTTCATCACGTGTTAATTTTCGTGATTTACACACATATATATAAGCTTTATTTGTGAATATCTCTTAATTAAACAATATATTAGAGTGTGTGTTGTGTTCTATGAGTGAAAAGACATGGGTAGTTTAAAACTACGGGCTCACCATGGCCTGTGCTGCTTGGAATTCTTGTTCCCAGTAGTTAATTTTTAGTTTAGTTCATTTATTATGCACCCCATACCCAACTTGTGGGCGGTAGTGGAAAGGGTTACAGAGGCACATAATGGGCTCAGGGACTGAACCCTACAATTCATTTAGCTAAGCAAGTTACAAAATAAGCAAGTTAGCTCATCTTGATGAGCTAGTTACAAAATTCAATATAAGTCGTCACATCAATGGGTTCGAGATCGACCACAAGTACAGTTTCTAAATTAAGCAACTGACATATGTGGAGAGCTAGTGTCACAATTGATATGTTTGTCCTGCACACCGCCCCCCCATCCAGTGGGCAGCGGTGGCTAGGTTACAATCACTTAGTTACTACCTACAGTTAGCAAACTGGGGATGTTCCCAGTAGCTGAATCAAAAGGCAACAGTTTTTGTGTGTTATTAACAAGTTTGGGTATCCACAGCAATGTGCTGCTACCCTATTCTATATGAAAGATTATACAGTGTAGATCAAAGACTAGCTATAAGTTCACCTAATATTCCCATCTCATAGGATGGTTAGTCATCCTATGGAGTCATCCTATGGAGTCAGGAGAGAAAATACCAGCCTTAATTAATACAAAAACAAATAAACTCTGACTAAAAAATCAAGAGAGAACATGAAATGTAAGGCCCCCGCTAGCAAAATCTGAGTACAGCACAAGAATATCTCCCAATATTCCTGAGTATATGAAGTAATTACAGAGTTCAAAGTATCGCATACCAATTGATCTGAAGTCACTTATATAACAGGACAATCACAGATATAGTACGTGTTGGAGAGTATGTCCCAGCTCTTGTTCACATAGTTTACAATTAGAATGTTCACCATTGGGGGGATTCATTACCTGTAACCACCTGAATGCATACTGGGTAATGCATTCTGTGAGATTTATTACATAAAAAAGTTTTTTTCCCCACACCTTGCCCGAAACGCTGTGCGTATTAGTGACTTTAAGCATTGTATGTACTAGCTCTATCAATAAATCCAACATTATGTTTGTAAATCATCTTGTATGTATGTATTTTTACCTGAATAAACATTTGGTTTGATTTGATTTGATTTAATTTGGGTACCTAGTGGCAAGTTTGTGATTCAAAATGCGCGCGCTGAGAGCAGCCAATCGGTGCTGACCACGACCGTGCCCGACGCTGCGGACTGCTGACCTGTACTAACGTCTTCAGACAAAACCTGAGCGATCCTTGGAGTCGGAACCCTTAAAGGCGATTCCGCGTGCCCTTGTGAGGCGTCTTGGAATGTATTCGGAATATGTTTGGCACCAGTGGGATTAAGAGTTTGTTGTTATCAGCCGCCGATACCGAGGGGGTTGCCTGACAGCCACAACAACCAACAATGACAATATTCGCACCCCATTACAGGACCGCCTATTCCTTATGGGTCTTTTTCGTTTCTTTGGATATAAATCTATTCGGTGAGTAGTTCGGTATGACGATTGTTAGAGGTGTTTGAGGTGTCCACCACTGGGCCCCAAGCTCGTTTTAAGGTTAGTCAGGTATAAGGTATATGGGGTATAAAGTATAGGGCGAGCGGTCACTAGGGTTACTGCCATTAGTGTCGTCACATTACTGTTGTGTTAAGTTCATGCTGCTGGTCTTAAAGTTAATGTACTATATATTTATATTTATATAAATTTGACAATTTTTCTTGACCTAACCTGATGTGTGAATTAGACCTTTAAAAACATTCACCACAGTCTATGTGGCACAGTGGTAAGACACTCGCCTGGTGCTTCGCGAGCACTTTGGCCTTGGTTTGTATCCTGCCGGGGAGGATTGACTGGGCCCCAATTCTTAATTGTAGCCTCTGTTCACCCAGCAGTGAATGGATACCTGGTAGTTAAACGATTTGGCGGGTCGTATTCTTGACAATAATTAGGATTAAGGACTTGCCTGAAATTCAATGTGTGCTAGTGGCTGTACAAGTAAGAACTCTTGTATGTATATATAAATAAATAAATAAAAAATACGAGTGACTGATGCCTTTTGTGTTGAGGATACAGACTGGTTCGTGTATACATACACTCTGATAAAGTCGGGTAAAGTCGCTGGTATCCTGTCGGTTGCCAATAATGTTTCACTGGTTCGAAAAAAAGTTTATTGAAATGCAAATGCCTGAAACTCCGAATATACCCCAAAACATGTATTGGACATCTTTTAAAACTTCAACATGTCTTTTTTGAATAAATATTGGAAGCTAAAAAAATTTATGAAATCAAATATATCCCCATTTTGTTTTGAGACAGTTTTGTGGTCTTTATATTGTATGAAGATGCAGGTTGGAACATAAAGTTGCACTATGGGTAATAAGCAGTGTCTCAAACTGGCATGAAAATCTGGACTTTACAGTGTCGACATCAAACAAAGTACAGCACTGTACAGTAGCTCCAAATCAATTGACACATTCCCCATGCACCATGTTATCATGCATATCAATATAGTTTCCCATTGTTGGGAACAGGATGTCTTTGAGCTATCAAGGTCCCACAAGACCAATGACTGATTTCTCATGATTTGACCCACATCGGTTGTTTAACTCCGAGGTGCCGACTTTCTATTAGGCAAAAATCAGGTGTAGGGGAAACTTGCCCAAACATCTCTTGCTGTACTCGCCTAGTTGTGCTTGCTGTCTGGCTCCGTTGGTGGGTGTTGAATGTTTGGTAACCAGGTGTGTGTGTTCCTAGAAGTGTTGTTTTTTAAGTACTGTATAATCACAAATATTATAATTAATAGGTTTAAAGGTTTAATAATAACTTTAACAATTATTATTAAACCTTTAAAGCTGTTAATTATAATATTCATGACTATACAGTACTTAAAAATTCCTTTGTTCATGGGAGATGTGGTTTATTGTCTGGAGACCAGCAGTAGGGTGTTTTGGAGTCAAATTACTGGGCATTCCCATTTTCAGGTTAATATTTTTGTGGGTATTATATGTAGTGTCATTTAAATTTTAATTTTACAGAATGTTTCCTCTTGTTTCATACCATAAGTTTGCAGTAAACCTAATATTGCTTTTGTTAGTTTACTAAGAATGTCAATAATGTTTAGTGTTCAGGTACTGGGCAAATTTGCCCTACATTTTCCTTGAAAATAGAAATAGTGTTATTTATCATTATACTTGTATGTATTTGTACCTTTTGATACAAATTCATGTGCAAGCATGTATTGCTATGACGATAACTGTTTAAAAATTTAGTATGGTAAAATTTTGTACAAAATTATTACTATGCAGTATATATAATATATACACTGTATATACAGTACAGGTATATGAAGAAAACTATTTTCTGGTTTTGTCCATTTTGTTAGGTAAGCAAGGAAACATATTAAATTTAGTGGGTGATTTGACATCACAAATTTTCTCAAAGCAGGATGGTGTATTAGGTTTTCTTTCAATATACCTCAAGTTAAAGCATTTAGCTCTAGGATTATGTACTGCATTGGTAGTTGTATAATGAACCAATAGAGTACATTTTGGTGATGGTTATGTTGGATGTTAATGACAAATTCTAGTTAATTCTGAAGCTACATAAATACCCTCTAACCATCCAAAGTGGCAAGGGGAGTTAGAGGACAACAATCATAAAATTAAGATTGTGTAACCAGGGAAAAGTTAAGTAAAAAAAAAAAAAAAAAAAAAAAAAAAGAATGGCCAGTAATACCCTGGACTAAACAAAGCAATTCCCAGGGTCCTTAGATAATGTAATTATGAGCTTAGTGAGCCCCTGTTTTGCATATTTAATAAATTAGTTGAGAGTATTGGATTTGTGTAAGCTTGTGAATGTTGTGTAGATTTTTAACAATAGACCACTTGTCAAATTTGTGGCCAATTAGCTCAATCAAGTGTTAGGAAATTAATTAAAATGATAAGTGCCCTTTGTTTACATCATGGAAAAATATTGATTAATAAAATATTTGCACCCTGACTTTAATAAGGCCTACTCATGTTTAACAAATTTACTCATTCTTTGTCAGCGCGCAGTATTTCATGAAGTTGAAATACTGTTTCATGACTCGTTAGAAAGATAGGCATGTGGTTTTAGGGGTTTTCCCAAGGTAAATTAAGGTGTGATTATTTAAAAGTAAACCAAATTATTGTAAATGACGTGAAGGCCAAGAGGGGAAGCTGTTATAAATAGAACACTAGGATTCATAACAAGAAATGTCAGCACTAAGACATCTTGTGTTGTTCCTCCACTTTATCTTGGGTTTTCTCCTGAGTAATAAGAATTTTTTTTTTTTCATGACAACTGTTTATCCTAAAGAACAAACAAATTAATGTATAGTGTGTGTAATTGTACTCCATACAGAGATAGAATGTACGAGTGTAGCAGAAGTAGACCGTCACTTGGAGATGGGGGTTCAGATGTTAGCTAAAGGTCAGCTTCATGATGCCTTGTCACACTTCCATGCTGCAATAGGTAAGTTTCTCCAAGGGAATCTCGGTATTGTGTGTTCATCATCTTCCATTGTTCCAGTGCCTTGAATGATACTGCCAGTTCATTCTTTTGTCTTTGGTGTTGTATTGTGAAAAATATTTTTTGCTTTTACATTTAGTATGTATTAATACAAATGCTTTTCAAATGGTTTAGCGGCCTCAGGATGTATGAGTAAATGTTTGGTATCGAATGGAATTGAGATTGTTTCTGATAGTCAAAAAAAGTTACAGGGTGACAAAATACCTAACAGTACAGTATTAGATAAAATAAAGCTTGTTTGGATAGAAATAATATTTACCATGCAATCCATGAACACCTATACCAGTGTATACAGTAGTCTGTTTGACAGAATCTTGGAATATAGGACTGCCCAAGAAGTTATGATTATGGACTTTAAAAGCCCATATGCATAAATAAATTTAGACACACTACAGTATATCAAACTTGGGATTGGTGCCTGAGAAAGTTGGGTGCTATGTGCTTCATACCTGAAGAGAGTGGGGAAGAGGATGGATAAAAGGGTGAAGAAAAGAGAATAGGAAGGGGGGGAAGGGAAAGTGACACAGGAGTAGCAGAGGAGTGAAGTAGGAGGACAGGCATAGAAGATATGGAAGGTTATTGCTGAATGCTTATCATTGCATTCAGCTGATAATGTTCAGGACAATAACAGTGGTATATGAATGCATATTAATTGAAAAAAGTCTACATGACAAACTACTTCAGCAAACTGAATATTGTATTTATGAAACGTGCATGAAATATTAATTACAATGTGCTTTGTTTAAATATACGTATTTGATCTTTGTATATGAGGTTGGAATAGATTTGAGTGAATTGAAATTCCATTCTTGTAAAAGTTACCCAAGTAGGAGTGCTTTATATTCTTATTTAGATAGAAGTGAGGTATAGAAAAAGGTATAGGGTAATGGAAGAGAAGATTGTATGTTTTAGAAACTTGTTTACAGTACTGTACAGTATAATACTTTTATCAGCTAAGAATGAAACTTAATTTCATAATTGAACTTCCAGATGGAGACCCCACAAACTTCTTAAGTTACTATCGCCGTGCCACTGTTTATCTAGCTCTTGGTCGATCACGGCCAGGCCTTCAAGATTTAGATGAAGTTATTGAACGAAAACCAGATTTTACAGCAGCTAGAGCTCAACGTGCAGGAGTCTTGGTCAAGTTAGGCAGACTTGAAGAAGCGCATATCGATTTGGAGAATGTGGTAAGCATAAGCATGTTGCTTTTTGGCATAATAATTCCCATGAACTGGGTGTTGCAGCAGATTTTTATTTGTAGGTATCATAAACATACTTTTAGCAGAGAAACTTCTCCCATGAGTTGGGCTTATGAAAGAGCATACTTTTACAAAGTGTAGTAATTGTGCTCTGTAGATTTACACTGCACATATATGAATACCACATTAACAAACACAATTTCTCATTTCCTTTACTGGTTTCAAAATGTTTCACCAAGTGAGTAAGCCTGATTCATTTTGTATAAATGTTACTTATTACAGTACTTTACAGTAGGTCTGTTCTAATTTGTATTACTTTATGCGTTCTGTAATAAATTTCTTAAAGCCATTAAAATATTGTGCTGTACAATTTTAAACTCTACATAATGGAAGCATGAGTGTGAAACATTGCTACTAGAAGTCTGGAAATTCAACTGCACTCATAGCATAGTTAAACTGAGATTTAGCTTGACAACCATTAGCTATTAATTTATCTGTACAAATATATTGTGGGATAATCTAGGCCAGTCACAGCACTAGTTCGATGGTGTTGGGTAGAAGTCATAGTGCTCATGTGGTGGTACACGGCAGAAATACTGTAAGGGACAACCAGAATATAAGAAATTAGGAATTGCAGGTCTGTTGGTTCATGTAGGCCGTTTCTATTCACATTACAGTATAGCCAACCACTTTCTCTTATGAACATAAGAATGAAGGTAACTGCAGCAGGCCTATTGATCCATACGAGGCAGTAGCTATTTAAATCCACCCAATCTCATTCATATATGTATGTATGTTGAACCTACGCTTGAAACAATCGAGGGATCCTACTTCTATTATGTTGTGCGGTAATTGATTCCACAAATCAACAACCCTGTTACTGAACCAGTATTTACCCAGGTCTTTCCTAAATCTAAATTTATCCAATTTATAATTATGTACTTGTACAGCCAGAAGGTAAACTTTTCCTGTGGGTTTACTTATGATATAACTTGGTAATTTGTTCCTCAGATTTGCAACCCTATTTCAAAGTGTGTTTACCGGTTTAGTTTGCAAATCTAAGTTTAATCTTTAAGTTTAATGCACCTTTTTCACTAATGCTCACAAGATGAGTATGGAGCCCATAATAAATGAACTAAACTAATGGGAAATATGTCTTTATACTGTGTATAGTGCATTACTATAAAGAGAACTTGAAACCATTCTTCAGAAGGGTTATCTTAAGGTGATCTTGAGATGATTTCGGGGCTTTAGTGTCCCCGCGGCCCGGTCCTCGACCAGGCCTCCACCCCCAGAAAGCAGCCCGTGACAGCTGACTAACACCCAGGTACCTATTTTACTGCTAGGTAACAGGAACATAGGGTGAAAGAAACTCTGCCCATTGTTTCTCGCCGGTGCCTGGGATCGAACCCAGGACCACAAGTCCCGCGTGCTGTCCGCTCAGCGGACCGGCTCCCTTTACTGTACTCCCTAGTACTGTATATATGTGCTATACTAGGCCCAGGAATGTGAGTTTGGTTTTTGGCTTGTTTCTTGTCATGCCTTCTGACAAAATTTATAGTACAAAACTTGAACATAGCTATAAATAGTTTAGGAGGATGTGTTGGAATATTGGTGGCATGTTGGCCGTACTGTGAACATTGCCCTCCTCTCATAACTCATATTATTTTTCTTGATTTTATTTTGCAGTTTCATAATTTAGTTGACAACTAGTACTTATTTGTTTCCTCCTAGGTTACCCAACCACCTGGGCTGGACGGTAGAGCGACGGTCTCGTTTCATGCAAATTGACGTTCAATCCCCGACCGTCTTAAGTGGTTGGGCACCATTCTTTTTCCCTGCCTTATCTCAAATCTTTATCCTGACCCCTTCCTAGTGCTATATAGTCGTAATAGCTTGGCACTTTCTCCTGATAGTTCCCTTCTCTTCCTCCTAGGTTGGGAATCCCACACTTATCCATACTGAACTACTGCTGCCAGTTTTCAGTCCATTGTGAATATGTTGAAGGTTCAACTGTAATGGGCATTTTACTTCTGTCATCTTAATTTATTACATTTTTGTTTTGTTGGTGGCAAATTTATTGAGGGTCTGCTGTACAAAGCTTCACAGTTTGACAGTTGTAAGAATTAGAACTTGGAAGTTGGGTTTATTATTGAGTGATAAACTTTAACCTTCAGTATCAGGTACCAATAGATACACTATTACTAGCAAGTAACTTAAAACTGGTAGCTGCTATATTGCTAGAAGGAATGCCATAAAAATCACTTCCATTTATTATGCTATTGGAATAATATTTAGTACATTATTATTTTCAGTTACGAAGAGAGCCAGGTCATGAGGAAGCAAACAAACTTTACACGTTAATTGAACCACTGAAACGAGAAATACTGGAAGCTTATTCAAGTGTGAGAACCAGTCGTCACCAGCATGCTATTCTCTTGTTAAAAAACATCATTGAGGTAAGTTAACTTAATATTGAAAAATTGTGTTTATGATGGGATAATGTTCATATACAATACATACTTGCATGACTGACCTTGCCACTCATGAATACACATTTTTGAGGGAGAGTATTTATGATATCTGACCTGAGGCCCTTCATATACTTCCTGAGTCAGTCATTATGGTCCAACAGGTCTATATTCCTGTGCCCCACACACAAATTATGATCTCGCACTTGATCCTGATAAAGCGCTTGGCAAAATGGTCTTGCTAGAGAAATTAACGAAAGAAGGGCTACTGACTTAATTATAACTTGGACCACCACTGAGAAACCAGCCTGCTATAACACTCGATTTGGCCTTCACGTGCTGATTAGAAATTGCAAGGAATGCCAAATAACACTGATCACTGTTATCACACTACACAGAAAATATTAGGGCAGTGTGATTGGGTTGAATTCACTTTCACTGGACTCTCCAGACACGCTACTGACTGAACTATGATGAGCTCAAAAGCATCTTGTCCAGAATTTCTACCTGATGTGGAGTTTTTCTTAACTTGTCACCATTCAGTCAGTACTGTAATATGAGAAATACAGGGATGAGAGTTTGATCCCACAACAATCTCTCTGATACATCACATTATTGTGATTTCATTGTGCAAGACACTTTATATTTGTGTATAAAGAATCTTTTGTGAACTAAACATGTAATTCATGGGTACTCATTAATGAATACCTATTTTCCTGTTTAATTACAGCGTTGTCCTTGGGATGCTTCCCTACGTGAGTTGCGTGTTGAAGCGTACCAAGCCGTGGGTGATGTGATGAATGCTATTGCAGACATGCGTGTTACCACCAAACTCGTTCAAGATAACACTCAGGGCTTCCTGAAGCTAGCGAATCTGTATTACCAAATTGGTGATGTTGAACAGGGACTGAGGTTAGTTAAACTTGTTACATTTTTCTGTACATATTTGCATTGTGCAGTATAGAATACCCAGCTTTCAGTTATTTGTTGATATTTTCAGACTAAAATAACATTTTTTATCTATGATGGATTGCTTTTTGTCTGGGACATTTAGGTTAACTGAATTGTTTTGGTCTAAATATATTTATAGTGTACTTTGTGTTCAAATATTTCTTTATTTCAGAAATATTTGAAGTTATCTATATGCATAATGTATACATATAGATAACTTCATGCGGGGAAGCTACTAGAGGCTCAGAGGAGCTACTAGAGGCTCAGAGGAGCTACTAGAGGCTCAGAGGAGCTACTAGAGGCTCAGAGGAGCTACTAGAGGCTCAGAGGAGCTACTAGAGGCTCAGAGGAGCTACTAGAGGCTCAGAGGAGCTACTAGAGGCTCAGAGGAGCTACTAGAGGCTCAGAGGAGCTACTAGAGGCTCAGAGGAGCTACTAGAGGCTCAGAGGAGCTACTAGAGGCTCAGAGGAGCTACTAGAGGCTCAGAGGAGCTACTAGAGGCTCAGAGGAGCTACTAGAGGCTCAGAGGAGCTACTAGAGGCTCAGAGGAGCTACTAGAGGCTCAGGAGAGCTACTAGAGGGTCTACCAGAAAAAGGCACATTATTATTATCAATGCTTGGTTTTTATTTTTTGAAATTGCTGCAATAAACAAAAATGCGCTTTCCATGGCTTATTGCTAGTAAAATTATCGGGCCTTTTTCAGATTTACTTTTAAGTACTTTAGCTTAAATGCAAAAGCAGCAGAAATTATCAGTGTTTTTCCATCCATTGAGAATGATGAATTTGATGATTGATAACTGGAGGTGTAAGATAATAAAGAACAGTAATGAAGTTTTGTCATTACAAAGACATGCTCATCCAGTGCATAAATTAAATGCTTACCAGTCAAACAATTCTGAACTTAATGGTTTAAATTAATATTTTGGTAGAAAAAATAAACTTCTAGTATTCTTAAAATGAGTTTTCTCTCATCACAAAAATGTAGAACTTCTGTAACGATTTTCTTTTGTTGAACAGTGAAATACGCGAGTGCTTGAAGTTAGATCCAGACCACAAAGAATGCTTTCAATTTTACAAGAAAATAAAAAAAGTCAGCAAGTTTAATAATGATGCTCAGGATTTCATTAAGGATAAGCAATATGAAGACTGTGTCATCACTGCCAAGAAGGTAAAGTGTTCCAAATGTTCTTAAAGTTAATGTGTTTAGGCTACATTAGAAAAATTACACGGGGACAATTAGTGGAAAAGCCACCAGGAAGATTAAAGATAAACTTGGGAAAATGTTAACTGGTGAAGGAATTGGTTCATTGGGTGGATGGATTAGTTTATACTGTAGATGAAATATATTCAATCACTTTATTACTTAGTGAAATCAAAATCCAGGGATGTCTTGCTTGAGCAGGATTTCAGTTGCTGCTAGATTCTGTATATTGTTTCGTATATATATTGCTTGCATGTATGTTAATTTAGGCATTAGTTTTGTAACCATTTTGATGGGTCCTCACAGCATCCCCTAAGAGATGAGTAAAGAATGCATTAGTGTTTCATATTGCAAGATACGTCAGCATAAGACACCTGGGATACTTTTTATTGCCTATTATACCACATCTAGTTTAACTCCTTCACTGTGCAAACATTTCAGGAGGCATTCCATGTTTGCAAGAAATAAAAAAAGGTTTAATTATTTTGCTACCTTCTTCCCTGATCATTGGGGAAAAAACAAATCCCAAGTTAATTACTTTGGGTGTAGTGAAGTGATGTAGTCCCCATGATGCCATTGAATCTTTGATTTTTGATGAAGCAAACTCCAGGGATACTGTGTACACATTTTTGTATTTTTTAGTGCACTTATCTATTGGACTGTCAATTGCAGAATTTATATTACACAATGTGTGTAACATTGGTATGCACAAATATATTCGTGTCACTAATATGTGCACCATAACACAGTATGGTATTACAACAATAAAGCATATTGTTGTTGCTGTTAACACTGTACATACGTTGAATATAACTGTTGACTTACGTGTGCATGTTACAAGCCAATAAGAAATTCTAAAGGATGATTATCTCGTAACCAGTGACCAAAGCACAGCCTAGCCCTGCACATTTTACACCAAGTTGTAATTGCATGCATTGAATACATTTTGTCTTTATTTTTAATGTTTTACCATTCTTTTCCAGTGCAATGATGAATTGGGTCGTCAGTGATATTTGTATCACAGAACATCATTATCCATAGATATATTCATGTCCCTAATAAGTGCACTACAATATTTATTAGAACAATAAAACATACTATTTTTGCTGTTATTACACTATACACGAATGTTATCCATATCTATCTACATGTTTATGCACCATTACAAACCACTCGACAGTTCTGGTGGATGTTATAATCTTGGAACCAGTTATCAAAGTGCACCTAGGCCAACACACTCGGCACTTGACAAAGCGAAGGGAACTATCAGGGGGAAGCGCCAAGCCATTAGGACTCTATAGCACTGGGAAGGGGTCAGGATAAGGATTTTGGTATGAGATGGGGGGGAAGGAGTGGTGTGTTTTTATTTTTTAAGCTTTGGTGACCAAAGGGAAATGATGATGGGGAGGAAAAGAGGGATGGGGATTATAAATACAATACAGGAAATGTAGGATGAGGCTGGAGCATGAGTGGGATGACAAATTTAGTGAGCTCATCCACCCTGGATTTATAGTGGTTGTTATTATGTAAATAATGTGGGTTAATGGGGGGGTAGGCATCAGCTAGGCTGGCTGGTGAAGGATGTCAGTGTTGGGCTGCTGCTGTGCTGACTTCTTGAGCTGGTGATTTTGGCTTCTTCAAGGTCGTTTCCCCAAACTTTAAACTTTTTGCACTACTTCCTTGCTTGCCTCACAAAAGTTTTCAGTTGTTTATATTATTTGGGTTTTTGTTATATATCTTTATTTTATGGTGTTTAATTTAAATTGTTACTTCTTTGTTTATTTAGTTACTTGATCAAGTGAGGATTGGATATAGGAAGACCCATTTTTCAGGGTCATCTGTGAGGTCATTCAGGATACGAGTCGAGGCTACAAACATGTCAGATAAATTTTTGTTAGAGAAAGATTCTTCTGGTTCTTAGACATTATTGTTATTTGTTGTGTAAATAATTCCAAGGTGGTCTTCATGGTCTAGGTTGTAGAGACCTTGTATTCTGTAGAGTAGCTTCCTTAACAGGCAGCAGCCCTGTCAAGGAGGGTACATGGGGCATCATTCCGAGTCCTGTGAAACTTGTTTGTTTTTTACTCTCAAGGTGATGTTTGCAGAGAAGCGGATGCTCTATTTTGGACTCTTAGATATTTAGTTGGTCCATGTGAGCAGGTCCAGGAGGGTATATGGGTATTCTAGTGCTGATCTAATGATCATGGTATATAAGGTGGTGGTGGTGTGTGCATGTATTCTGGTTGAAGCAAGTCATTTATAATTATGTACTGTATATTAAACAGCATAGGACTTGTACAAGAGCCTTGTGGAACTCCTGCTGTTAGAATGAACACATCTCTAACACAATCCAAAACACTGTAGTTATCAGAATCGAGGTTACTATATCCTGAAAATTAATAATTATTCCACATATTCATTTTTCAAAAGAACATGAAGTCCTGTTGTGTGATGTGCTTGCACACCAAACCTCTGTAGCTGTGTATTCACCTAGTTGTGCTTGCGGGGGTTGAGCCTTGGCTCTTTGGTCCCGCCTCCCGACCATCAATCTACTGGTAATTACCTAAGTGTAATTACCTAAGTGTAGTTACAGGATGAGAGCTACGCTCGTGGTGTCCCGTCTTCCCAGCACTCTTTGTCATATAACGCTTTGAAACTACTGACGGTCTTGGCCTCCACCACCTTCTCACTTAACTTGTTCCAACCGTCTACCACTCTATTTGCGAATTGTGTACACATTCCTGAGTGTGCTATGCTGGTGGAGTAGGCATCATGCTGGAAACATTGACACGTGCATCAAGTTTACTGTATCACTGATATCTGAGCCTTGTACATAGAAGATTCTAACGGTGATCGAGACTGTTACTATCATCGTTAAATTCTTGCAGTTTCTAATTTATTTCATTCATCAGTAAGTGATGCTGTGGCACATAGTACATGTTTGTGCTGTGAGCTGCTGCTGCTGCAGCATGCACTGTTCATGGTTGCATTGTTAGTTTAAAGAATTTTAATTCTTGCAAATCTTGACCTAAATTTGTTTAGGTCAAACTTTTTATTTATTTATTAATATTCAAGAAGTTATACTGGGTTTGATAATACATAGCATGATATGTTTACATTCTTCTAAAGCCACTAGTACAGCAGAAAACTAAGATAGTTTTCTTCAAGAAGTGCCAGACCAAACGGGCTGTAGTGGATATGTGGGTCTGCGGGCTGCTCCAGGCAACAGCTTGTTGGATCAAGCTATCTCAAGTCAAGCCTGGCCCCGGGCTGGGCTTGGGGAGTAGAAGAATTTCCAGAACCCCATCCTAGGTACAAACACTACCCTGCTTGTGATGTGCAGTTGAAGTGTTAAACTTTGAAGATTGTCTTGTCTCTATTTTGTTTTATTTTTGCAGTGTTTGTTTTAGCTATTGATAATTTTAACATTTCAGATTCTGAGAGAAGAAAAGGAGGTGGTAGAAGTACAGTTCCTTGCCTATGACAAGTTGTGTCAGTGTGAAGTTCATATGAACCCTAGTGAAGCAATCAAATTTTGCAATAAGGCAATAAACATTAAAGAAGAAGCCAGACTGTATTGTGATCTGGGTGAAGCGCACATTGCCGACGAGATGCTTGACGAAGGTCAGTGTGTGAAGTTCTTGATAAGCACTACTGATGTGGGTATACTGTATATCTAAACCAAATTTAAATAATTTATAAATAGGTGTGCATTTACAATTTGCTTAATCTGCAAATTATATAAATTATATATTTATACAATTATGCACCTGTTCCAATGATAATTTTAATTGACGTAACATAAGATTAGATGAAATTGCAGAATGCCTATTGACCATGCAAGGCAGATATGAGGGGAGAGAGAATGTGTTTTCATTTAAATATTTTATTTAACTACATTACAATAAGTATGTAGGGTTCAATGTTTCCTCTTAACGTTAGTTAAATTGGTTAAAGTTTTGCTGTTGAATGTTGATACTTTACATAATTGTAGTACAGTACATTTCTTACATAAAATTTACACTTCATTTTTGTTACAGCTGTAAATGATTTCCAAAAAGCCTTGAATATTGACGAAAACTTACAAAGAGCGAAGGAAGGTCTGGAAAAAACACAGAAACTTAAAAAACAAGCAAGCAAGAGAGATTACTACAAAATCCTAGGAGTTAAACGAACGGCTAACAAAAAAGAAATTACTAAAGCGTATAGGTAAGATATTTACTTTGTATTAGTTTAAAGATAGTAGAATCTTCCTTGAATAGGCTCTCATTCAAGGAAGAATATTTAATAATCCACTGTTTAATAATACAAGGATTATTAAGCAAGAAAGTTGAAATGTCATTAGCTGTCTTAGCCATATTAGACACCATCTTCCTATTATACCTTGTGTGTGTAAAAATGCATCATAATACAAGTTCTTAAATTTCTGTATACAGTACATTATTGAATAATAATTAATATTATTGAACATTATTGAATAATAACATTGAATACAACATTATTGAAAACATTATTGAAAACATTATTGAATAATACAGGTACATGTACAAAAATGATTTTTGTTTACAATGGAGTTCCCTTTACACAGGATTAGAGTATTGCATTTCCTTAATTTTCCGACTAGTTTGATATCCAGCTTCCACTGATGCCTTCTTGTCCTCTTTTCTCTCGATATAATGAGATTGTCCTTGTTCACCTTCTGTATTCCCCTTAGTATTTTAGATGTAGTAATCATCTCCCTTCTGCTCTTTCTTTATGGTTGAGGTTGTATTACTTTAGTCCTCTTCAGATACTAATTTGATGCAAATCTTTATTTTTTAAAGTTCTTGTATGCTGCTACTGTTGTCTTTCTTTCTTATTCATATAATCAATTTCCACTTGAATAGGTGGCTTCTAGTCCCTCTTCTCCCTTTTTGCCATCATTACCTTCAGCTTAAAGTTGAACTGTAGCAGCATTTGCCTGCTAACTCCTGGAGTTTCAAGATATTCCTGCAGCATACTATAGCCCTCGGTTTTTACGTTCTTTGTTAATTTTGCATCGTTTACAAACATTGACATGTATGAACTGACTCCCCTGATAGGTCATTCACATCGATTAGAAACAGTAATGGGAACTCTGGTTGCCACATCTCTATCTTTTTTTAATCACACCTAGAGAGCATCGAGGTGGTGGAGGCCAAAACTGTCAGTAGTTTGAAAGCATCATACAGCATAGAGTACTGGGAAGACAGGCACTAGTGAACAATTCCAGGCTGTGCTAATCATTGCACGGGAAGTTCGTTGTTCAGGCAAACAGCAGTTAGTGTGAGGCCTTGCTTGGTAGTTACTTTTGGTAAGGGTGTATTTGAAAAGGCTTTTGCTTATTTTGAATCCTATTAAATTCTAGTCTAAATTGAGTAGTATCTACTCCCTAGCACTATAACGACCTTTCAATGATAGTTTGTGAAGTTGGCTATGGTGTTGGTGCCAATAAATGGTCGTGTCTGACTTGCACCTAGACCCTAGGATAGGACCATAGGATGCTTCACTTTCCTTATGGTGCAGCTAAATAGTTCTGCTCAGAAAGGTGCTTTTTCATGTTGACTCAAAGAAAATTTTTGTAAATACTGTGATAAAATAAATTTTTTATTAAACAAAGCAATTCTATACTAAATTATTTTTTTATTTTCAACAGAGGCCTAGCACAGAAATGGCATCCCGATCACTTTGATGGAGAAGAAAAGAAAAAGGCAGAAAAGATGTTTATCGATATTGCAGCAGCCAAAGAGGTGTTAACAGATGAAGGTAAGACTTGGTACTAGTTCCTCCTTCCAATATAATTGATTGAAAAATGGGAGGTACAGTTTTAACATTTGTGCTTTAATTTGATGTACATCAAAGTATTTGTTCTCTTTGATATACTTCAGCCCAAATACTTGTGCTTTAATTTGATGTACATCAGCCCGAATACTTGTGCTCATGTTCTGATGATACAGTGTCGCTCATCAGTTTTTTCTTAAGACATTTTCATAATATGACAGCTTGTTTGTTTGCTAAAAGTACAATACACAATTTTATCATATAGGAACAATTAATTTAATGGAAAAAAATTGCCTACTACATTAAGCTACTGTACCAATTTTAAATATACATAAACATGAAGGCTGGCTGCTCTACAGGCAAAATTAGTTTGATCAATTATGGTAATATTATAAATTGTAGTGCAAGTCATTTTCTCTGTACCCATTGTTTGCAAACATTTATATATAAGAAAAGGATGACAATAAATATCTGCAGGAGTTGTTGTTAAACACATTGGGCAAAATATTACTGAAGCGATCATGCGAGTCATAAATACTCATACTCCGCCCAAGTAAAACAGAAACAAGCAACACTTAGTGGGCCAGCCAGAGGCTCGTGCAGGATTATCCCTGCAAAAAAAAAAAAAAACTGAATAAATATAAAATAATTGTAAACCTTTAAATATAATGCTTCCCCTATTGCCTGGTACCCAGTTCATCTGGTGTGTGGGACAGGTGGGTGTATGAAGCATAATTGTTATGGAATACTGAACTTTTTTTTTTTTTTTTTTTGTACTAGATGATAAAGTTCATTTACATGGATTGGGAAAAAAAGGTAATAAACAACTGTATAATTTGTATGGCACTTGTTATAAACACTAGATGGGGTAGCCAGTTGTGTCCTTGTCTCTCTCCCCTCCCCTCTCTTGTTTTTCCATCTTGCATCTTCCCCTCTGACACCCTCTTCCCCATCTCCTGAATATCTTGTGACAGACAGTGCTACATAAACTTGCTGGTGTTGTGCCGCCTTTAAATAATTATCAGCTTTCGTATATTTCAGCTGGGTAATATGCAAATAAATTTGATAATATGTATAGACAGAAATTATCATCTTGCAATGGGGTGGTTGGCTGGGGTGATCTCTTGTTGATTCTCTGATAACCTCTGTTGCACTGTGCTCACAAATTTAGTTTTTTTTTTTTTCATCAAAAGTCAAATAGAATGATTTAGAAAATGGTTTTCAGAAATTTCAAGATCGACAGAATTTAGCATCATTGTAATGTTATGGTAAATTACCAATAGCACTATAAAGCATAATTTGAATGCTACTACAATGTTGGTTTATATTTCTCTGGCTCTCGTGCAAATGATGTTGAACCAGTTTTGTCTTCCATGTTTATATTTTAGGACAACTTTTGGGTGCCACATATTGGGTTCTGTACATTCTCACATCACGATGTTCCCAATAAAATCTGTTGAACTCACCGAGTTACACATCACATCTGTAAAAGACAATTTAGGACTTTTGGCACTTTGCTCGTATGACCTGTTGTTTTCAATGTTGTCGACTTAAATTGACAAAATTGATTTTTTTTTTTATTTTTTTTAACCTAAATGACTTGATTGCCTGATTGTACACCATGAAGATTCCCAAGTGACATAAGGCAGGTTAGGCAAGATGTTTGGACTTTTGTTTGGTAAGCTCTGATGACAACCTTCCAGCTCAATTGTGGGCATGAAGAGAAGTGTATTTAATTACCGAGGTGTAGTTACAGGATGAGAGCTACCTTCGTGGTGTCGCAACTCCCCAGTACTCTTTATGGTACAATGCCTTGAAACTACTGATGGTTTTGGCCTCCACCACCACCTCATTTATTTTGTTCCAACCGTCTACCACTGTTTGCAAAGGAAAACTTTCTAATATTTTTTTGGGCTCCTTTGTTTCGTTAACTTGAATCTGTGTCCTCTTGTTCGTTAAGTTGCTGGTTTCTGGAATTCCTCTTTATCAATTTGGTAGATTCCAGTTTAGTATTTTGTAAGTGGTGATCATATCACCTCTTTTTCTTCTATCTTCTAGTTTTGGCATGTTTAATGCCTCAAGTCTCTCCTCATAACTCTTGTTTTTCAATTCTAGAAGCCATTGTATAGCATGCCGTTTCACCTTTTCCAGTTTATGCTTCTTGAGATTTGAACACCATACAACTGCTGCATATTCCAATTTTGGTCTTGCAAAAATCATGAACAGTTTTAGTATTTCACCGTCCATATGTAATTAAAAGCAAGTCTGAAGTTGGAAAGCGATGCATACGCTCCTTTTACTGTTCTGTGTGTTCCTCTGGGGACAGCTTGCTATCCAAAACCACCCTTAGGTCTCGCTCTTTATTAGTTCTGTAATTCCTTATTATCATATAATTTGTAAGTTGTAATTTGACAAATGACAAATTTGTCACAATTTGTGTAAGTTTTCTCCGATTACACATTCCATAATACGGCAATTATTTACATTGAATTCCGTTTGCCACGTGATGCTCCAAGCACTTATTTGATCTAGATCAATTTGAAATTTGAAGGGCCTTACAATTGTCTGCATCTCTTATCTTCCTCAGTATCTTAGCAGCATCCGCAAACATGTTCAGTGTGCATGCTGCTCTGTGCATGTATGTGAATTAACCCTTGTGTTGCTCAGGGCTAATTAATTAGCATTTGTCACCCCACAGGCGCATACCAAAAAAAAAAAAAAAATCTTCTAAACCTGTTAATTTGTGTTCTCTGATCATGGTAAAAATAATAATAAAAATCGTAAGTGGCATACTGTATATTGCACGCTATAGGGTGGGGAAGTCTGGCAAAAAACAGGCGCTGACTCAGTGTGTGTCCCAGATGATCTGTTGCTCCCAGCTGTTAGGCAGGAGTGGCCACAAAGAGATAATTACCTAATTATTTCAATGTCCCTGATTTTTCGTATTTTTGTTTTTTTGCTGTAATAATATTCAATAGTGTGTAGTGTGATGTATTTATATAATAAAATTAGTGAATCATCGCTGTACTCAAAATTATGGTGTGCATATTGTTGATTTAATTATGTTCATCAAACAGTGAACAAATACTTTGTCGGTTATTACACTATATACACAGGTTATATATAAGTATCTGCATGTTTTGTTCACCATAATGAACCACTAAGTTGGTATTATGAGTCAAAAAGCAATGAGGAGTGACCGCCACACACCAGCCAACCACTCGCTGCCACTCACTCCCTCATCACCTCACTCGCCCACATTCTCCTCCCACCATACTGTGTTTGCTTTTATTCACTATATACAGATGTTATATATAAGTATCTACATTTGTGTTCACCATAACGAACCACTAAGTTGGTATGCTGAGTGGCAGCCCGCCACTGGCTGCCATTTCCTCCCTCCCTCACCTCACCTGACTCGCCAATATTCTCCTCTCACCATACTGTTTTTGCTTTTATATACAGATGTTATATATAAGTATCTGCATGTTTTGTTCACCATAGTGAACTAAGCTGGTATAGTGAGTCCAGACAGTAAAAGGTGGTCACACAGAGTCAGCAGACAACACTACCACCCTCCCCACCAAGATTACTCCTCCCACTACAGCACTAATTATCACAACAATCCTGCTATTATCAGAATCCTGGTCATTTTTATCACAGTCAGGGGTCTTCTGTAATAATATCATCGCTAAATAATAGCATGAACATATATATTATGGCATTTTTAGGCGCTGCTGTGGTCACAAGCTGAACAGCAGTGCTGTGAGCTCATGCTGCGTGCATCAGGCTTGGTGACTCGCTCAATACTGAGGCCCTCACACCCGGGAATTTGGCCCACGATTTTTTTTTAAATGGTGTCTGTTTAAAAGAGCCCTGATGGTGAGGTGAACCCTGTGTATCCGCTGGCCATTTAAATCTTGCGTAGTACTCCAATACATCATATGATGTGATGCGCATTTTATAGCAAGTAACTCGACACATATGATGTGTTGCGCAATTTAAGGATTAATAATGGTAATGTTTCAACCATTTTTGCAGACTGTGCTATTATTACATTTCCTTCAGAGGTATTCATCCTACTCTCACATATGACTTAGCTTCACTTTCACTTGAATAAGTTAAACTTAATGTAATGCCTTTTCTTCCACACAGAGATGCGTGCTAAGTTTGACAATGGAGAAGATCCACTAGATCCAGAACAACAGCAGGGAGGACCTGGTGGTCATGGTTTCAACCCATTCCAGCATTTCCACTTTCATCAAGGTGGTTTTCCAGGGGGTGGCTTTCACGGAGGAGGCTTTAAGTTTCACTTCAATTAGCTCTCCCATAGTGTTTATATTAGAAGATCTATTTATGAGTACGTATGGAAGTATACGTGTGACTAAAGGAAAGATTTAACTAAATCCTAACTGTTTTCCTTCATATCCTGACTACACCCATGGAACAACTGGAAGCTTGTGTAAATACTTACCTTGAACATAAGTAGCTCTCATTGTTCATTCCCATTTGTCATTTTAGGATCATCTTTTAATCGGGGATTATCCTCTGTGCCACCATCAATAAAAGAAGCTTAATGCTTCAGTGCCTTGCATTTTGACTATTTTGTTTTGTTAATGGTCAATTATTTAATTTTGTATTGGGGATAATATTAATTTTTCTTTGAGTTTCAGTTTCCATGTAATGTTACTGTGACCCACAGTGGGTTAAGCATTGCTTTATTTAAATGAAAGCAAACTTTGTCATGCTCAATATTTGGGTCTAAATATGGTCAATATCCCAGTGGTGCAAATTGAAATAAATTCTTGAGACTTGCATTATAGTTTAAACGCATTGAATTTTTAAGTATAGCATTGTTCTTAGAAGTTGACCTATACCTAAGAAAAAGATAGTAATTTCAAAATGCCATTTAAAAAGATAAATATTTGGAAATGAAAAGCTGTATCCATTTTGAAATTACAACAGATAGGTGCTTTTGTGAAACTTACGGTACAAAATCCTAAAATCGAAAGGTAAATATGTTGACCCGGCCGTAGTATTCCAGTGAAGCACAAAACACTTGTCCGATGCAGGTAATGTTTGTGATATATATTTTAATTTATGTAAACTTCTGAAGCATTTCATGACAATATTCAGAAGTGAAGTTCAGCTTTACAAGTTATCAACTTATTGTTTTGATTTTTAAAATCCCCTGATGTTTATATTTCCTACTAGGAATAGGTTTAACATTGTTATGTAAATATACTTGTATAAAATCCTTATGAATTTTATGTAAGGCCTATGATGTATGAATATGAAAACTCATGGCATTGTACATGGTTATATGAAATTGTCATACATATATTTGTTAGCCAGAATATAGACAAGGAACCTATCTAAATTTCTAGATATTAAATAACTTTTCCCATTAGTGTTACAAATTCGTATCATTAAAGTCTAGTTGAAATGTGTCATACCCAGCATAATCAACGTGCTCCTACATACACTGAATTGCGCATTAATCTCGTATCTAACAGTTTAACATTTGTACAATTTGAATACAATTCCAGTGCCAAGGACTTTCAAACTTTTCTGTTAAATCCTTTTCTTCAAATGATTCAATTGAATTAACAAATGTATTAATGTCATATGGCAGACTAGCATTTCAGGTTTGGCCACTAACTGTGTTGATGACGGCACACCTTGGGCCAATACATCATTTTACATATCACTCGTACCTCAGATTTTGCCATTTAATATGTGAATGGCAGCACAGCCTGGGCAGTTACTCCATATTACATGTCGCCGATACCTCAGGCTCGTTTACTACCATGACGAATAACATCTTGGCATTCAACACCTTCATGTTGTCAATAATTGGTGAAAAATAAAATTTGATTTGGAAACTGGATTTTATATATGGCATATACTCGATTATTTTATTCGATGATGGAAATTGATAAATTGATAATTTAATAGTGTAACGAGAGGCAGGATACTTACAATGGTGAATGCATGTGCATACAAAATACTTTAAATCCCACAACATATTTTTATTGTAAAGACAATTTTTGGTCTAGCTTTATTAAATAGCTCCAAAACATGTATGAATCTAAGCATAGCAATTGGTATTTGCAATAGCACTGTATTAAAAGTAAGAGCTTTTGAGTAATATTAAGTACAAAACATTTGTAAAAGTCAGTTTTGAGTGTATTATACCCAAAGATTATCCCACATTGTACATCTTGTAAGAAAGCTATTTCTTCCTGACAGGATGAACACAAACTTTGCCACTAGGTATCGCCCTTGTTTTAAATAACTAGTCATTACTTCCCCTATTTCCCACTTGGAGTACTTTGGCTATCAACTGTTCTAGCATAACATCCATCCTTTTCTTGTCTCAGTTTTATAAGGTGTTGACACTTCGAAAGACTGGAATGATTATAGAAAAAAAAGGTTAGATAGTAAAGTGATGCCTATCATTTCATAAGTTTTCCCACACTACGACTAGAGTACAATTATGATGTGAAAATAAAAATTATTTGTAGAATATTGTTTTGCTCCGAGGAGAGCCTTCCCTAAAACATTTTAGAAAGCTCGTCAGGGTAAACTTCATTATTGTTTCCCAATTTGCTGTTTCAGATACCATACTGCTACACTAGTAAGATATTTACAAAATCTTGGTCCCACAGACCAATAAAAAAAAAAATAACCGACACAGAAAACACTATGCAAATTGCTACAAATAGTTATTCCTACCTGGGAATAACTGTTTCCACAGCAGGCAAAGTCAAAGCCTAACGTTTTTTCCTGATCATCCCGTCCTTAGACGAAGTCCATTCCATCCAGCAGTTGACCCCAAAGATGCAAATCATCAATTTTAACATTATGTTCATTCAAAATAGGAATTTTCTCAAATATAAATTAATATATTAGCATACTGTGTTACGGTTAGTATTAGCATACCAATGTTACATATTAGCATACTGTACATATTTAGGTATTTGTTTAGGTTCTGTTGATTATTTGTAGTACGTGGGTGAAACATTTACAGCGTTATGGTTCGAATAAGTCGTCTGCGTCTGCTTGTTATGGATGTGTTTGGACATCATCAATTGACTTGTGTATAAACTTTTTTCATTCATAAACGGGGTTGGCCATTGAAAAATGAGTCGTGTAACTGATAATGACGGAATTTTAAATAAGTACAATACAGTACTCTTATATACTGTACTAGCAAATAATTTATGCCTGCATCTGTGAAAATCTATTTAAGTGAAGAGGACAAGTTGACTAGTATCAAAGAGGAACTTATTAAAAATATAAAGGCTATAAAGTCCATAGGCCCAGACAAAGTATTTTCCAGGGTGCTGAAAGATTGTAAATAGATTGGTGAATTTTTGTTTTGATGAATCATTAGTCAGCCAGAGTGGTGGAGGTTTTGCAAATGTGGTGCCAATTTTTAAAAAGGGGGTGATTGATCACTTGCCTTGAAATATTGTTCAATGTACTTAATGTCTATTGTAGCAAAATTGTTTTAATTAATAATCGGAAAAGCCATTCATGAAAATCTTAAATCACAATTGATGAGTAGGAAGGATTGCAACATTATCTTAACATTAGAAAAGCCTTTGATACTGCACGTAATGAGACTTGTTGAAAAGTTAAGAGGCACATGGGAAGGGGGGGGTGTGTGTGATTTCTCTAACAGTGCTTCGTTGATGTCCTCTGTTTGAATCACAACTCTGTATATATAGCCTGTACTCCAAAGACCCAAAAGTGATTCCATGCAGTGGCCAAACCCCCCTGTTTATGAATGAAAAATGGTTTACACACAACTCAACTGATTTCGTTCGAACCCTTCTGGAACAGGTGCTTCACTGACGAATTTTGTTCGAACCACAACACTGTAAATGCTTCACCCACGTACTACAAATACAAGTAAGTAATTATCAAAAGAAGGCACCAAACTGGGAAGGCTATGTAGCACCATCAAATGTGCGGAATAATCAGAGGGTGCTAAATATCACCAAGGATGCCAATACGAGAACAAAAATGTATAAGGCGAATGATATCAAAAGTATCCAAGTCACCAAGAATTCTATTGAGGGACAGGCGACCGCAAGGGGTGGTCGGAAAGCAAGACACATGCTCGTCCTGGAAGTCAGGACATTCAAGGAGGACATGCACGACCGTAAGAGGGACAATGCAATTAGGACAATAAGGAGCAGGGCGGTGCTCCGTCAAGTGACCATGGGTTAAGCGAGTATGGCCAATACGCAACCTCGCCAGAGCTGTTTCCCATCGCCATTTACGGTGGTAGGAGGATGGCCATGAGGAAACAACATTTAAGAGTACGTAGTTTGTTACCCGTAACAGACAACCAAGAAACCTACCAATGGGTAAGGATGGAGGAATGGATAACCGGATAAAAGTTGGAATATGGAATACCTTTATGAGAGATGGGACAAGAGCGGACAGCTTCCTTGGCGGCAGCATCCGCACGCTCATTTAAAGACACACTAATATGGCTGGGAACCCAACAAAACTCAACCGACTTAAATTTACTGTGAACAAGAAATGGCCACTGCCTTTTGACGAAAGGCGGTGGAGTTTCTGATGGGGAAGGAAGAGACAATTGCGCATCGCGTCCCGCAAGGCGCGGTGCGGCCAGCCTGGGTGGCATAAAAGGCGCGCGAAGTCAGGTCTCGCTCTCATTCCCTCTGCCGTCCCGGTCCAGGATTCACGAAGCGCCCACCCTCCTCCCCCTTTCTGCTGGCTGCCAGTTTTCACGGTTCTGACTACGTCAGTCGTTGTTCCTCACGTTTTCCTCCCGTTTCACTGGGGATGGGTGGGGGGGGGGGGGGGGGTGCAGCGCCCGTCCCCAAGTGTTTCGCTGTCCGCAGCTACTACTTTGACTTTACAGACATTCTACTAGTAAGCCCTACCTTGTCAGGTAATTCCTTCCTTGGCGGCTCGGCCTCTGGCCTGGGGTTATTTTCTTCTCCAAATACATATCAGGCTTCCCCAGTCACTATGTTTTTCTGCCGCCTGATTATTCTCCAGCTAGGGTTTCCCTTATGTTATGTTGTTCACTTTGGTGTCCTGTTATACTTAGAATTAGATTTGTTACATTCGCCTCACTGCTAATTCTAGACATTAGGACATTAGGTTCTGCAGAGTTTGTTACTAGGCTATAAGGTTACGTTTTACTACGGGTGTACAATTTAAGATGTTTCGTGTACTTTGCGTTAGCCACGGCTATATTATACATTTATTTATGCATATACAAGAATGTACATAAGGAATGTGAGGATACAAATATGGTAATTACAGTCTTGTAAAGCCACTAGCACGCGCAGCGTTTCGGGCAGGTCCTTAATCTAAGAAATTTTTAAGGAGGTAAATACTTGCAAAGTTTTATAGACAAAAAAATGAAAACAGATTACATGGAATGAAAAAAAAGAAGATGAGAGAAAATTATAGGTACAGTATATTAAAGCACATAGGTAGCTATGATTGATTGCAATGACAGCTTAAAATGGTAGTTGACAACAAATTGGTAGGCACAATACAGCATAAACAATATAAGATTGATTGCAATGACAGCTTGAATGGTAGTTGACAAAAATTGGTAGTCACATTTGTTAAGACCTATTTAAAAGCCTGTCTTACTTCTGCAGAATTATTATCATGTCAATAAAATTACGCCCCCAAGGCTTGGTGTCTTCCTTCCCCTGATCAGAAAACAGCCAATGCTGGATCTTGACAACTACTGGATGAACCGGATTAAAGGACCCGAGAGCCATGAGGGCACTACGCGAGTCAACAACAACTACAAAGGAAGACTGACAATGAGAAAGCAGGAGACGAAGAGCATAGAGAATAGCATAAAGCTCCGCTGTAAAGATGCTAGTCTCCGGAGGTAAGCGACACATATAAGTGCGATCAGGAAAAACAACAGAGTAGCCAACACCGTCCACAGACTTAGACCCATCGGTGAAGACAGAAACGGAGCTGGAGTGAAAAGAAAAGTGCTCAAGGAAAAGGCGTTTTAGAACCGTAGGAGGGGTAAAAGCTTTAGTGATGCGGGTCAAGGATGTACAAAACTGCGGAACCAGGATCCAGCAGACTCTCCACGGGGGCAAAGAAGGAACAACACGAGGAGAAACATTAGAAACACGAACGGAAAGAGGATCCTATAAGCGAGATAACCGGACAGAAAGAGGGAGGTGGTGAAGAGGAACAGGAACCGCAGGAGGGGTAAAAGTTAAAGCACGACAGAGGCGAAAGGAAGGATGTAGTAAGGACCGTGCAAGATAGCGAAGACAGTAGCGATCACGGCGGTCCTGGAGAGACAGGAAGCCAGTGTTAACATACAAGCTAAGGACGGGAGTCGAACGAAAGGCACCAGAACTGAGGCACAACCCAGTATGGTGCAAAGCATCAAGACGGCGAAGAGTAGAAGGAGAAGCAGATGAGTAAGCAGGACAACCATAATCAAGCTTAGACAGGACGAGAGAGGAATGTAAAGCAAGGCGAGTGCGCCTATCCGCTCCCCAAGAAGTATGGGACAATACCCGAAGGAGGGTAAGGGCCTTAGAGCACTCAACACGGAGGTAAGAGATATGGGGAGACCAAGACAAACGAGTGTCAAGGAATAACCCCAAAAGCTTCGCGGAATCTTTGTACTCAAGGGGATGACCATAAAGTGACAAAGAGGGACGAAGAACGACCCGTTTCCGAGTAAAAGACATGGCACAAGTCTTAGAAGTAGAGAACTTGAAGCCATGATCGGTGGCCCAAGACGACACGGCATCAATCGCAAGTTGAAGCCGGCGCTGAAGGAGAAGCGAATCATCACCCTGACAGCAAAGGGTAAGATCATCAACACAGAGAGCGGAGA